AAGCAACTCATATATCAATGTAAATGCCCCCGAACTTCACCCCCAAGTGCATGATGTTACTCCATACCAAGTTTGGAATAAAATGACAGGTGATTATAAAACAGTTGGTCAAACATTCTCGGGCTTTACACTGCTTGAAAGATTTATATGTTTTCTTTAAAATGAGCCATAAATAAAAATTATTATAGGCCCAGAAATAATTTAATAAATAATCAAAGTAAATTCAATAAAATTTTATAATAAACAAGAAATAATTGAAATAGGATGCCGTTACGAAGTCTCCCAAACAAAGCCTCCATAATTCGTCATTCCCATGGTCTCCTGATATTGGGCAAAGTCCAGTTCATATTGGTTTGAACTAGTAAAGTGATATGCATATGTGACACCCACGAGATTGACCCTGTATGTCATTCAAATCTTTTTGAAATGATGAACTGGAATAAATATTGTTAAGGTGTAGGTATCTCGACCGTTTACAAGCTCCCCAAAAATTTCATTAAATTTGTTATATTGTCCCATACATGAATATATATGATTTAGGGGTGGGGATCTTGACTGTTTACAAGTTCTCAAACAAGAGGGGGTGGGGTGTCCCCATGGACTCCCCCTATACTTCATTTGATTTGATTTATTGTCCCATACATGAATATATATGGTTTAGGGGTGGGGATCTCGACCATTTCCAAGTCCTTAAACAGGAGGGGGGTGGGGTGACCCGAGGAACTCCCCATATATTTCATTTGATTTGTTATATTGTCCCATACATGAATATATATGGTTTAGGGTTGGGGATTTTCACTGTTTACAAGTTCTCAAACAGGAGGGGGTGGGGTATCCCGAGGGACTCCCCCTATATTTCATTTGATTTGTTTTATTGTCCCATACATGAATGTATATGGTTTAGGGGTGGGGATCTCAACCATTACCAAGTTCTCAAACAGGAGGGGGTGGGGTATCAGGGACTCCCCATATATTTCATTTGATTTGTTTTATTGTCCCATACACGAATAAATATGGTTTAGGGGTGGGGATCTCAACCGTTTACAAGTTCTCAAACAGGAGGGGATGGGGTGACCCCAGGGACTCCCCTATATTTCATTTGATTTGTCTGATTGTCCCATACATGAATATATATGGTTTAGGGGTGGGGATCTCGATCATTTCCAAGTTCTCAAACAGGAGGGGGTTGGGATGATACCGGGGACTCCTCCAAATTATTTTCATTTGATTTGTATTATTGTCCCATACAAGTATATAAAATTGAGAATGGAAATGGGGAATGTGTCAAAGAGACAACAACCCGACCACAGAACAGACAACAGCAGAAGGCCACCAACAGGTCTTCAATGCAGCGAGAAATTCCCGCACCCGGAGGCGTCCTTCAGCTGGCCCCTAAACAAATATATATACTAGTTCAGTGATAATGAACGCCATACTAAACTCCAATTTGTACACAAGAAACTAAAATTAAAAATAATACAAGACTAACAAAGGCTAGAGGCTCCTGACTTGGGACAGGCGCAAAAATGCGGCGGGGTTAAACATGTTTATGAGATCTCAACCCTCCCCCTATACCTCTAGCCAATGTAGAAATGTATTGTTTAGGGGTGGGGATCGCGAGGGTTTACAATATAAACGTACATTTTCAAATTGAAGGGGGTTGGGATGACCTCTAGTGACTCACCCTATATTTTGGTTGATTTTTTTTTATTGTCCTGTTCTCATTACTGAAGACTGCATGTGTCTATCACTTATTCTTTTCAAGAAATCGTCATTTGAAAATTTAAAAAAAATAAAATCCCATAGGGTTTTATAGTAAACCCTTCCGTTCTTCAGGCCCCTCCAAATACCCCTAAATAGACCCCAATGCACAAACAAAAGATTAATGGCTCCGCTAGACATGTTAGTCTAATATTTTATGAAACCCTAAGTAAATCTGACAAACGGTCAAAGTTGTCTTCTTAGACGGTTTGAGTGGATTCGGTCCGACTTGTCTCGGGGACGAGTTGTCCACATTACTTAAAACATCCCATCAACGTGCATCTGTTTCATGACCTCGTTTCATTCATAAAATAACAACAACCTTATTTTGCAAGATAAGTTAAAAATTACCGCCCACTTATATAACTTTATTTTCTCTGTCATAGAGATTTGTTATACATGAACAATATTCCTGCGCATTTTGCCATTTGGGAAACATAAACGACTTGTAATTCCCGATTTTCGGCGATGAAATATTTCATACAATTGTTCTGTAGCCAAAAGCACAGGGGATAATAAACTACGTACGGATTTCTATTGAGCACTACTTCCTATGTGCAACTTCAAAAGATTTGGGTAGTTTGACGATCATTTAAGGTTTTTCTGGTCATATATTTTGTATTCCAGAATTAAAAGTATTTAAAAAAAATGTCCAATTAGTTATAAATAACATAATAGCCAGCTAGATAATAACAATGGCACGTATTTCAGCATTTATTGGGTAGTACACTAATCTAGTGTGCTCGCATAAAAACGAAAAACAACAAAAAGACAAACAGTACACAAAACACAACATAGAAACTAAAGACTGAGCCAAACGAACCCCACAAAAAAAAACGAGGGTGATTTCAGGTGCGTCAGAAGGGTAAGCAAATCCTGCTCCGCATGTGGCACCCGTCGTGTTGCTCATGCAAGTACAAACCTGATGATAAGTCTAATTCAGTAGGTCACATAAGAGGAAGAGGACCGAATTGTGATTTCGACAGTATGAACATATCCGACATCTGTGAAAACAGATATTCCAAAACTGAGCAATCATTTAAATAGTTTAAACAAAAGTTTGAGCATCATATTATTAGGTGAATTCCCTCTATATCTTAATAATGAAACAATTCAGATGATTCTATATTTGAAAATTTTTACATACTGGAACTATTTTCTAATGCACATTTTTAATGCATTATTGGCATGTGGCATTATTTGGAAAATGATTACTCCGTTTGCCTCTTTGTACAAACAAACAAGTTTTCATTGGAGTGCAAGATTTTGACAATACAATTTCAGTTTTTACTGTCAAAAAATAATGCCCTCTCCTAAATAAAAACTGCAAATCACACACTGATGGAAAATGATGAAATGAGAGAAAATCATGAAAGATTCGATTCAGGTTGGGAATTCCAATAAAAACTAGATGTGTCGGAACAACACGAATGGCCCCTTCTCAAAAAGTTGGAAAATCTGCAATTTCAACAACACGTATGGACACAAACATGCATGGATAGTATCCTGAGCTCCCAAGACCAATACTAGTTTGATGAAAAATTTCCTTGATCAATGAGTAGTTAAATTTCAAAGTATCAGCAAACAGGAAGTGGATGTACTTCAGATCTAACAAGATGTGTTAAAACGACATGAAAATTAGCAGAGCGGAACGAAACATAGCCTTGATCTGTAACTCATCATGGTAGACTCTAATATCAAAAATCAGCCCAATATCTGAAGGCGTATAGAAAAAAATCCGTATAACTGATTTTTTTTCAACAATTTATCAAAGTCTGAAGTCCGTAATTTCAGCAAAAATTGGCAAAGCGGAACGAAACTTAAACTTGTTCTGTAACTCATCATGGTTAACTTACATACCAAAAATCAACCAAATATCTGAAGGCGTTTAGAAAAAAAAATGTGTATAATGGTTTGTTGCGGAATGATCGAATGAGAATGACGGACAAGGGTAAAACTATATGGACACGACAACTTTGTTGCGGGGCAATAAAAATTAGAAACTGCAACAAGACATATATACATATATACTGCATTCAACATATCATAATAGTCAACTGCTTATCTTTATTTAAAAGAGTTCGTTTTTTATAATATAAGGGTTTAGCATTGACATTATTGTGGATAATCTTTTGAATGCATATATGACCGTCTGTTATGAATCAATATTACAATTGCTTTATGGAGCAAAGGTTATGTCCTATTAATTCATGACCAATAATTCAAATGCTGATGCTTTGGTTTTTGAATAACTTCAAGGAAAGCTCAATTTTAAAGTGTTTTGCAATAATGCAATCGGTGGCAAAAAAAAGTTCAAATTATTTTCTATTTAAACTTTTTTTCTTTAAATTTATCTGTTTAAGACAGACGCTTGAACTTAAAATAAAATGCATTACCTTGTAATATTTTTTTTTTATGTTTACCATTGTTTTGATAGTTTGGCTTCTAATCTAATCTCAAGTCTGACCCATTAATATTGAAAATTGAGGAATAAATTAGCAAATTACTTTCACACTCAATATGTAATAAAATACTTCACTGAGCGCAGGTGGATACGAGCGCAGAGGTCCAACCCTGAACAGTTGGGGCAAAAATGAACACAATATTCGCAGTTGATACAAGTCTGAATTTGGATTGTAATTAAATATTTAAAACATAATAGGTTTCTGACACCGAATAACTGTAGTCAAAGAACTTAGAATTGGTTATATGATTTAAATTTATATTCAATTTTTTGCTTTTGTGCAATTCACTATGCTGTTGTTTTCTTTGTTTAGTTTCTCTATATCTTCTTTAATTTTTGCTAAAAACACAAAAGAGGGTAAAAAATCCTCATTTAAGGGTACTCACTCCTATGAAGAATGACAGTCTACTAACTATATCGGCAAAATTTGACTTGTTTGTGGATTTTGCTTTGCTGATTTTTATGATTCATAGAAACAGCCATATTGTCAAAATGTCAACAGGAAGTTCAAATTGAAGGGAGAAAATTTTGGAAGGGACATGTACTAAAATTGGTAGTGTTAAATCTTGTTATATTTTGGTGGCAATAATTTAAATATTATAAAGTTATCACACATTATCTTTACCAGTCTTAAAAGGTTCATATAAGATTACCTTAAAAGGCTTTATTAGTAAATGGGGCATAAAAAGTTTACCTCTAACAGTCGAATTGGAGTAAATGTTTCATTTCTTTATGAATTCATCATATCATTAATTTATGCATGAAATAAACAAAGCACATAATAATCCTTTAATAGCATTGACATAAATTCATAAGGAATTGTAAGACTCTGTCGTATATAACCTGAAAACAAAATACACTTATGATAACAGAAATAAATTCATAAAGAACAGTAAGAACCTGTGGTATATGACCTGAAAACAAAATACACTTATGATAACAGTCAATAACACTTTCATAGACACAAGACATAGTCTAGTTGTACAAACAGTGATCTCCGAATTATTCCAATTACAAATTATAAAAAGACGATTGGAAGAGTAAATCCCCCCCCAATACAAAACCAACAAAAACCCAACAAAACAAAACAAAATTAAGAAGAAAATAAAAATTTTGCAATTTTTCCATTTATAAAGGGGCATAACTCTAGAACGGTTAGAGTGACGCCACCAAAATTCAAACTTGATCTGTGTTTTGTGGTAATAAGCATTGTGTATAAGTTTCATAACATTTGTTTGAGGCAAATTCAAGTTAGAGAACGGAAACCAATTTCGGGACGTACGGACAGACGTATGTACGTACGTACAGACGGACAAGGGTAAAACTTAATGCCCCCACCGCTACGGCGGGGGCATAAAAACAAACAAACTGAAAACAATTTATATCTCATGTTTAGAAATAAGCTGAAAATTTGTTAAGCATGATTGAAATTTCAAACTACTGAGCTGACAGTTCTAATCCATTATATTTGATCATGATTACTACCAATTTAATGCATAGAGAAATTGGTCCTCAATTCTATTCTTGAAACCATCAAATTGGAAAATCAAAGTGCTTGTGAGGATTCAAGGGTAAATATTGCATTCATTTTGCAGTAGGAACTAAAAAATCTACATTTCATTTTATTAATAATTTGAATGCTTCCTTCTTCCTTTGTTCATAATTATATGATTATATGAACAAAGGAAACTAGTTAACTCCAATTTTGATGTAAAGAATGTTGTGCTCAATGCACTTTGCTTTATTTTTAATTTCTGAACAGTAGCGATATAGTCCTAAAAAAAAAAAAAACCCCACAAGCTTTTGATTGCATGAATGACTCCAAAAATAGAATTTCAGAGTACCTTACTCTTTTCCGATTATAGAAAATTCAGAATAAGAAGCAGGTATGATCTTTAAACAAAAAAATAAAACCAGTAAATTATTATGTATGATTTACTTTAATTAGTTGACCTTGACCTGTTTTCATTTTCATGATATCAAAGCATACACTTTTTCTAGATGACTTTACAGTTGTGAATTATAAGTTTACCCTTCACATGAATAATGTTGATTAGTATAACTATTTATGCATGGATACATCTTTTACATGATCAAGAAATAAGCTAATATATCGGTTTTGTTCTTTTACAAAAAAATCTCCGTACAGAAACTCAAAAAAGACTAATTATAAGGCCACCAAAAGCTAAATATTGTCAACAGACAGGAGTTTTGTTAATCCTAATTGACATAGAGTGACATACATCATACATTTTATTAGTAATCTAAAAATCACAAAGGATCTGCTCCACATATTTTTACAGTAGAACCCATAGCATTTGGATCATCTTCATTATTTTCTTCTGATGTTTTTAGATACAAGGCATTTGCAAAACTGTGGGTTTTAGGTTTGTATGAGTCATTCTGTCTATTGAATCTTATGATAAATAAAATGGCTGCCACTATTACAAAACATCCCAAAATACCAATCAGAATTCCGATTATTTGTCCTGTTGTTAAACCTGTGGTTACTCCTGAAACTGAAAAAAAAGAAAATAAAAAATTCATCTTTACAGTAAATTTCTTTGATTGATAATTGATAATTTATTTCTTCATTTCTGAAAAGTTGCCTGAAATAACTCAATAAATTATCGCTTCAACAATTAATAAAATCAAAGTGCCTGCGAGCATGTAAAGATTGCTTTTATTTCGAAGTGGGAACTAAAAACTAAACATTGCATTGCATTTGAAGGCAATACTATGAATTGGAGATATCTTCCTTTGTCCATAGTTGTAGCTGAAGTGTTGGAGTCAGAAGGTGTGCTTATTGCTTAAGAAACTGATGTTGGCTTGTTTGTTAGGTGAACAATGCAGACTTTATTAGCTATTATATAGACACATTGGTTACACTGATTTTTATTCATCCTTTTGTTACCTGTTCCATGATTGATCATCATTTGATTAGCTAATAATTACAAATTCTTCTTCTTTAATAACAAATGAATAAACAAATGTATTCATTTTATGGTCTTCCAGGTAATTTCATTGTTTTTTTGTATATACTCAAACAGATAAGTTGTAACAGTGTTTTCATAAAATTGTATGATTGCAATAGCTGCTTTAAAATAAAATTCAAATGTAAAATATCTACACAAGAAAGGCTTGATACTTAAATGCTGTAACAGAATTTACTGTAAACTACCCTAAAGAAGAATTAACCTGAGTAAACATATCTCATGTTATATTGATGACACGTTATAAGGTTATGTAAACTTAAAATTAATTCTAAATCACTGAAAAATTAAAATCACAAAAATACTGAACTCCGAGGAAAATTCAAAAAGGAAAGTCCCCAATCAAATGGCAAAATAAAAAAAACAAACACATCAAACGAATGGATAACAACTGTCATATTCCTGACTTGGTGCAGGCATTTTTCTTATGTAGAAAATGGTGGATTGAACCTGGTTTTATAGCTAGCTAAACCTCTCACTTGTATGACAGTCGCATCAAATTCCATTATATTGACAACGATGCGTGAACAATACAAACAGACACAATAGGTAAAAATGTCAAAAATAGGGGTACAGCAGTCAACATTGTGTTATCATCTTAATCACTATAAAAACAAACAAATGTAACGAAGAAGCACAAAAAGGCATACATCAAATTTAACATCCTGATTTTGCTTATATTATACGATTTTATTTATCTATGTAAAATCCACAAATGAAGGATGGAAGGTTTTAAGTACTGGCGTAAAATGGCGCGTTTGAAATTCGCACAGGTAGACATAAAATAATTTTGTCGTTCAAAGTATGACAGGATACATAAATACAGATTCACGTAAAATGGATATAACAAAAAACAGACTTAACAGTAAAAGTAATATTAATAAATAAAATAAAATAATTGAGTGGTACAAAGTATGACAATATACATAAGTACAGAGTCACGTCAAATGTATATCACAAAAAACAGACTAAACAGTAAAAGTAATATTCATAAAGAAAATAAAAGAATACTATAACACGTTAGTAAGATGATAAACAACGTCAGTACGCAAAATCTATACTTCAAGACCATCGTGAAAATTAGTGATGCATAAGATACATTACTAGTGCAAATTCAGAAATTTTTGCCTGCATTTATTACTGCAATCGTTGAACAGACAAAAATAAGAGATTAGTTATTGTGATTTCAAGAATGCTGCATACAATAATGCTATCAAGATTTAAAAACATGAGTTTTTTTTTTTACCAAATCTATATCCCGACGCAATTATCCCAATAATAAAAATACCCCAAAAATGTCTGATTTACAGTCCTATTTATCTTGTTCTCATTTAATTTGCTGAAAACAATTGATGCATTGCTTGGAGAGAACCAAAACATTTGGCAGGAAACTGTAGTCATTTAAGATTGGAGTCGAGTTCAAACTTACAACCTCAGTGTCGACAGGCTAGTAATAGCAGTTGGACTACTTAGATCACTTGGCCAACGACGCCCCTACTGAAAAAAGATATTCAGTCAAATTTTGTTTTGGTCATCTTGCATGATTAGTTCAACAGGAAAAATTAATGAATTCAAATTGATTCTAACTATGAATTATACTATAACATATTTCAAATGAATATTTTGGTTATTTCATCCCACTTTTCTTGTTATATTATAAGCAATGGATAAAAAGGGTTGAATGATTGAGCTATATGACAAAACTCTGATTTCCTTGAAGATAAATTAAGACTATGTTTGGTTCAAACTTCTGAGGAAGTCTTTAAAAAGAAAACAGACTATGAAAAATTTTGCCAATGTATAACAATTTTTCACACACAAAACCTTTGAGACATGTGAGCAAAAATTGTTAATACTAAGGGGAGGAAAATCTTAAAAGGAGATAACCCTTCTAAATCAGTAATGTGTCTGCAATAGCCAGTTTCAACAAGGTTTTTTATGCTTATATGTGAAACAGTATTTCTAACAATCTGTGTTAATAGAAGCTTAGAATATATGTAAAGATATTTAAAAAGTTATGTCCCTACTAACCTAGGTCTACCTACTTAAACAATGAATTAATGAAATCTGTAATTCATGATTAAATACCTCTTTTTTGACTAATGAATTCATCATCTCTTGGTTTTGCTACAGCTGGTGTTGTAGTTGTTGGTATATATGTATTTGTTGTTTCAGTTGTTTCTATGGCAACAGTGTTTCCTGAAATGAAAGAAAATCATTATAATGAAATAAGTCTACAATTTCTGCCATGATGACATAGGAAACTGACATGGCCTTATTAAAGTTTGCCATCTCCTTGGTAAAGACAAGAACTAGGATTCCACAAACATTGATAACCAATGATTACAAAGTTTGCATTACCGTATGTTCCCAAATTCTTTAAAAAAACTGATATGATTATTCCAAGAAAAGATATCTAAAGTTCATGTTAACATCACAACTGATGAAAAGATATCTTAAGTTTTTGTCAACATCACAACTGCCTGACTTTTATTCAAATATGTTCTAAACTGTTAACTTGCATAAAAGTAAAAGTTGTGTACACTTCAATGAGACTGAAAATGGACACACAAACAAAAAACATCTTGAGGTCAATATAAGGTATTCAATAACAGATAAATGTGTTTAAAATATTTCAAGCTGTGAATTGTACCCATAAGACAGGAACCAGGCATAACAAAAAAACTCAAAACATCTTGAGGTCAATATAAGGTATTCAATAACAGATAAATGTGTTTAAAATATTTCAAGCTGTGAATTGTACCCATAAGACAGGAACCAGGCATAACAAAAAAACTCAAAACATCTTGAAGTCAATTTAAGGTCTTCAATAACAGATAAATGTGTATAAAATAATTCAAGCTGTTAAGTGCTTTGAGTTAAGAAATAAACTTACTGGAAATGGTTTTTGTGAGACAAAACAAATGTTGCCCTTCACTCCCAAAAAGGTAATTTCTAAACAATCTATGATATGTCCCTCCTGAGAACAACACCTATGTTGCACTAGAAAATTCTTGTCAGGACAATTTCGATAATATATGGTTTAGAAATTGTATGAAAGCTTAAATTTTGCAGTTTTATAGCAACTAAAATATGTCTACCTTACCTAAAATGTGACTTGACAACTGTAACAATAAGAATATAAGCTGTACACAAATGACAGAAGAGAGGAAGTGGAATCTAAATTTAATAGGATTTTTTATAAGTATGCTTGCGTAAGAATTTTTTAATGAATCGCAAAAGGTGGAATGCAACACTAAGTTGTCACAGTACTCTAAAATGGCAAAGCTGACTAGCTTAGACACTAGCATGATTTTTACACTGTTTTTTTAAACTTTTGGCTACCATTCCTCAATTATGTTTTTTTTTTAAATATCCCTTTCCGTATTCAAAACTGGGACCAAAATATATATATGAGCCTAATTCAAATCCAGTGAATTCAGTGTTTGTTTTTATGTGAATTATACAGCTAATAAAAACTTCATGATTTCCATGTTAAACACTCTTGTTTTTTTAATTTCTCTGTTTTGTAGATGCTGCATAGAATATCATGTTTTTTTTTGTAGATACTGTATAGAATATCATGGTTTTTTTGTAGATACTGCATAGAATATCGTGTTTGTACATATTTGCAATAGGTTTCAATTTGGAACATTTTCACTACCTTTTTTTTCTAAAATCCAATAACTTTTGAAACAAGAGGCTCATAAGAGCCTAATATCGCTCACCTGTAATTTCAGTTTCAGGCATTTGACTTATTTGTAGATCTTAATTAGCTGAACAATTTTGTCATCACACTTTCTCTTTTTCTATAATAATATTAAACATAAAACATAACCCAACTGTAAAATTTCCTATAAATTAAGTATTTCTGGACAGTAACCCAACAATAAGTTGTCCTATTGATCTGATGATTACTTGACAGGTAAATCTAAACCTGTTTAACATTTTCACCTATGTCAGTTTTGCTCTTACTGCTTTAGTTTTTGAGATGAAAGCCAAAAACTTCATTTGACCCTATATTCTATTTTTAGATGCCATGTTTTTAAATGGATCAAATCCCCGAATACAATCTATAAACTAGATACCCTAAGGAACATTCAGTTAAATTTTTAAGTATTTGGCCAAGTAGTTTCAGAGAAGAAGATTTTTGAAAAAGTAATTAGACTCATAAAAAATGTTAAAAAAAAACGTTTTAAGGGCAATAACTCCTTTGCTCTAACTGCTGTAGTTTTTGAGATATAAGCCAAAAACTGCTTTTGTTCCCTTGTTCTATTTTTAGCCATGGCGGCCATGTTTGTTGATGGATCAAAACTTTGGATACAATTTATAAACTAGTAGATACCCTAAGGAACATTCAGTTAAAGTTTGAAGGTATTCGGCCCAGTAGTTTCAAAGGAGAAGATTCTTGAAATAGTTTACGAAAACGACGACGACTGACGCCAAGTAATGGCATAAGCTCACATGGGCCCTTCAGCCCCAGTGAGCTAAAAAATGTACAGGCTGGACAAAAATGTTTTACAGATAAAATCTAACCTGCTTTTGTTGTAGCTGTAGTGGTGATTGGTGGTGTAACTGCTCTATCTGAAAACAAAGAAGAAGAAATTTTATACAATTATGAGGGTCAAATGTGTTCAGCACTGCTTTTTGTCATGAAAATCGGCCAAAGAATATATCCAGCTATAACTATCTTTTTTATAGCAGAAAAGTAATGTCAGCTGCTTTTATTTTTATCTAATTTCAAGGAGTAGGGGTTGTAGGGGTAAATTCAGTAAATAGATATACGTCATCAGGGACCGCCCATTTGGGGGAGAACCTTCTGTATAACACTGTGCTGAATGCACTTAATTTTTTTACTACAGGGTTGAAAAGAAATGGAGTCAGTATAGGAATTAAGTGTGAATCTACAGTGTTTGCAAACAAGGCCATGTGAATGCCCAAAAATGCCGCATGACCCTATGTTTTTATTGTTGCAAAAGATGAGGCTACATTTGTACTTTAATGAATGATATATGAAAGCTTCTGATTTCTAAAGGTAAATCAGGTATAAATTTAATTCAAGACATAGATTTGCATTAAAGTCAATGGGAGAGTTTTTACTGAATTTACCCCTGTATGGAAAATATGGACTATGTCACTGTACTTTTTCAAGGCCACAAAATAATCACAAAGCTCATTTTCTGTAAATATTAATGCAATGGAAGCTTTTTGGAACCAGTTAAATTTTATTCTATGTTTAACTGCGGCTGACAAGGATGCATTGAATATACTGTTGGAGGAAGCATGGGGGTATAAGGAAAATATCAGTTTTGTGTCCAGATTGAAAGTAACAATAGAAATTACACTTTAGAGCTATAAAATTAATGAAAGGCATAACTATTCTCCCCATTTTACATCACATTTTGCACATATTTCTTCTAATTATGTGGAAAATCATATGGAAAATCAGAATTACCTCCCTTTGACATAGTGTATTTTTTTTAGCAATGTTCCCCATGCTAAGTTGCAGATCAAGTTTAATTTAAAATTTTTCAAGTATTTTAACACTCAAATAATCTAACCTTATTAAGATATTCATTTTTTTTTACATAATTCATTGTGTTTCTATAATTAAAAAACATACTGGACAACTTTTCAGGATTACATACCCTTCATCTATGAAACTAGTGTTGAAATATTTGTATTTTGATTGCTATGTTGAATAATTGCTTTTAAATAATAAATTGTTACTTTAATCTTTCAAGTTCATTTTATAAATAGTCGTGTCCATGAACCAATCCCAGCAAAACTTACTAATACCATTGTCTATAGGAGATTTTATTTCTTGTCTGTATCGAGTTTCTATAATGATTTTCCATGTATCGCTGTATATACTTTATATGCAATTTTATATGCATTTAAATGTTTGTCTTCAATTACAGTTTTATTCTGTTATTGTTCTGTTTATGCATGATTTGGTGATTCATATATATAGCTTGTTTTGCTTATATATATTTACTTTAATTATATATATTATCTTTAACTGTTAAAACCTTATTTGACCTTTTCTCGGTAGATTGTTCTGTGGTTAATTATAAACTTTTACACATCTATTTATTTGAAAGGATTTTCCCAACGTAAATGATCTGTGGTAATCAACTGGTCGTCTATGAATTTCTTTAATTTGATGATATTACACCTTGTGTTTCGGATATCATTTAGGTCAAGTTCGACCAAGGCCGTTCATCCTCGTCAGGTGCCCTGGCCTAATTTATTTTTATTTACTATAACATTTGATTTTAATTACTTTTTTAATTGTTATCAATATGTTTCTATCGTGTAACGTATCAAATGCAGTTACATTTTGGGGCACTTTATAAATAGCCGTGTCCATTACCAATCCCAGCAAAACATATTAAAACCTTTGTCAATAGGTGAAATATATCGATTTCTGTATAGACTTTTCTAAAGTTATGCTGCGTATACTATACATTTATTTTGTGGTTATTTCTATCGTAGCCTGATTTGACCTTTTATAAATAGCTGTGTCCATTACCAATCCCAGCAACACATATTAACACCTTTGTCAATAGGTGAATTATATATCGATATCTGTACAGACTTTTCTAAAGAAGTTATGCTGCGTATATATTTATTTTGTGGTTATTTCTATCGTAGCCTGATTTGATCTTTCTTATGTAAAATAATTACTGTTAGAAAGGTGTGTGTCTGTGAGAAGATTATCTGGTTTTACTCATTTGCATATAGGCAATGGTTATTCATATGTAATGATGTGTGGTAATTAAGTAGAAGTCTTCGATTCTCAATGATTTAAAAATGATTAAGCTGCACCTGGTGTTTCGGATATCATTTAGGTCATTTTTGACCAAGGCCGTAAATCCTCATCAGGTACCCTAGCCTTGTATAATTAAAATTACTATGTAATTACAATTCGATTAGTTCTTGCTGTGGTAACATATCAAATGTAGTAGTATTTTTAGGGCACGACACCTGGTGAATCTGCAATATCATTATTATTTTTGTGTCCTTTCTTATCTTATTACTATTTAATTGTTTACGGTGATTATAATTTTGCCGAGGTCAAGTACTCCTTCACGTTCTTATGTTTATGATAAACAATCATAGGTGGTCTGGGAAATAAATTCTTAGCAATTATATCATTTTCAATTAAATGCCAATGTTTTCTTATTCTTCTTCCCAATTGTTTAAAGAGTGGATTGAATTTAGTTGCTAGTACTAGTGGTGGACAGTTTTGTTTATTTTTTTTTTTATAACATAATATATTCTGTCTGTTTTTTTCTCAGTGTTTTATCTATCAACGGATTAATTTCAGTTTCCAAGTATCCTCTTAGTGTAAGTTTTTGTTTGAATACTTCTATCTGTGTGTCGAGGTCATCTCTGTTACAACACGATCTAATGAACCTTGTAATTTCACCAATTATAAATCCTTTGAATACAGATGCTGGGTGAGCAGACGATTTTTCTTAGTATTGGTAATTATCTGTAGGTTTGTGATATAATTTGACATCTTATATCTTTTCTGTTTCAAATCGGGTTCCTTTAAATATTGTTACATCCAAAAACTGTATTTGATTATTAGAGATTTCATGAGTAAATTTTAATAGTGGGTGAATACTATTTGCAATTTGGTAAAATTCCTTAAGAGATTGTTCGCTTCCTTTAAATAATAAGAATCCGTCATCTCTGTAGACAGAAAGAAGAGAAATGTCCGACGAGTATGGAAAGCGTTTCAATATTTCAGAAACGATTTCGTATATTCTTATATCTGTTAAACTAGGCGACATTGGGGATCCCATTGGAACCCCAATTTTCTGTTTGAAAATTTGCCCGTTGAATTCAAATTCATTATTTGCAAGGGCAATTTTAAGTAATTCCAGTAAAGCCTTTTTGGGTGGCACTGGGATGTCAAATTTACACTGCATTATTAGTTGCCATGCTCTGTCAATTGCATTAATAATTTCAGTATGATGTAGATTGGTGTACATACTTGAAATGTCTAATGAGCTCATTAATATGTCCGCAGGTGCTCTTATTTTTTCCAATTTGTTTATGAAGGAAGTTGTATCTTGTGTGTATGTCTAAAATTTATTGACAACTGGTTTAATAAAATAATCGATATATTGTGCATTTTTTTCCAATGGGCTATTACATAAGGATACGATCGGTCTTCCTGGGACGTTTACATTCTGTAAATGATTGATATCAGTTATAATCTTTTGTTTATCCGATTGATTAATTTTATGAAGTTTTGGTAGGAAGTATAGTCTCCCTAATCTATTTCCCTGGTCATTTATTAAAAACTTAAATGTAACTTCATCAATGTAGGATTCATTGTGTAGACGATGAATAATAGTGTTGATACTTTCTAGTATTTCCGTTGTATGAGATTCGTTAATTCTTTCATAGTGTACATTGTCATTTAATTGGTCTTTTGCCATTTTTATATATAGCTCTTTATCAAGAACAACTGTTGAGGAGTTTTTATCTGCCTTTTTGATAATGATACGATCATTTGAACGTAGTGATTGTAATGCTTTTCTTTCATTTTTAGGCAGGTTGTCCTTAAATGATTTAATTTGTATTTTTTCCAATTCAATTCTTGTTGAAAATAAGTAATTTTCAATTGCATTATTAGCCCAGTTTGGCTTATAACCACTTTTGGAAAGAAATGGATGACGATTGTATTGGTGAGATCCATCATCAAAATGATATTTGCATCTCATTTTACGGGCTAGTTCATTGAAGTCATTTATGAGAGTTTTCTTAGCGTTTCGAAGATTTGGACTAGGAATGAATTTAAGTCCTTTCGCTAGAACTAGAATTTCAGCATTACATAACTTTTCTTTTGTGAATATATCAACATATTTTGCAGCTCTCTGTACTTTTACCGTGTGTTTATATTGTCGTCTCTTATGTTGGTGGTTTATATTGTATATTTTCCTTTTTTCTTTATTTTTAGCAATTTTGCGTTTCTTATCCCTAGCTTTGAACGATCTATTCTTTCTATTAGACATGATTGGATGATTAGTCTTCCTTGTGTGCTTCTTCTAAAATATATAATAATTTACGTCTTTGAGTTTGAATTGATATGCTTAGTTCAGATTCAAATTGAGATAGCTTTGCTTATAATCTCTAATTGCGAGATATAAGCTGTAGTGAATTTCTTTGGTGTAATATAGTTAATAATCAATCTCCTTTTTTAGAAGTTTTTTTTACTCTGGTTTGGTCATACCAAGTCTTATTTTTTTCATATTTGGCACATTTTTCTTCTTCAGTTTTGGCTGTCCAGTTTTGGCGAAGAAACCATCCTGATGTTGGGCTAACAGGAATTTCTGCAGAGTGATTGTCATTTTTTTAACTTTACAAGTAATTAAAACACAAATTTAGTAAAATGAAATATTAATGTTGTTGTTTTTTTTTTGGTTATGAAACTGCTTAAAAAGCCTTTGAAAAGCCTTTTTGGGGTATTTTCAGGTTATACAATCAAAAGCTTCCATATCAGGCAAAATTTAACTAAAAGTACATCAAGACTTTGGTTCCTATATGTACTTGCAATACTGGTCGAAGCAAATACAGAAAACAATTCATATTTATTGAGCATAGTATTTTACATCATTCTTTTAAGAACAGTCAATGTGCAACTTTATGAGTTTGACTGTCCCTCTGGTATCTTTCGTCCCTCTTTCATATACAAAATACACATTGGAAGCAGTAAGGGCTGTAGTATAATTTTTCCTCTATCTTTACCAATTTAGCATTTATGAATCTTGTATTGAAACTGGAACTTGAAAATTGAATATATTACATGATCATTACAAATAAATTGGAAATGAGGAAAAAAGGTCATTTATAGGGGTAAATTCAGTAAATAAATATACGTCATCCGGAACTGCCCATTTGGGGGAGAGCTTTCTGTATAACACTGAAGTCCTGCGCTCCTCGGTAGATCATATTTTTAATAAATATTTTTTGATAGATGGATCAAAACTAGGGTTAAAAAAAATAAAAAATGAATGCTGAATGCACTTTTTTACTGCAGGGTTGAAAAGTAATGAATTAAGTGCGAATCAACCGTGTTTGTAAACAAGGCCATGTATGCCCACAAATGCCGCATAACCCTATGTTTTTTTTGTTGCAAAAGATGGGGCTACATTTGTACTTTAATGAATGATATATGAAAGCTTCTGATTTCTAAAGGTAAATCAGGTATAAATTTAATTCAAGACATAGATTTGCATTACAGTCAATGGGAGATTTTTTACTGAATTTACCCCTGTAAGAGCCTTATTTGGCCCCTAATATCAAGTCCATATTTTTCAAAATGCAAAATGTTTCAATTCGATAAATAAACATGCCAAAAAGTGAAATAAAATTATTTTGTTGAAATTTATCTCTGAAACACTAAATTGGCAAAAAATAGTTAATAAGCTGAAATATAACCCCCATGTTATTCATACTCGAAAAAAATACATTAAGCATTGGTAATGTTTCACATGTGTAAAATAATTTTGGATGCAATCCTTGTGTTTAGATGTTAGGCAATCTAAACTTCTTCAATCAGATCGTTGTTGAGAAAACCATCTTTACCTTGTCATTTCGGCTGTCTTCTTTTCAATTTTGAAATACGAAGGTAAAGAACAGCTGACAGATCAGTCAATTGTTGACTTATTTTTACACAACCAATTTGTTAGTTCGAGATACAACTTTGATATGAGTACACAAACTGTACTATTCTGGAAGGAGGGATGTTCCCTTAAAGTTCCTCATTACATTTGTATTAGTTTCCTTTGAAACACCAGCTCATATTTGACTTGACCCCAGATTTACCCTCTTGTTATCTTCTTCCTTTCTATGTTTATCTAGGTATAACCAAAACGATATACACGGTTTCTATCAAACGGTTACTATTGTAAACAACTAAACTTAAATACAATAAGTCACAATGCAATAATCCTATAACATCATCTCTACAATATCTTGTTATGCACTAATCCTCAACAATAATCTTATAACATTATCTCTACAATATCTTGTTATGCTATAATCCTCAGCAATAATCCTATAATATTATCTATGCAATGTCTTGTTATGCAATAATCCTCAGCAATAATCATATAATGTTATCTCTGCAATATCTTATGCAATAAGCAATTGTAATCCAGCAAATACATATTTATTATAAACTAGGTGGAACTGTGAACTAAAACTTATGCCTCGCCTTCTTCTATATGAGTCACTTCAGAAAAGAAAAGGCACAACAAACACATTGTAGAACTGGAAAATTATCGTCATGGCAAATAAGATAAAATTGAGAAATGAAACAGGGAATTAGTCAGGGAGACAATAAACTGACCAAAGCATGCAAAGAGCAACACTAATGAGTCTTCAACACAGCGAGAAAATCCCACACCCTTGAGCCGCGGGCTTCAGTTGGCCCCTAATCAGATCTATTTTGTCTTATCGGCAATCATTCCATATCTTATTTTCTTTCTATTACTGGGTGGGAAGCTTCATTGTTTTCAATATTTGTAACAATTGATATGAGGGCATAGGTCATGACCACCAGTCCCCAGTCATGGAACAAATTTATGGTGCACTAAAAAAGTATTATGGTAATTCAGAATACATATGGTTTATATTTGGGGATTTACAAATTTTTGAAATATTCAAGAACTTACTTAAAAGGAGGGTGGTGCATGACCCAAAGTTCAAAACCTATGTTGCACTGTAAAGGCCTTGTCAAGATAATTTGAATATATATATATATGGTTTAGATGTTGGGGATTTGAACCATTTTCAAAATATTCAAAAATTAATTATCTGAAAGGGGCAGGGCATGTTCCCCTTAGTGCACCAGAAATGTTTGATTATGGCAATTAAGAATTAATATATGGTTTAAAGATTGGGATCTGAACGAATTTTAAGATATTCAACAATTTATTATATGATGGGGTTGGGGCTGACCTCCAGTTGCCGAACCCTTAGGTGCACTGATAGTCATGTCATGGTAAAAAAAAAAAGAGAAAATAAATGGTTTTCCTGGTTTTGGAACGGTTATTAAAAAAGTTCTAAAATCAATTAATTGACCCAAAATATCATAATTTAAATTTCTGTAAACCTGATATCAGAGCTTCACTAGTGTAGTATACAAACCTGTGTCACCACTACAAATAAATGGTCTTTCATAATTATGACAATTGATATCATTCCATGTCCCATCTGGTCTCATTTCCACACATTCCTCTGGTGTACTACTACGCCATGATGATGAAGGCTCCCCACTGTTCCAGTTTTCAAATGCCTTTGAAGATGAGTCTACCCAAGACCAGGCTAAAATATTAATGAAGCAAATTATAAGACGGCATATGAAAACAGAATTATGAACTACTTAGGTTACTCATAACCTTCCATGAAATATAATTTTAAATTCTACTATGGATACAGAAAAATCTGTGCACCTGGAAAAGGCATGGCGGGACTTATATAAAATAAAATTTAAATACATTTTAAGTTTCAAAATCGTAAAAATCTAACTGGACATTTAGCTATACATTTTTTATCGTTCCTGAAGAAAGTGCCAAAATAACCTAAGTTGGGAAAGATGTTTAAGAAGCTCCCCTCATATAAAAAATGTGGTGAACTGATTGACATGGTCAATCTATATCTACTGACAACAGATGATTTAAACTGTAACTGAGTGGACCGTATCAAGTCAAACACAGGTGATAATTAATTTTGCCATCTCTGCAGACTAGAAAAAGAATGCAGATCAAAACCCATGTAAGTTTTAAATTTTCTGAAATATAAAATGCAAAAACCTTTATACATCTAGGTTCAGCCATGCCTTAGAATATTCTTAGATGTATCCGATTAGTCTGTACTCTCAGAAGATTTTGCGATGTAAACATGGCCATATTTGTAAATTTCTTTTGATGAACCTTAACATACTACAGGTATAAAATATTATTTCTAATCACGTTTTTGAAAAGTGTGAATACAGATTTTATAAATATTAAATGTGGTTCGATGATATAATATGTGAAAAAAATGGCAGTTCCTGGCAAAACATGGGGCTAATTCCAAAATATTTTGGCTAAAATTGTATACTGTACAAGTGTCACTCAAATAAAGTTTAGGTCATTAAATTATTGCAAAATCACTTCCTTGTATGTTCTTTCGTGTACCATTTATTAGCTAAACATATAGTCTATTGATAACAGTTTAAAGGAGAGAGTATTAAGCTATCTCAAATCCTTAGGTTAAAACTGCTTCATATATATTTGTTTGTCCTAAGTCAGGAACATCATCAGTGATTGTTAATTGTCACATCTTAATGTTTTTTCGTTATTTGCAGACCTGCCATCATTCTTGATTAATTGGGAATTTCTGACATGAGTGATGCTGAAATGAATCTTGAAATCCTTGATTATTTAAACTGAATACATTTCAAGGAGTTTGGAAGACATTTAAGCACATATATACTCATTCTAACCCATAGTATATGAATAAACCTTCAGTGAGCAAGCTCACATTCCTAATGCCCCTACATAATTAATTTGGATATTTTTTAAAGTTCCCCTTCCTAAAAAAAAGTCCCCAACTTAAGATCTTTCTGCTTATCTTTCTCCTTCGAGATTTTTTTTAATGGAAACCTTCATTCAAATCTAATGAGGATCCACTGAAAATGAAAGAGCAATCTAGGTGACAAGTTAAAAGATGGGATATTTTAATCATTCAGAATTTTCTGATTAACAAACACATCCGTGGTTGTGCTGAGGGGACACATTTATCAAAAATTGAAGAGGATTTAACAAAACAATAAGAAGTTAGCTTGGAGACAAGAAATAATCATAATTTTTCTTAAATCCAGCTGATCTGAATGGGTGGTTATTCTTTGGTTAAATATTACCCTTAGTTAAATATAATTAAGGGTTAACTATCTAAAAATTGATTATGTAACCAAGGGCAAAAGTTATGTTAACTCAACTTTTTTAACCCTTGATTATGTCTAGTCTCATTTTAACTGTTAAAGGATGAACAACAGAAAATAACCTTGGGTTAAATTTTAACCAAGGGCTATGATATTTAACCATGGGTTTAAATTTAACAAAGAGATGAACAATTGGGTGCTGTAGTTTTGATGAGGATCCCACAAAAAATAAAGGCCAAAAATTGTACTCCCTCTTTTGTTGACTTACAAACTTGACATACACTTACATGAAGAGTATCTATTCAGCTTGTTCAATCCTATCCAAACCTTCAATCTGCTTCCAGCCAATTTTTGGATCAAATTAATCAAATAATCTATTTGATCTAGGCTTTGTATGCTGGTCAATGTTAATCCTTTGTTATCACATTCTTCCTTTGCTTTAAACCATGTCAAAGGATTATGCAGAATTGGATAATAGCATTTGTCCCCAAATACATAACCACCTTGCGGGCAAGTGGACCGATCTGCTGCTTTCGGTGGTGATACTGAATAGAAGAAAATACAAAATTACTTTTTTTTTTCATTTTGTCATTTAAATTCATTCATACTGCAGTGTTCTTAGAAAATATATTTAGAATTAGCTTTGGGATATTGTGAAATATTCACTATCTTCATATTTTACTGGGCAATTTACTCTCCATGGAAATTTCAGTGTCCATTTAAGCTTACTGTACAAGGCCGAAAATGAATACACTAAAGTTGTAACATGCTCTTCATAGCCAGATGCCAAAAATAACAACTATTTACAGTATTAAAAGGTTTACTGGTCTTATAGGCTTGAAACAATGACAGATTTCTATATGTTTGAAAACAGCAAAATAAAATGTGACACTGGAGTTTCTTGGATATTAAGGTTGAATGACACTGTTCATCCTTGCAAGAAATCTATGAAATCTTAATATAATAAATATATGATGCTTTAGCAAGGGCAGAATACAGTGGATCTAAATGTAACTGGTTGTTTTTGCAATGACACTGTTGCTAATGATAAGCACGAAAAAGAGGTAGGGCCATTTTCCCGTGAGTTTTTTTCATTTGATTAGATAGGTAAATCATGTTTTTAAATAGCCCGATAGATACTAATTATAGTATATGAAAACACGTCACATCATCTATTTTCATACCATGAACAGGTATTCCTACAATAATCAAGGCCAAGACTATTGATTTTTCTGTTTATCAAAACCAATATTGATTTTGTTTGTAAATGCCCCTGAGGGGCATTAAAATATGAATTATCAACCGAATAGATATTCAAAATTAGTTTTGTATTAAAAAAAAACATGGTGCTTCAGTTAGCGTGTTAATGTTGGTAGGTGATTTGTAGCGTACGTGTATTTCACAACTTTGTTTAACTTAAAACTAACAAAATATTAAACAAGAATGTGTCCATAGTACACGGATGCCCCACTCGTACTATCATTTTCTATGTTCAGTGAACCATGAAATTGGAATAAAAACTGTAAGTTAGCATTAAAATGAGAAAGATCATATCATAGGGATTATGTGTACTAAGTTTCAATTTTGTTGGACTTCCACTTCATCAAAAACTACCTTGACCAAAAACTTTAACCTGAAACGGGAGAGACGGACGTACGAACTGACGGACAAACGAAGGGACGGACGCACAGACCAAAAAAACTGAAAGCCCCTAAGTGGCGCCTAAAAAAGGGGGTTAAATATAAATACAAGAAACATTTAATAATCTAATTATCTGATTTAAATTAGCTAATCTGATTCAAGATTGGTCTCTGTTTTAATGCCAAGAAGCCAAAAAATATTGGACGCATTTAACTGGGATGTTGTTTTCCTCGATCTGGATGTATTTATATCTATACACTGTTCCCGCTTTTAAGGTTTACCGTCTATATGAACTGGACAACAGCTTACACCAGTTGGTATTAGAACGGCTTGCGTAACAAACACATGTAATCTGGTCTTTTCTGCATGGCATTGTACCAAATGGATCGACCCTATGTTGTGATACAGATTCAACACTTTCTTGATGTTTTACCTACAGTCACGATTGGTAGTGTAATTGTTTTTTTTTTCTGTGGTGTTGTTTCATTTTCTGATGACTTAGGTTCCGGTGTAGGTACGGTGGTACAATGTAACAATGCCAGTACTAGTATCTACACAGTTGGTGGATTGGCGACCATTTTCTAAAACGTTCTTGTTCAAGATTAGAAAAAAATATTTTTGTTGTTTTGAAATTTTTCTGCTATGGCCTTTTTTCGTTATGTGTATAACACACACAACATTTGGGCTTCATTGCTATATAACCAATTCTCGTGTAATTGGTTATGTACAAGCATCTACTTCAGTGTGTCTCTTTGAATTAAACAAACATCCGAAAAAATGTGATAGAAACATAACATTTTAATATTTCAACATAAAAAATTGGAAAAATAGCGTGAGATTTGAACCCCATCTTAAAAAAAATCCATTATTTACAATATTAATATAAGCGCTATCGATGGAGCCACGGCGACTCTTGAAAACATTGTCGATATTAAGCAGCTATATAGGTAAAATTTAGTGATATTCCACTTTTTATTAAAAAAGTTGTTTTTAGGTATTAAGGACACACTAAACCAATTTCATTTTTGAGGGGAAAAGTTGTGTAAATTACGACAACAAAAAACATAACTTTGTTTTGGTTTGAAGTGTCCTTCTTGGGGGATTCCTTGTTTTTCCAACCTAAAACACGGTAAATTCCGCACATTTGACTTTCATCCTTTTTTGGAGGTTAAATTAACTATTTTCCAGACATATCATAATACATAATAATCGAGATATTGACTAAAAAACATTTTTATTTCATGTTTTTATCGTAAATTATATTCTTTCAGCACTTTTTGAAATTGGCCCTTCTGTGAAAAAAATTCAGGGGAAATTGGCCCTACCTCTTTAAAAAAAATCACTAATGTCATCAAGTTGGTTACGTGAATTCAAAAATATTTACATGTTGTATATTAAAGTAGCGGTATGCAAAATCTACTACTGGGGCATAGCATTTTAGGCAATTGAAGAATAATTACTTTCTATCATCAATAAATTCACATATGACAATAAATTACTGTAATTCATATGGTTTTTGATGGACATCAGTAATGGCTGCACAAGATGTTGCATTAAGAATACATAAGTTAGCACCAAAATGGGAAATGAGTTCTACAGCGTTTAAAAATCTAGAGTTTATATTTATAACTAAAAAAATAGCACATTGACCCCAATTTGTTTCTTTCAATTCAAATATGTACTGCTTCAAAATAGTTATATAAGAATTGCAAGAAAAAACCATTGTTAGATTTTTTCTGCATACATTTGTATTTGCAAAATAATTGTCTTAGTATTTTTATTACCAATAACTATGTTTTCACTTTTTTTTAAGCAATTTAACTTTCATTATAGGGACTTACTTAAAGGCCTATAAACTAAGGAACACTTTCCAAAAGAACAAGTAAAAATATCTCTTTCTGTTCCAAAATTGTGTTATACTTTCAGAAAAGTATTGAATTAAATTTGTGTTTTCACATAATACATGCATTTTCAAACTGATATAACTCGAAAAGTAAGTTATGAAGGTATCTTTTACTTTGCACATTTTGATAGCACATATCAGAATTGACCTTGGATAAAAAATTTATGGAAAAATGAACATGAGATCTTTTCTGTATCATATATGCACTTAAATATGATGACTTATCTTTGAAAGTCAAAGGCAGTTTACAATTCATCCAAGTAATTTCTTGCATATTGATTCTTCTGACTTCTATCATAGTTTTTTTAAAGAGTTCATGAAAAAATTATCTGTTAAAACATCTTTTTAGAATTTTCGTTTTAGATAAGTTAATTTCAACCAAAAAGCATTAAACAAATGCACCTAGTGGGTAGTAGTAATGCGTTTTTGTGCATTATATGTTTACGGACACTGTATAAAGAGTTTTTGTTTTTAAAGGATTTTCAATATGTTTTTCTGCAAATGAATTCCAATCACCTGTTAGTCATTCCTTTTGATATATATGATTTATTTTATTTCAGGAAAAATTCCAGCCATAAGGCAGCATGACTGATAATATTGTTCCAATGTTTGCTACTTCGATTTTTACATCATTTGTGATAGGGCTCTGTTTTCAAAATGAAAAATGCTGTGAAACAGATAATCTACATATCAGAATATCTTTAGCCCTCTAATTTAGATAATCTAAAATCAACTTAAAAACTTGATTATCTAATATTGTTAATAAAGATTGCAAACCAATTGATTTTTGTGGATTTTGGGAGTAGAAAAATAATTAGAATATAAATAGCTGCAAATGAATCAATCTTTGATATTTTCTTACTCAATAAACCAATAAGATTGCAAAATTAGGAAAATTAATGGTTCCAAATTTGGCTCTCAAGGGATAAACATAGAAATAATGTTTCCACAAAATAAACTGGTTTATAGTACTTTTATTTTGTGTTTTGTACTTACATTGACCAATTTACAATGATTTACTTACTTTTATTGATCTGACACAATGCTGGAAGTTTGGTATCACAATCTTCATCTGTCCAAAAATCTTCTCCAACAGCTATACAAGGTTTACTCGGCAAATAATCTGAATTCAAATGAGTGTAGATTACAGGCCAACCATTACTCCATTGATAAGTTATACCATCCTGAAAATGAATAGGAATTATAGTTACATTTATTTTATAAACAAAAATATAATGCACTGGAAGTAACATGAATTCACAAATTACTATCTTTTAAGTTAAAATTTGACAAATGGACAGAAGTTAACCTATATTCCCGACCTCCTTGATAAACAAAGAAACTGTACATTCAGAAATTTTTACAATATTTTCATTCTGGGGAAAATTATGATGGGATAGGTTTTGCAGAAGTCAAAACTTTTATTTTAAATTTTGAAAGCATTTTTTGTAGGAACCATTTTCTTCAATCTCAATAAGAAAATTTGCATTTTTATGCCCCACCTACAATAGTAGTAGGGCATTATGTTTTCTGGTCTGTGCATCCCTCCGTCTGTCCCACTTCAGGTTAAAGTTTTTGGTCAAGGTAGTATTTGATGAAGTTGAAGTCCAATCAACTTGAAACTTAGAACACATGTTCCCTATGATATAATCTTTCTAATTTTAATGCCAAATTAGAGTTTTGACCCCAATTTCAGGGTCCACTGAACATAGAAAATGATAGTGCGAGTGGGTTATCCGTGTTCTATGGACACATTCTAGTTGTCCATTTTTAAAAAATCATAATAATAAAAAGTATAATAACAAAAATACAAAACTCCAAGGAAAATTAAAACGTAAAGTCCCTTATCAAATGGCAAAATCAAAAGCTCAAAGACATCAAACGAATGGAAAACAACTCTTATATTCCTTACTTGGTACAGGCATTTCTTTATGTAGAAAATGGAGGATTAAACCTAGTTTTATAGCTAGCTAACCCTCTCACTTGTATGACAGTTGCATAAAATTCCATTATATTGACAACAATGTGTGAGCAAAACAAACAGACATAATAGAGAAATAATAGATAAAAAATATCAAAAGTACAGCAGTCAACAACGTGTTGTAATCTAAATCACTATAAAAACAAACAACTATGTCGACAAAGAAAAACAAAAACAAAATGCACACAAAAAACACAATAAAATTTTAATGTGAAAGTTTATCTAGAAACAATAAACACAAATTTTAGCCTCTCTAGAATTAAAATTGCACTATTATTCATTTGAGAATAAAAAAAACATTCATTCACTTCAATTCATAAATTACCTCAGAATTCATATTGTTGAGGCCGATCCAAAATGGTAGTGATGACTTGTTATAAGTGAGATAACTAACAAAACTTTTCTCTGGAAGGTTACGTATGGATGCTAAGCTACCTCCATCTTCTTGACAATTTGACAATGAAGTATTCCAATCATTAGTTGCTTCAAATAATTTATAACACATTTGATCATATTTTTCATATCCTGGTGGACAGTACTCAGATTCAGAAGTATCTGTAGGAAATATAGGATCTGAAATAAAAATTAAAAGAGATTAATATATTCAGAATTTCTTACACAATGTGACATTTTTAGGGAGTCCTCATCCAAAACGACGACTGTATCACACGTTTAGGCTAAAAGTTTGTCCAAAATTTTATTCTGCTTAGAATATTTTTGCCTAAAATTCTATTCAGCTTAGAATATTTAATCTAACATTTTCCTCTTAGATTAAATACTTAAAAAATCACTTAATCATTTTCAAAATTTCATTGAAAATATTCCTGAATGGCAAAGGCAGTCTAACCCAAAATTTACCTAGCCTGTGGTTTTGAGTATTGTAAATAGAGAAATTATTGCAAGGTTTTTATTAATGCAAATAATGCGACTACTTGTGCAATAATTGAATTTGCATTTTTGTTAATTCTTGTTAAAACTGTTTAATTACACCGAGTAGGAAAATATATATCTAGACAATTAAAATACTATATGTTAGTCTTATTTCACTGTAAGGGGGGCTGAGTGGTCTTAGTCAGTGGCGGATCCAGAGGGGGGCAAAGAGGGCGTACGCCCCCCCCCCCCCCCCCCTTTGCTTAAACTTTTTTTTTTTTTTTTTGTTAAATGATGAATCAGACTAGACTGCGTGAACTTTGCAATTTCCCGGTCGTGCATTTAATTTTTATGCAACAATTCTTTACTTATAAAGATATTTTTCGCTCGTATTTACTGTAATATATTATTGATTATGTCAGTCATGTGTTTCGCTACAGTGGAGTTGATCAGTACGTTTGAAACGTCTCTCAGTCATTTTGAAATTCAAATTACAGCAACACATGCACGACGCCTTCAAAGCGACAAAGGATAGAGCAAGAACGTATTGACTTCTATTTCATATTTCCACTCAACAGAAAGTAATACTCTATTACACTCTCATGAAAAAAAAGTTCCACGGCAATATTATTTACCTACGAAAATATGTTTAACCCCACACGCCCCAGCCAATTAATAACATTGCTGAATAATGATCCCCAGTCAGTAAGCTCTAGATATATTTAAAGTCTAAGGTGCGGACCATTTGATTTGATAGGGCAGTCTGAGATATTTTAGAGAAAAAATTATGACATTGATTTTTGCCTTAAACAAAATTCTGGCCTTATCTGTAATGAAAACAATTATTGTGTCCCCTTTTTTGCTATTAGAAAAAAAAAATCCAACAGAATTATTCAGCATTAAATTAACATGGTGAATAAAAAATGGGCGTAATTTTTTTTGGGGTTGGGGAGGGGAGGGGGTTGCATGTAAATCCCATATCTGACTGGAATGTCTGTTTCGCCGAACTGATATACTGAATACTTTTTTCAAGGCCCAACTGCAACCTGCCTGCTGGGTGTGGCCTTTATGTCTCAATTTGTCGACAGTCATTCACAACTTCGTTGTCATTTGATTTTCAGACTCATTCGTAGCCGTTGGTTGATTTGGAACCCCTCACTTCCCTTGTTGAGTGAAACATTTCAACCAAACATTTGGATAAAAATTGCTTGTTTGTCTTTGTTCGTGTTGGTCGTATTATAAACTTCATTGAATAGCCGTATATCATGTTTACAATAAGTAATCTGTGAGGTTATGCTAACTAACCATACAACAAACGAGCTTTTGAATTTTCAATGTCCATTTTTTACTGACAAATCCCACATCAAATGTATTAGTACATAGCTTTAGATCCATTCTATCATTTTATAATAGACAACTAATAGGGAGAATGCGCCATAAAAAATGTCCAACCCAAGCTTACACTTTAACTATAAAATATACATACCCCACGTTAGGAACCGTCACTTAAAATGTGCATTTTACACTTATTATTATGTTTTATAGCCCAAAAAGGTCCAAAAAATTTTTACATACTACACCCCCCCTTTCCAAAATCCTGGATCCGCCCCTGTTAGTAGTTCACTGATGTTGTGAGTTCGAACCCTGCACATAGCAGGTGCATTCTACAATCTGAATTGACTAGGAATGCAAATTTTCATGCTGATGGTCAGTGGTTCTCTCTATAGCTAGAAACTCCACCTTCCTTCACCAATAAAAACTGGCCACCACAATGCTCCCCATCTGCACATTTATAGAGAAAACATTTTTATTTCAAGGGTTAAATATACTAGTAAGTTTGGAAGGACAAATACAATTCATAGTGGGATACCATCCAAAAACCAACTTAAAAAAAATGTCTTTATCTAGTAAAAGTGACCTTGACCTTTGACCCATTGATCCCAAAATCAATGGGTTCTACCTCTTCCCTATATCTTCCATCTATAAATTTTAAATTTAATCAAGCCACCATACGGAAACCATTTGTCCATTTCATTAACTATTTTTAGAAGCAGTGACCTTGACCCTGGACTCAAAAATCAATAGGCTACTTCTCAGTCCCTATATCTTCCATCTGTACAAGTTTCAGTTCTAAAAAAGCAAGATACTCGAGTTACCATGCATCCACAAACTGCTTGTTTCAGACACATGGGAGGATGGACAGACAAAGCCATAACTTTATGCTTTAGAACTTTTTTGAAAGCATACTAAGTATAGACCATCATGTATATTCCCTGTTATATAAGTAATATAAAAAAACAAAAGTCACATTAAAGAAGTAGTGGCAAAACAGCCATTATTTGGCCGAAATATTAGTGCAAATTGAAAAGTTACCATACATATTCTTAATTTTTCAAAAGGTACAAGGTGTTCAGAAAATAAAAACAAATATTACCATTTGCAACAATATCATAACGGAGTTTGTATTTTTTGTACAATTTCTTGATTTTCCTTGTTTTACATCAACTTTTAAGTAAAAGTCAGATTGGAAAAGTATGTGGACACCCATTGTCAGAAACAACTTTAAATTCAGTGAGATTATGTAAATAGTTATAACCAAGCTTCTCCTAAATTATTGTGTTGTTTCTTGACTGCACACTATGTTTCCACAATGGAAATAATGATGGAAAACTGAATAAATTCTAAAGTTTTCTTTGGTTTTTTTATGAAAACAGTGCATATTATGATGTAATTGTGACGTCATTACATCAAAAATCTTATGTTATTTATTTACATTTCTTGTTCTTATGCATTTCCAAACATTATGTGCAAATTTGAAATAGCTTTCCAATACTTTATCTTTTTCGGCCAATCCTTTCTTTAATAACATCATTATAAATACTTTGAACTAAGTGAAAAACTTACTTTGTAACCCCTGACAGATGAAATACAAAGATGAACTGCATCTTTCATCATTCCATTCTCCAAACTTCTCCTTTATCACAAAGAGATCAACACAATGTTCCTATACAAAAGTAAACAAATATATCAACACAAATCTATACAAAAGTAAACAAATATATCAACACAATTCTATAAAGAAGTAAACAAATATATCAACACGAATATTTACAAATTCAACACAATGCTCCTATACAAAAGTCAACAAATATATCAACACAATGCTTCTTTGCAAAGGTCAAATGATAGTCATAATAAAACACACAATGCTTCTTTACAATAGACAAACAAATATATCACCACTAGGCAACAATTATATCAAAATAGATTCTTAAAAAAAAAGACAACAAATATATCAACACACTGTTCCTACAGTAAAAGTCAACAAATATATCAGCACAATTCTCTTACACAGAAGTCAACAATTAAATGAACACAATTCTCCAATAAAGAAGTCAATAAATGTATCAACACAATGCTTAATTACAGAAGTCAACAAATATATCACCAGTATGTTCTGATATAAAAGTAAACAAATATATCACCAAAATGTTCTTATACAATGTTCAAATACACAAGTCAACAAATATATCACACATGTTCTGATTTAAAAGTCGACAAATATCTGTTCTTTTACTAAAGTACCTACTATATAGTCAATAAATGTATCAACACAATGCTCTATTACAGACGCAAAAAAAATATCAACACAATGCTCCTATACAGAAGTCAACACATATATCACCAAACAGTTCTTATACGAAAGTCATCAATTGTATCTTCACAATGTTCCAATACATAAGTCAACAAATATATCATCAAGATGTTCTGATGTAAAAGTCAACAAAGGTATGTTCCTTTACTAATTTATTTTATATATAATCAACAAGTCAACAAATATATCACCAAGATATTCTGATGTAAAAGTCAACAAAGTATGTTCCTTTACTAATGTATTTTATATATAATCAAAATGTTCCAATACACAAGTCAACAAATATATCACTAAACTGTTCTTATACGAAAGTCATCAATTGTATCTTTACAAAAGAGGGACGAAAGATACCAGATGGACAGTCAAACTCATAGATCGAAAACAAACTGACAACGCCATGGCCAAAAATAAAAAGACAAACTGACAAATAATAGTACAGATGACACAACATAGAAAACTAAAGACTAAGCAACACGAACCCCACCAAAAACTGGGGGTGATCTCAGGTGCTCTTTGTATCTTTACAATGTTCCAATACATAAGTCTACAAATATATCACCAAGATGTTCTGAGATATAAAAGTCAACAAAGGTATATTCTTTCACTAATGATTTTATATATAACCAAAATGTCTTCACAACATTTATAAACTGATATGTCAACATATATATGTAACACTCAAAATCATGTCAATTCCCCAAAAGTGTCCATATACTGCAAAACATGTCTAGTTGCTAAAGGGCGCCAAAGTGTGTCCTTTTTATGACCGCCCTATTGTATTCATTCAAAATAAAAATGCCCAAACTTGTCAATATGGATCCAAAACGTCTCCCTTCAATATGAGCACTCAATCATGTCCATATTTTAAAAACATCCAATCATGTCCACTTTTATTTAATAGTAATAGTGTTGTTTAAATACAAATACAATCAATATCATTACATTACAGGAACCTTAGTTTTTTTGTTGTTGTAAAAATGGGACAGTAACTTTTAAAAAGCCCAGACACCACTTCTATAGGAACTAAGCCATGCAATACCCTCTTATATTATTAAGATAGTTGGGCATCATCAGAGTATATTAGTACAAAAGAGTTCACTGAGTAAACGATGAATATAACTGTACAAAACTAATTAGTTGCAAATCTTATGTTCGCTATAAATATGCATGACATATTTGCCACTGGACATTAGGCAATCAACAGTCAAGAGTTAATTTATGTGTTGCAAATTAACTTGCAATCATGCTAAATATTAACAACCGGCACTGAGCAAACTAATGCTAATAAATGACCACACAATCAATAGTTAAAGCACTGGGAAAACATTTTTGATATCTTAAGTTTGAAGTGCCTCCATTTAAAATTTAAAAAAGTAATAATCATATTTTTTTTTTAAATTAATGAAACCACTGTAAGTAAAATTAAATTCTTATTGTGCCATTCTTATTAAAATTTAAAACAGTAATAATCATATTTTAAAAAATAAAATAATAAAACCACTGCAAGTAAAAATAAATTCTTATTGTGCCATTCTTTTTCTTATCAGTTTTTTCAAAGCAGAAGTTAGTGATTTCATCTTTCTCTGTGGATAGTGTACATTTGCCAATACGCATCACTACACCTTTTCTCTAGATGTCCTTGGATAGCAACTTTTGGTCTTTTTTCAGAATCTGCAATCAAAACACGACGTCTTTAATCGTGTCCATCATCATTGAATTGCTGTAAACGTGATTGACGTCACTTAGGACATATTATAGCTAAAAGTTTGGACAAGTTATAGCGAACAACAATTATCGGACACATATTGGGGTATGGGACACGATTGGGGGGATGGACACATTTGGGAGTGTTACATATATATCATCCTATACAGTGTTCCAGCTAGGATTTCAAAGGGCAGGGGCCAATCATGAAAAGGGCACTTTTGCACGCTGATTGATGATTCAAAAAGGGCATGTCAAACATTGTCTTTTGTAAACAGCAGGGGTTTCAGCTAGGAGTTTTGAGGGCTTTATTCACTTTTACGCGAGATGAAAATAAAACCTTATTTTGGGTAACAGAAAGGGACCAAGGATGTATATTACTACTACTAGCTATACAAATGCCCAAGTCCTTCAAGGACCAGGATTTTTAATTGAATGGCTTAAACATGCTAAAATCATGAACTGTAGGCAGTCTTGGCATGATTTGACTGGTATGATGCTTAAATATGAAGATTAGACCAAGGACCCGGAAATTTATTTCATTTTTTTTTAAGGGACATCCTGATCAACAAAAGTTGGGTTCCTCTTTTTTAAAACCAGGAATCACAGCATAATTTCCATAAATGAAATTGTAAGGACTATTTCACTGGATAATCACTATCCCTGTAAAAATGTTTAAATCTGTATTTTGAATTCATTTTTATAAACTTGGAACGATTAAAATGACTGTCTATTTTAAATTAATCAAGAGAAGATCACGTTCACTTTCGATTTTTAAACAAGTGAAAACAGGAAGTGACAAGGGGATAATAAATTTAGAATGAATCCGGATTCATCTACGGATTGGGTTTTGTTTAACAAAAAGGCAGGAAATTATTTTTTTTTAAATTAAGTTGCTCAGTAAGAAATATATTTGTCTCTCTCGTTAAATTTGATACTAAATGATTTCGTATTTACGTGTCTATTAAATTTATAAAAATACGTTCACCCATGCGCGGTACATGATAAAGAAAGCACATGTTTGACTCTTGAAAATATTTTTGAACGTTTTGAATAAAGTTTTATCGAAATTGTCAAAAGATTTTAATGAAAAGTTATGTAAAATGTGACGAAACTACATCAACCCAGCTGCAATTAAAATGCGAACTGTCTGGGAGAAAACAATATTTTGTTCAATTGACGAAACTACAAAAACATCTATGGATAAACGAACTGTCAATTGTGGTCTTTTGAGAAATATTGAATTTGAAATGCTTTCTGACCGATTTTACAGGGAAAATTAATTATATTGGTCAATTATGAGGTTTAATTAACGGATTAGTGAACCATTCCATGGCGATAAGCGGATTACCTGTAATCACAACTTAACACCTGCTGTAAATGTAGAAACATGAAGACAGGTAGATTCATAGTATTTTCATCAAAATATTATGTCAATAAAGGCATGGACTTGCGAAAAAGGGCAGGGCGTCTTAAAAAGAGCACAGGGCGGCAGTCGGGAAAGGGCGGGCGGACCGCTCTGTGAAAACGATCAAGCTGGAACACTGCTATACAAAGGCAGCAAATAAATCAGACCACACAACAAATATATCAGAATGATACTCCTATATAAAAGGTCAATATTAAATATATTATATACACAAAAGTCAACACGATTATATATCGGCTAAAGCATTGCAGCAGATCATGACCCCCTGCACTGGTCATAACATTGCTTCATAGATATAAGAAGATGTGGTGTGAGTGCCAATGAGACAACACTCCATCCAAGTCAAAATTTATAAAAGTAAGCCAATATAGGTCAAAGTACGGTCTTCAACACGGAGCCTTGGCTCACACCGAACAGCACGCTATAAAAGGCCCCAAAAATTACTAGTGTAAAACTATTCAAAGGGGAAAACCAACGGTCTAATCAATATAAAAAACTAGAAACGAGAAACACTTATGAACCACATCAACAAACGACAACAACTGAACATCAGATTCCTGACTTAGGACAGGTGCAAACAATTGCAGCGGGTTTAAACGTTTTAATGGTAACATCACATCATAGAAAGATGACTTCGACATCTGCAGATTAAATACTTTCAGCATGCTTACTGCAACAGAACTACTTCAAGATGGAAAGTGTTTCTAGTTGATGTATAAGCATGCAGACCTGCCAACCTTCGCGATTTATGGGGGATTTCCCCACCAAGAGGTGTTGACCTTAATTTTAAAATTCTTTATCTTTATAATCTGAAACACCTCAAAACAGGCATTCAAATGCGCTAAAAGGGTATTAAGCACATACCTACTCATTCAAACAATACAGTAGTAGATTTAAAACACTTGTAACCATTTACCAACGTTTAAAATTCCCCATGGAGATTTTGAAAAGTTGGCAGGAACGAGCATGTGAGAAAGTGAGGGAAAAAAAGTTTGTCACACTTTCTAATGAAATACTGACATTTACACCCAAAAAAAGGCAAAAACTGAGGATTTGGAGAACTTTGACCAAATCTTCTGGGTTTCAACCATGTTTGCATTAAAATTTAAATGATTAATACTGTGACATCATTAAAACAAACCCTGATATGTAAATTTTCAAAATTATAGATATATTTTCTATCTTGACATTGTTTTAACTATAATTCAATGTGATAATAGCCATACTATTTTGAAAAGTAAGCTAAAACCAGGAACCTTACTTGGGCCTTGTCAAACCTACTCCTTTATTCTCTTGTCTAAGATCAGTGTGATTTATAGCTTGACATTTAAGTAAAGACACTTGTCTATTGTTGAAGATTGATGTTGAAATCAAAATAATCTGTGTTTGTAATAAAATTGAGAATGGAAATTCTAAGTTGCTACTTCATTGATTCGTACACTACATATCCTCTTATTCATATGAATTTAAGGAACTGAGTTTTTCTCTCTCAGATTTTAAATTGTTCAATCTATGTCTCAAGTTTAAGAATTGATAACTATATTGCTTTCATGTGTCCTAATGGGTTAACAAAATGTTAGCTCTTTAAAAAGACAGAATCTCATGTCACACCAGAAGTTTTATCATTTTGACCAATAAATTCTCATTTGACACTAGAACATTTCATTCCATACCAATAGATAACTATATCACACTACCAGATTCTAGTTTTACACTAGAAGTTTTCATTCCATGTCAACAGATTCTTATTTCACATCAGAGAAGTTTTTCATTCCATACCAACAGATTTTCATTTCACACAAGAAGTTGTCATTCCATGTCAACAGATTTTTATTTCACATTAGAGAAGTTTTTCATTCCATACCAACAGATTTTCATTTCACACTAGAATTTATTCATTTCTTATCAACAGATTCTCATTCTGAACTACAAGTTTGATCATTTAATACCAAAAGATTTTCATTCCACACTAGAAGTTTCTCGTTCCATATCAATAAATTATTATTTCACTCCAACAAATTCTCATTCCACACTAGAAGTTTATCATTGCATACCAATAGATTCTCATTCCACACTGGAAGTTTATCGTTTCATATCAATAGATTCTCATTCTCCACTAGAAGTTTTTTATCTCACATCAATAGATTATCATTTCATACTAACATTTTCTCATTCCATACAAGAGGTTTTTTATTCAACATCAATACATTACTATTTCTCACAAATAGATTCTCATTCCACACTAGCAGTTTTTTCATTCAATATCAATAGATTACTTAACCACACCAACAGACTCCCATCAACACTAGAAGTTTGTCATTCCATACCAATAGATTTTGATACCATACTGGACATTTTTCATCCCATATCAATTGATAACTATTTCACACTTATATATTCTCATTCCACACTAGAAGTTATTCCTTTCATATCAATACATTACTTAATCATTCTTACAGATTCCTATTCCACACAAGAAGTTTCTCATTTCATACAAACAAATTCTTAATCCACACTAGAAAATATTTATTCCATACAGACAAATTCTAATCCAAACTAGAAGTTTTTTTTTCCATAACAACAGATTCCCATTCCACACTAGAAGTTTTTCATTTTATACAAGTAGATTCCCATTCCACACTTTAAGTTTTTGTATCCATACAGATCAATTCTAATTCCTCGCTGAAATTGTTTCTTTCCATACTGATAAATTCTCATTCCCATTACACACTTGAAGTTTTTCATTTTATACAAATAGATTCCCATTCCACGCTAGAAGTTTTTCTTTCCATACAGATCAATTCTAATTCCACAACTGAAACTTTTTCTTTCCATACTTATAAATTCTCACTCCGCTCTAGAAGTTATTCATTCCATATCAATAGATTACTATTTCACACTAACAGATTTCCATTCCACACTAGAAGTTTTTCATTTCATACCAATATATTCTGCTACCTCATCCCATATCAATTGATCACTATTTCACAGCAACAAATTCTCATTCCACACTAGAAGTTTATCATTTCATACAAATAATCTACCATTCCACACTAGAAGTTTTTCGTTCCATACAGACAAATTCTAATTCTACACTAGAAGTTTTTCTTTCCATACTGACAGATTACCATTCCAACTAGAAGTTTTTTATTTTTCATAATTAGATTCTGAGTCCACCACAGAAGTTTTCCATTTATACAAAGAGATTCTCATTCAACACAAGTAGTGTTTTATTCCATACTGGTCAATTCTCATTTCACAGGAATTTTTCTTTCAATACTGACAGATTCCTATTCTCAGAATAAGACGTTTTTCTTTCCATTCCAACAAATTATAATTCCAAACTAGAAGATATTCTTTCCATGACCACAAATTTCTCATTCCACGCAAGAAGTTTTTCATTTCATACCAACAGATCTTCATTCCCCACTAGCAGTTTTTCACTCCATAGCAATAGATTCTCATTCCTCACTAGAATTTTTTTCAATTCATATCAATAGATTCTCACTTCACACTAATAGATTCTTATTTCACACTTACATTCCCAATGTCATGCAAGTATTTTCACATCTTACGTACATTATACCCATTAGGCTCCTTAGAGTTCCAGTTAGTGTATGAAACTTGTGAACCATCATCCCAATAATACTTCCTGTAGGTATGTTCATCTGTCATTCCTATCCAGACCATCTCTAGGCTGTTAATCAGCATAGTGGTTATAAACACTACAAATAAATAATTTGTGATGAAAACTAAAAAAAAAAATAAAAAATAATTACAGAGGCACAATGCATAGATTTACCTTGCAGCACCAGAAAAACATAATTCCAAATACAAAACTATCATTGTCTAGCTAACATTAGTTTTGATTTCAAGAAATTTTTGTATATTAATTGTTGCTGTAGCCTAGAACATTGATCCAGTTACCTAAATATCAATAGCTCTCCAAATATTAGTCCAACCCCAGCTATAACCTTGACCTACACCTTTGTGATCTCAAAATGAGAAGAGGTCTTTATAATCCAATGGGGAATTATCAAGGAAAGTTTAGCTAAGATCTTTTTGTGGCGGAAGAGATATTGTCGGGAAACAAAACTTTCCCAAAATTTCAGTCCGTCTATATCCACTGTGACCTTAACCTTTGACCTCATATGTTGACCACATACATCATATCATAACCGAATTCATTTGCTCAAAGTCCGCTAAAAATAAAGCCTGAAGATGATATAGATAACGTTAGACTTACTCTGTTCTAATTCACTCTGTATAGTGACCAAACCATATGTCTTTCCATAAGCTTCACAAGTTGCTTTTGCTTGGCTCCAAGTTTTCTTTGTTTTAAAAAATCCATAACATTTACTATCTGAAAGATATCAAAAAATTACAAAGGAAAAAACTGTTAAGCAATTCATTCAAAACAAAAATTGCATAATTGGGCTTTTAAATTTCAACAGGTATGGAGAACTAAGAAAAAATTATCCATATAACTTATAAGTATCACAACTCAGTAAAACATTTGTCTGACAAAATACAAGAATGTTCCACGAAAAATTAATTTAAACAAAATTCTAGACTATTATATCATAATTTCAACAAATTAACAAGACCACTACAAATCTCCAGAACTCTGGCCTACAGGCTTAACTAAATTTGTTATACTGATCAAACAAGTAGCTGCACATGCTTGTCTTTCTAAACATACAGACACACTTAATTCAAAGTATCATACAACAGAAAGTATACATATGACCGATCTGAAAAAGGTCTGTAACTTCAGTTCTTCAATGTTGCATGGTTCGTAATTAACTTTTTTAACAACTTGACCTTCTGACAAGTGACCATTGTAAAATATTTGTCAGTAAGATAAAACCACTTGTCCAAATTTTGTACTTGCTTTAAACTGCCAATTATGGACAATAAATGGTAAATGCATTTCAAAAAAGTATGAAATGTAGTGGATTGCTTAAAGTGTTGTACCATGTCACTTGAACCCCACCAGCTCATCAGTGAGCAAACTCAAAGAAGAATATATGGTTTAAAAGTCATAACATAATATTTTTTTATAGTTTTGTGTGTTTATTGTTTGTTGAATTTGTGATGATTTATATGTCTGTATTTTACAGAATTTTAAAATATTCCATTCCACACTATATTAGATTATATTATGTATAATCTGATTACTGTAAATTCAGAAATTATTGTGAGGTTTTTATTAATGCAAATAGTGCGACTGGGTAAGTATCGCAATTATTAGACCTCTCATTCTGATATCTGATATATGCATCTGTATGCAGAATTTCCATAAATCGCAATAATTAATCTTGCATTATTGTCCATTCTTCATAAATCGCAATAATAAATACACGCAATAATTTCTGAATTTACAGTAGTTCATCAAAGAATGTGCCAATATTTTTAAAATATCAAGTTAGAAAAGCAAAATCCTAAATATACGTTAATTTGTCGACATGCCTTGCAATTGGTTGGTTGTTATGATGATTTATTTATATAAAAAAGAGAATTAATTAGTAGATTCAGTATTTTCACCATTATAAATTTTGATGTTTACTTGCCCATTGGACAAGTACACAACAGCTTCAACTTCCCCGATGGTGACTTTCACTTGTCCCAGGCAATTGGACAGCCTATAATGTTGAACCCTACATTGTTTCAATAACATGATAGGACACTTGCAAGACAAAAAAGATTAGTAATCTGAAGACCTCAAAACAGGCATTCAAATGAATTAAAAGGGTATTTAAGCACATATATACTCATTCAAACAATATAGTAGTAGATTAAGAACACTTATGACAATATAAGAGGAGCATTAGGTCCTCCTATGTTAAAATCCCCCATTGAGATTTTGAAAAATTAGCAGGTACAGATTACTGGATTTTACTGTAAAGTGAAATGAAAGAGTTTGAAAGCTATTGTACTTCCCATCAATAATTGAATTGAACAATATATATTATAGAAAATTAAGATATTCCATATATCTTTTATGACTCAATCTAAATATGATTTCTATTTTATTTTTTTTAACTATCAATGTCAAAACTAAAACAACAAAACACATTAAAGAAGGACAGACAGAATTTGCTAATTTTGATAGCATCATTGGAAAAACAAATAACACTAAGATAAAAGTGTCTGGAGAGTTATTTTAGAAGTGTGTATCATATTTACCTCCAGAATCACTGAAGAGACATTGACACAATATGCATCTGGTGCAGTAAAATAAGCACCGTTTATGTTATAATAATGGTTGGGTTCAAGTAATTAAGGTACGAGTAGGTACAGGTTTGAGTTGACACAGATCCAATATAGCTATCTGTCACTGTGCTATTTTGCTAAACATACAAAGGCAGACAAGAAGTTAACTTTGGAACACCAATATTGCCATTCTATGTCCTTTTCCAATCTAACATGAACTTCTGATTTCATTGAATCTGTGAAAGGAATATAAAGACCTGAGCCAGACTAATCATTCAAGTTTCAAATTCAACAGACCATTAATGAGGAGGGAGGGCCAATTAATCTCCGCTGAAATGAGAAGTGCAAATGCTTTGTATACATCTGCATACCAAATATCATTGATTTATCATACATTGTTCCCTTAAACTGACCTAATCACAAATTTTAGGGAAGAGGGGTTTGATTTCATTGAATCTGTGAAAGGAATATAAAGACCTGAGCCAGACTAATCATTCAAGTTTCAAATTCAACAGACCATTAATGAGGAGGGAGGGCCAATTAATCTCCACTGAAATGAGAAGTGCAAATGCTTTGTATACATCTGCATACCAAATATCATTGATTTATCATACATTGTTCCCTTAAACTGACCTAATCACAAATTTTAGGGAAGAGGGGTTGAATAATCTCCATGGAAATATGATATGCCAACACTATTACAATGGCTTAACAAACATCATTTACCACTAGCAGTTCTCCTTACCCTGATCAAATCATGAACTTTAACAAATTGTTGCTGCTCACACGGCCCGAAACATGTCCAAGTCTCACTTTTTGACTCCGTCAGGGCAAGATAAAAATTGAACTGTCTAACATGGACAAATCTCATCAGACCCAACATTAAAAACCATAAATATCTTACTGAACGTAGATCTGATGAATCCTCCCAAACATCCACCTCTCACTGTAGGCATAGTAGAGGCTGGGGTTGTTGTAAAACTATCTGTGTCATTTTTTCTCTTGCAAATATAACCTGTTTTGAGTCTTTTACAGTTAGAGTCAATCCAACGACCTGAAACACAATATTTGGATAGATTAACATCAAGATTTTTTTCCACTATAAAACACTGTGACCTACCAGGAAGGCATTTTAGCCAGACCTTCATTTTGTTAATCAAATTTAGACGACTTTCCAAACAAGATATGGACACATCTAGAACTGTGAGTAAACTAAAAAAATGAATACTCCTACACAATTAATTTGATAACTTCCCCTATAATATGCTGAACAGATATTTTATTGCTGCATAAACATCCCCAACTAGTGTTCAACAGCTGTGAAAAGTTTCATTTATATCCATTCAGCCAGATAGGAGTTGCACTTACAATGCAAATGTACAATCAGACAGACTGAACCTGACTGTATCTTGACAATCCTGTTGACAAAAGGATAACCTGGTTTGCCTGAGCCCCAGGATACATACCTAAACCGGACTGTATCTTGACACACATGTGAACAGAAGCGTAACCTGGTTTGCCTGAGCCCCAGAATACATACCTGAACTGGACTGTATCTTGACACACTTGTTAACAGAAGGATAACCTGGTTTGCCTGAGCCCCATGATACATAGTTCACTGGGGAATTATCATTCCATCTAAAATATAATGTACATGTATATGAACAATTTTAAACTCCTTAAAAGTTCCAATAGGGGCAATCATTTGATAATCTATCTTATTATGAGCATGTAATAAGACCAAACTACTAAACTTGCAATGTTATGTCTGGTAGCTTTGTATGACACATCTTTGTTTCTATGGAAATATTGTCCTTTTTCTTTACCAAAAATTGCTATTTTTTTTATTTTTTTTTTGAAATTGGATATTTGGCGCAAGGAGAAGGTTGAGTCCTGAAATGTTATTTGTTATATAGTGTGTCCCCTCCGATCTAAGCAATACTTTGAATTGGAGTTGGAATAATGTTGCTTTGTTCATAATTGTACAATTGTAATTGAACTTATTTTTAGAACAGATCGAGTCATACACCATGCACAACTTATGCTATTTTCAATAAAATGATTTTCTTGACAAGTATGTTTATACACATCATTTTGTAACTTGATGATGATGATGATGGATGGCTCCTTAATGTCCAGCGGCAAATTAATATGCATATTCAGGACGAGAACATGTTAATGTAATATGAACATTAACCCTGCTTTGTACTAGACCGACACGCTGAGCCGGATTTTTAACGTTCTAGTTCACAAGGTAACAGTCCGCAAGAAGACATATCACCTTACCTGGACACGATATTCTGACTCTGAGCCAACCAGTCTTTGCTCTTACTCCTTAATGCCACCTGCTTGGTGGAGAAGCAGCAAATACCAATTTTAAAGTCTTCGGTTTGACCTGTCCGGGTTTTGAACCCACGACCTCCCGCACTCGAGGTGAACACGCTACCACAACACCACCAAGGCAGTTTTTTGTAACTTGAATACCAGAGTATATATTATTAATAATTATCAATAAATTCATGAAATAGGCTGGAGAATATTCACCTGATTGCACTTTGTTGTTTGAACTCTCACAGGTAGAGATGAGGTCTTGAGAATATAGCTATCAAGCCAGTGAAATAAGGGTTTTGATTACATTTTTTAAACTCTTTACCCCAAAAAGTGAATCTGTTTTTTTGTTTTTTTTTTTTGTTTGTTTCAAGTTTCAAAGACTACTATGCTTCTCCTCTGAATTTTGACACCATTATTTTCGGTTACACAACCTTTTGCTTTTACACAGTATGTCATCTAAAATGTAAGTTTGTGCTAACATCATGAATATACAGAGTACTGTATATTTAGAAACTTTTGCGTGCATTTATTATTGGGATTGCCTCACCTATCCTACACACTTTTTGAAATAATACAAACGTCGCAAAAACTTCTGAATTTACAAAATTTAATAAAATGGTCTTTCAGTAAATCTTGGTGTTACTTTTATCTGTTAAAGCTTTCCAATTCCTTTTTGTGTAATAAATCTTAGAGAAAGTAACAATAATAAGTTGGAAATGCAAAGAAATAATTAAGGCCATTATTTATCCTTTAATTGCAGATTTATTCCTTCACAGTTATTAATCAGTTTGTTGCTTAAATTCATGAGGAACTTACAGAAACTTATAATAGCAGGTCAAAAACTAAAATCAATGGTGATTTGTTGACCCAGGGGTGAGTCATTAACAAATGTGGGAGTAAGTAAATTCCCAAGGTTAGTGAGGTTACACCTGTCAAAATCTGGTCTATTGACCTGGATGATTATAGGTTATCCCCATGAATTAACAAGGAATGCAAGTGTTGTCCTGTTAAGCAAACCCCCATTAGTAATTCAAAGTATCTGAAAATAGGAAGTAAACACCTGACAGATCCGAATAGTGCTTACACATTACAACTCATAACTGTGAAGCTGCTTACCAATATTAGGTAAATAATATTATTAAGTAGTTTCTGAGAAAAGTGTCATCAAAATATTTGCTGGACAGACACAAGGTGATTGCAATATTGCCCCACTTCTAAAGTGGGAATATAATATATGCCATAACCAATAACTATCAATGTGTACACCTCAATAAAGACACACCTTTAATGACATCATCAAAGCAAGAGACAAAGTCTGTAAAATGAATGGAAAAGAAGTGATGTGATGAACTAAGTCATGATTCATTAGCAAAATCAAAAATCACAAAACCAAAAGCAGAACACTGCTTTTATTTGTAATTCTTCTGAAGGTTGATGTTTTTTTCCATAGAGAATACCTTTACAAAGAATAGTACAAATGTTACCTGTAGCCTTCATACTGACGATTCAATTTATTCAGACCAATCCACATATCAGACTTTCCATAAATCTAAAAGTAATATACATTCATATAACAAAATTATATCAATTACTGTGAATTTTGTTTATTTTATGGGTACCAATTTCCATGGATTGAGGTAAGTTTGTATTATCTTGGAAATTTTACTTCATTATATTTTTAAACTCTGCATACAAGCCTATATAAAATTTGTTCTTCATTTAACATTTAAATTCAAGGTTTACCTATACCCAGAAAATCAGTCAAGTGTGGTTCTAATTGGGTAAGTACCGGTAGTTTCAAAGGAGATTTTTTTAAGTTAACAGATGACGATGCGAAAAGGTAACAGATGATGACAAGTGATGGGAAAAGGTCACATGACCATTTGGGCAAGTTCAGCTAAAAATGGCAATAGCTATACAGATGTTAATATGAGGTCTTAAAAAATAGATAAGTGCCCATACCACATGCCAAGCTCTCAAATGCCTCGTGCTTATAATGGGCAATTTGCAGAATCAAATTTAACATAAAATGGATCAGAGACTCAAACAGCCAGGTTGGAAAGAATGTTTCTTAAAAGTGGAGAACATTTAAACATGTGAAAATATAACATGTAAAACTTGGGAGGGCAAAAATCATTTATTAACTCCCTATTGGAGGTTTTAAGTGTCTGGATTTATAGATGAAATACTTTCTGTGAAATTTCAGGGATCTGGATTGAAAACTATAGTAGGTGATTTCACAAATTGGTTTGGTCATTTGTAAATTTTGCTAAAAAAAGACTAAGTTCTCAAGTATGAACAAATGGATATCAATTCCACAATTCCATTCAACTTTCAAGAGCTTATGAGTACTACTAGATGCATTTCAAAAGCAAGTTACATAACTGTAAGTCACTTTGTTTTTAAACTGAGAACTGGACTAATATGTAAAACTTGAACAAATTCAATTTTGAAATATAACTCTAAGAAAAAAAATATAAACTAGAGGCTCTAAAGAGCCTGTGTCACTCACCAAGGTCTATGTGCATCTTCAACAATAGACACTCTCAAACATTGTGGAGAATTCAAGATAAAAATCTCTTTTTTGTTGATCTTGTATTGCTTGATAATTTTTTTTTGTTGCTTACAGTGTCTCTCGGTCTTCTTAAGTTCTTTGCGAAAACTCAAACAAGAGGCTCTCAAGAGCCTGAATCGCTCACCTGTAATTTTTTGCTTAAATCTTTCATCAATGATTATTTTTGCTTTTTAATATATATTAACATGATTAATGAGTGGCTTAAAAATTCCATTCAGATGTTCTTTGGATCTGTAATATTTTCTTCATAAGCAAAGAAATACATTTTACCCCTATGTTCCATTTTAGCCATAGTGGCTATGTTTCTTGACGTACAAGAAAATAAAATACAAAATTTATACTAGATACTCTGAAACTCATTCAGCTTAAGTTTGGCTGAAATTGATTCATCAGTTTCAAAGGAGAAGATTTTTTAAAGTAAGCAAACTAGATGAACAAATCGTGAAAAATTGTTTTTAAAGGGCAATAACGCCTTAAGGACACATTTGACAATTTTGGTCATATTAACTTATTTGTAGATCTTACTTTGCTGAACATTTTTGCTGTTGACATTTTATCTTTATCATTAATAATATTCAAGATAATAACCAAAAACTGCAAAATTCCTTAAAATTACCAATTAAGTGGAAGCAACCCAACAATGGACTGTAAGATACGTCTGAAAATTTCATGGCTGATAGAACTTAACATATGAACATTTTAACCTCTCATCAGATTTGCTCTAATTGCTTCAGTGTTTGAGATATATTAGCCAAAAACTGCATTTTACCCGTATGTTCTAATTTTAGCCATGGCGGTCATGTTTTTTGACGAAACAGAAAATAAAACACAAACTTTATTCTAGATACCCTAAGGATCATTCAGCTTAAGTTTGGTTGGAATTTGTTCAGTTGTTTCAGAGAAGATTTTCTAAAGTTAGAAAACATGATAAACAAATTGTGTAAAATTGTCCTCAAAGGGCAATACTCCTTAAGGGGTCAATTGACAATTTTGGTCATATAAACTTATTTGTAGATCTTACTTTGCTGAACATATTTGCTGTTTACAGTTTATCTTTATCATTAATACTATTCAAGATAATAACCAAAAACTGCAAAATTTCCATTAAAATAACCAATTTTAGTGGCAGCAACCCAACAATTGGTTATTAGAATCATCTGAAATTTTCAGGGCTGATAGAACTTTGACTTATGAACACTTTTACCCCTTGTCAGATTTGCTCTCTAACTGCTTTGGTTTTTTAGATATAAGCCAAAAACTGCATTTTACCCCTATGTTCTACTTTAGCCATGGTGGCCATGTTTTTTGACGAAACAGAAAATTAAACACACACTTTATTCTAGATACCCTAAGAATCATTCAGCTTAAGTTTAGTTGGAATTGGTTCAGTGGTATCAGAGGAGAAGATTTTTTAAAGTTAGAAAACATGATAAACAAATTGTGTAAAATTGTCCTGAAACGGCAATAACTCTTTAAGGGGTCAATTGACAATTTTGGTCATATAAACTTATTTGTAGATCTTACTTTGCTGAACATATTTGCTGTTTACAGTTTATCTTTATCATTAATACTATTCAAGATAATAACCAAAAACTGCAAAATTTCCTTAAAATTACCAATTTAGTGGCAGCAACCCAACAATGGGTTATTAGATTCATCTGAAAATTTCAGGGCTGATAGAACTTTGCCTTATGAACACTTTTACCCTATCAGATTTGATCTAACTGCTTTGGTTTATGAGATATAAGCCAAAAACTGCATTTTACCCCTTATGTTCTATTTTTAGCCATGGTGGCCATGTTTTTTTGACGAAACAGAAAATAAAACACAAGCTTTATTCTAGATACCCTAAGGATCATTCAGCTTAAGTTTGGTTGGAATTGGTTCAGTAGTTTCAAAGGAGAGGATGTTTGAAATAGTTTACACCAGACGGACGACGATGATGGACGACGACTACGGACGACGACGGACGCCAAGTGATGGATAAAGCTCACCGTTCCGGAAGGTAAAACTAGAGGCTCTCAAGAGCCTGTGTCGCTCACCTGACTCTACTTTGGTTTTAGAAATCATGTAAAGATAGATAAAAATCATAACAGATACCCAAATAATGATTGAGGCCAAATTTTGATTAATATTGGTCCCGTTATTTAATAAAATATCCTGGTGGCCATCTTGAACAGTAAATCGGCAACAAAGTAACAACACTTGGTCAGCAACTCATAAGGAACATTCATGCCATGTTTGGTTCAATTCCATTCAGTGGTTCTCTAAAAGAAGACAATTGTATGTATTTCCCATAGGGTCCTATGTTAAACTAAGTCCCCCGCTGTCGGCCATCTTGGATGATGGATCGGCTGCAAAGTAACAACACTTGGTCAACATCTCATAAGGAACATTCATGCCATGTTTGGTTCCATTCCATTTATTGGTTCTCTAAATGAAGACATTTGTATGTATTTCCCATAGGGTCCTATGTTCAACTAAGTCCCCCGCTGGCGGCCATCTTGGATGATGGATCGGCTACAAAGTAACAACACTTGGTCAGAACCTCATAAGGAACATTCATGCCATGTTTTGTTTCATTCCATTCAGTGGTTCTCTAAAAGAAGACATTTGTATGTATTTCCCATAGGGTCCTATGTTAAACTAAGTCCCCCGCTGGCGGCCATCTTGGATGATGGACCGACTGCAAAGTAACAACACTTGGTCAGCATCTCATACGGAACATTCATGCCATGTTTGGTTCCATTCCATTCAGTGGTTCTCTAAAAGAAGACATTTTTATGTATTTCCCATAGGGTCCTATGTTAAACTAAGTCCCCCGCTGGCGGCCATCTTGGATGATGGATCGGCTACAAAGTAACAACACTTGGTCAGCACCTCATAAGGAACATTCATGCCATGTTTGGTTTCATTCCATTCAGTGGTTCTCTAAAAGAAGACATTTGTATGTATTTCCCATAGGGTCCTATGTTAAACTAAGTTCCCCGATGGCGGCCATCTTGGATGATGGATCGGCTACAAAGTAACAACACATGGTCAACACCTCATAAGGAACATTCATGCCATGTTTGGTGTTATTCCATTCAGTGGTTCTCTAAAAGAAGTCATTTGTATGCATTTCCCATAGGGTCCTATGTTAAACTAAGTCCCCCGCTGGCGGCCATCTTGGATGATGGATCGGCTACAAAGTAACAACACTTGGTGAGCACCTCATAAGGAACATTCATGCCATGTTTGGTTTTATTCCATTCAGTGGTAAGTCATTTGTATGCATTTCCCATAGGGTCCTATGTTAAACTAAGTCCCCCGCTGGCGGCCATCTTGGATAATGGATCGGCTACAAAGTAACAACACTTGGTCAGCACCTCATAAGAAACATTCATGCCATGTTTGGTTTCATTCCATTCAGTGGTTCTCTAGAAGAAGTTCAAAATGTAAAAAGTTAACGCCGACGACGGACGACGGACGACGGACGCCAAGTGATGAGAAAAGCTCACTTGGCCCTTCGGGCCAGGTGAGCTAAAAATCTGTCATTGAAGGGCAATCACTCCTATAAAGAGGTACAAAAGGATTTCGGCAAAATTTTGCATATCTATTGATCTTGTCTTTATGATAATGAAGGAATGGTGAGCTAAAAAGGGTAAAAATTTGTCATTGAAGGGCAATCACTCCTCTAAAGAGGTACAAAACGATTTCGGCAAAATTTTGCATATCTATAGATCTTGTCTTTATGATAATTTTTGCAATTTAAAGTGTCTATCTATTATAATTTTCAAGATAATAGGCAAACCCACAAAATATTAGTAAAAATCTCCATTAAAGAACTCCAATAAGGAGTCTACTGATGATATTGGCCTTATATACTTATATGTAGACCTAGTCTTGATGATCATTTTTGCTATTTAAAGAGTCTAACTATCTATCATAGTTTTCAAGATCAGATACAGAACACTAAAAATGGGTAAAAATTGCGTCATAAAAGAGCAATGACTCAAACAAGGAGTCAATTAACTATTTCTACCATGAAACTTAATTGTAGGTTTTGTCTTGCTGATCATTTTTAATATTTTTGAATATTAAAGTTTCTATCTATCTGTTGTAGTTTTTCTGATGTTAGACAAAAACACAAAAAAAATGTAAAAATCGTCATTACAGGGCAATGACTCCAATAAGAGGTTGTCAGATGATTGTAACTAATTTGTACAGTTTGTTATTTTTGCACTTTTAAGCTTCCATCTATCTATTATAAATGTTCAGATATTAGGCAAAATTGTCATTAAAGGGCAATAACTCCAATAATTGATCAGACTGTTTCAATAGTGTTCACTTATTCGTAGACCTTGTCTTACTGATAACTCTTGATATTTAAAGTTTCTCTTTATCTATTATAGCATTTTCGATATTAGGAAAACAAAACAAAAAAATGAAGGGAATTGTCATTAAAGGGCAGTAACTCCAATAAGAAGTCATCTGACAATAACGACCCTGTTGACATATTTGTAGATCAGGTCTTGTTGTTCATTTTTGCTATTTATCTGTTAACCAAAGTTTTAAAGATAAGAGGCAGAACACAACAAATAGGGTAGATCTGGTCTTGCTGATTATTTTTGCTAATTTAAGTTCCTATCTATCTACTATAGTTTTTCAGATATTAGGCAAAAACGCAAACTATTGGCTCTAAAGAGCTTGTGTCGCTCACCTGCATCTTCAACAATTGACACCTTTTATAAAAATCATCATTAAAGGGGAATAATAGTATTAAGAGTTATCTAATATAGTTTTCAAGACCATAGCCAAATAAAGAGCTGTGCCATGAGCGCATGATACGCCCGTCGCCAACTGGACAGTTTTCAACTAATAAGTTTCCATAACTCCGCAATGTCATATCAGAAATTTATTAAAAAAAAAAAAAAAAAAAAAGGGAGCTTATTTCAATAGATATAACCAATTCACCAAAGTTTCATGAAAATGCTCAAAGCGTTTTGGAGTTATTGTCCAAAAACTGGAAATTCCCCCTTTTTTAATGAATAAAATAGATATAAGAAGATGTGGTATGAGTGCCAATGAGACAACTCTCCATCCATGTCAAAATTTATAAAAGTAAACCAATACAGGTCAAAATACGGTCTTCAACACGGAGCCTTGGCTCACACCGAACAGCAAGCTATAAAGGGCCCCAAAAATTACTAGACTAAGTGTAAAACCATTCAAACGGGAAAACCAAAGGAAAGGTGTAAAAGCCCATAACTCAGAAACGTAAAATCTAAAATAAATAAAAATCGAAAGGGAGCTCAAATCAATATATATAAACAATTTACCAAAGTTTCTTGCAAATTGGTTAAAGTGTTTTTGATTTATTGTCCGACAACAGACGGACTTTGTCCCGTAAACGGGCGTATAAAAATGGTTAAGAAAAATGGTTAAAAAAAAAATTAGTTAACTGTAGCTTATTTGTAGATCTTGTCTTGTGCTGATCATTTTGTTTTTCAAAGTTTCTTTCTATATATTATAATTTTCGAGGAATTCGGCAAAATTGAGGAAAAAAAAGTAAAATTTTTCATTTAAGAGCAATAACTCCTATAAGAAGTCATCTGACAGTTTTGATGTCAATTAACATTAGGTAGATCTCATCATTCTTAACATTTTTGGCGGAACAGATTTTCTCTATCATCAACGGTTTTCAAGATAATAGCCAAACATTTTTTTCTACCACTCTATTCTATTTTTAATCATGTCGAAAATGTAGGTTTGCAGGTAGGTTATCAGACATTTCTTTTACTACATGTAAATATCCCAATGATGATGGATTTTGGCCAAGTTTTGTTCCAATTATTCATGTAGTTCCAGGGGAGAAGATTTTTGTAAAATTTAACGGACGCTGGGCCAGGTGAGCTAAAAATTGTCATTACATGGCAATAAATCCAATAAGAAGTCGTCTGATGATTTTGAGACAGTTTGACTTATCTGTTGATCTTGTCTTGTTTATCATTTTTGATATTAAAGCTTCTCTTTACCTATTATAGTTTCCAAGATAGTAAGCAAAAATGAAAGAAAAATGAATAAAATTCATCATTTAAAGGCAATAACAAATCCAGCATTTTTTCTCTATTAATAGTCGTTTTCAAGATAATAGACAAAACTTGGTTTATATACCTATGTTATATTTTTAGCCATATCAGTCATTTTGGTTGGCAAGCGGTGTCATTGGAACATATTTCTGAAACTAAATATACCAATGTTGAATGTGGTCAAGTTTGGTTAAATTGGGCCCAATAGTTTGAGGAGAAGACTTTTGTAAAAGTTAACGACAGACTAGTGATAAGAAAAGCTCACTTGGCCCTATTGGTCAATCGGTTGATGAAAAATTAGATACGGACATAAGTCACACAACATGATTCCAAATATACTCTAGATAACCTCCTTTATCTTTGATAACCCAAAATAAATTCAAACGTAGATATATATATTCTTTTAATTACATTATGTTCAACATTAAGCTTACTTGCTCTAAAATCCAATTACTTTCATGCTGAGAATGGATGCTGAGTAAGTTGGATTTTTTATCATAACACATTTCTGCTGCATCTTTGAAATTTTTCGAGTCATATTGTTTTATGAAGTAACAATAGCCATCAAAATATAGCCAATCACTTTCACAATATTCTGTAAGTAGAACAATAATATCAGAATTGATAAGCATTTCTTTTCCAGTATTACATACAAAAACATGAAAGGACCAATCAGATAGCAAATAAATCGATACTTGTGGATAACAATTGAAGTCATGCGGAATGCTTTTGATTTTTCCCTCAACTCTTTTAAAGTTTTGAATCAAGATTTTGTTTTATAAAATTATACAAAAGTATAATTTGTGCCTATAGAATACCTTGCCGAACTAGCACAATCAGGCTCCACAATCTGCGAACTGTAAAATTGGGTCAAATATAGGTTTTGTTAAAATACAAGCACTATGTATTTTGGTGGGCAAACAATAATTTTTGACACAGAAAATCATTTTTTAAGTCAAATTATAACTACATATCAATTTTCATTGAAATCCTAGCAAAAACAGATGTTTCTCAGAATAAATCCTTATTTAACAAAAACTATGTTGATATCAGAATTTTGACATCTGGAAACAATTTAGAATGCATATTTTACCTATGTATATTTTTAAATATTTATTTAAACAAAAAAGATATTTCTCAAAATTTTTGATTTTTAACAAAAAGTAATTTTAAACCATTTTTTTTTTATTTTGGAACCTTCAATCACTCTGAAATCTTTTTTTATTGAAATCCTACAATAAGAAGACATTTCTCGGAATTTGTGACTTTTAACAAAATGCAAGTTTTCACCACATCTATCCCCAAATTAAACTGTTAATCTGACTGCAGAAAATTTCATACCTGCCAGCTTTCACTATTTAGGCGATTTTAACCCCTTCTCCCAATTGCACAATCGTGATCGTGAAAGAAAGCTCTAAAACACAATTTTGTGAAATTCTACATGAAAAATTTGTTGGTTCCCGATTTTGAAATTTCAGGAGACAATTGTGATTAGCCAATTAAAATCAATGTTTCTTGTGATTATGCTAATAAGCCAATCAAATTTGATGTTTCTCATGATTATGGAGCATTGCAAACATGGAAACATTCGAACTTGTTTGGAATTTTTGAGTGGTAATACTCTGTATGTCAGAATTGTAAAAATCATGATCATGGTAGACAAAGTACATTCTTTTATTTTTCACTAGGAATCAGATGAATGTTCTTCTTTGTCCATATTTTTAACTGGTATTCTAGCTGAGTTGTAGCTACATGTACTGTCTTTTCAACACAATAATATAAGTACAAATCATGCAAATGAAAAGAAAATTGTAATGATGTCGCGCACTAAAACCTCCATGGGAATTTTCAAAAGTTGGCAGGTATGAAATTTGGAAAAGCATATGATATCTGCATCTTAAAATTGAAGCAATAAAAAACAGTTTCTCAAAATTTGTGAATTTTTTAAAAAATTTGAATCAATTCTGTGTTTCTTAATTTCAGGCTTATTTTATAGCTCTCACCTTGCAATTATAACTCATACACTTCAAAGTTACAGTAACTTACAATCAAAAAGACTTCTTGCACACATACTTACCTTTAGTGTATGTGTCATTTGGTTCTATCAATGGCATCCCTGAAACATATAATTTAAATTGTGTTATCACATTCAATTGTTGTAATGAAAAAAGCCCTACACTCAACTCATATGTGCCTTTAAGATTCCTTTTCCACCTTAAAATCCAAAGTGGTGACATAGAGCCAAAAATGGCTGACTCAAACATGATCAAAGTCACATAACTCTAGAAAGAATTGTCAATCAAAATGACAGTATAATAAACTTAACTACACATGATGACAAACAATCCTACCAAGTATGAAAGCTTTTAGGCAATTAACAGTCTCATGTCAGTTAGATTCTAGTTACTAACAGATATCCTTTTAGGAGGAGTTGCATTTTATTATTATATATTGCAAAATTGAAGTTTATTTATCTCCCTGTGCAAAGTTTCTTATTCCTTCATGCACATATTTAGGCAGTTCTACAACTGTGTAAAGTTGCATAAATATCTTTCTAGCCATTTAGGAGGATTTGTGCTTACATGTTATGAAATAAAGAAAGTTAATAGAATTATCTCCCCTTTAACATGTGGAGACAGGATTATATTCATTCATGCACATTCTCAGACAGTTCTACAACTCTGTAAAATTTCATAAATATCTGTCTGGCCATTTAGGAAGATTTGTGCTTACATGCTATAAAATGAAGAAAGTTAATTTGATTATCTCCCCTTTAACATGTGGAGACAGGATTATATTCATTCATGCACATTCTCAGGTAGTGTTCTATAATTGTGTTAATGTTCATCAATATCCCTCTTGCTGTTTAGTGGGATTTGCACTTACATGCTTTTACCTCATGTTGCAATATTGAAGCAAGTAAATTGGATTATTTCCTCTATTAACATGTTGGACTAGATTATATTCCTTCATGCATGTCATGAAGTTTTATTGTGGTCATATCTTTGATTGTTTAAGTCGTTCGAGCAAATTCAGATTTTCTCTCCATACTTCTGCTATGAATTTATTGCAAACTTGAGACATTCATAGGACATATTTATTATTGCACTTATTGTTAATACTAATTACCGTTTTATATTGCAATATCAATGCCAGAACTAATAAATTCATGTTTACATCAAAATTTTTGGATTGCTGTGTAATTGTTTATATTGCGTCACATGATTAACCTTTAATGTAAGCGGGCTATTTGTGTTGTTATTGTGTGCACAGTATGTATAAAAAGGGGGGTCCCCAGCCATTATAATCTGTTCTTTAAAATTCTCAGCTGATTAATGCAGGACAAAATGATCCCAATATTATCCCACCCCAAAGTGTGTTTTGCAGTGGGTATAATGAAGGTATTAGCTTAAACAGGTAGTTGGGCACTCTATATTGTGTGAACAAAGAGGATGATTTGACCAACCTAGTGTGAAGACTATTTTAAGAAGAGTTTCATCAATTATTGAAATAAATATAGGGAGGCTCCAATCAATATCTGAAGAGCAGACACATTGATTATGCAACAGTTGCCATAGCAACTCAACATATCTTTCTACTGTAATTTTCAATATATAGGAAGTACACCACTAATTCATGGCCATATTTTGCTTTCTATGTTAAATTCCTCAATTTTGTTTTAAGTTCAAATAAAGAGACAATCAGTGCATGTCAAAGCAACACTTTATTGTGTCTTGTACTGAAAAATCAACATACCTTCAATGGCATATAAGAGAGAACTGGTTTCTGGAACTTTAGATGTACCAAAACAGGGACTTCAGATCTGACAAACAGGCAAAATATACCCTCCTTTTTAAATTTCAAGCAATTTTTGTATTATTCAAAATTACAAGTCAAAGAGTGTTCTACAATGATCACCAGTCATTCAGCTTTCATTTGATACCAAAAGTACCTAAATATTCTACATATTTTGAAAGTTACACCCATGCGTAGGAACTATTTTGTGTTAAATATGTACTACTTTCTGGTATGTGCTTTCTGACCGGGCCCGAATTAGTGGTATTACACCTATAGCTATGTAACCGATGTCATATGACCTGTTTTTTTACCTTTCTGAATTTTGCAAACAAATGATTTAACCTTGTAGCAATTATCATCATTCCATCCGCTGCCATATCTATTAATCGTAGCACAATCTTCTTGTTGATATTTATTGTTGGGTTCATTTGTTGCCCACATCATGAAGTCCACTGGGGATCCATCAGACCACTCAAAACCTAAACATAAAATTAAAATTAGAAACAAAATTAACAACACCTCGACATTTTGGTACCTACCTTTTTACAGACAAACATATCTTGGTGGCAAATTCGAATTGGTTCAAATAAATATGGAACACTTTGAAGAATCTCAACCAACTACTGTAAATTCAGAAATTATTGCGTGCATTTATTAGTGTGATTTTTTAAGAATAGACAAAAATGTGAGATTAATTATTGCGATTTCTGAAAAATATGGATGCAGATATATGTATCAGATATTGGAATTCAAGTTCTTATTATTTCGATACTCACTCAGTCGCATTATTCGCAATAATTTTTAAATTTACAGTACTGTAGACTCGTCCTTAATCATTGGACACTAACTTTTTGTGAATTTCGTAGGTATAGGTAAACTACAAATTTAACTGTTCAAGGAAGTACAAATTTTCTACATGCTTGTATGCAGACTTTGGTAAAACCATGATATGAAATATCAACAAAAATACAATTTTTGCTCAATACAGGAAAATAAATGAATCAAATATAACTTTTACTGTCTGTAAACTAAGGTCTTCCCTCATATAAATGCATTTAGAAAATTGGAAAACTGCAAATATCAAACAATTTATAAAAATAAAAAGTAAACTTACCATTTTCTGAATCTCTATCATTTAAACCAACCCAAATGTCACCATAGTTACGGTAACTAAAAAGTATAGTTGAACTATATAAAGTTTAAAGAGAGGATATTGGCTAACACAAATGTAATCGACAATAAAAACTATATCAAATTTAAATTGATTGATTCATTGTTGGTTGTTCAAGACGTTCAGAGGCAAATATTTCATGCATGTTGAGGACAACATCAATTTAACAATAAATTCAATAGGTAGGTCCTGTAATAAACACTGTCTGGCAAGAAGGTTTGGGAAATTTTGACTGCCACTGAAAAATGAGGGTACATTGGATAGGGACGGAAATTTTGTATTGCACCTACAGACCCCCTCAATAAGTTGTTGCAAGGGTTCTTAACATGCAGAGTGCATAGCAATCTTTCTACACAAGGCATAAGATTTAATGTCCTCATTTTGACCAGACGTGACTGTGTACTTGTTAATCCTGCACAGCCAAACAGACGTCCTACACTTGCAAGGGTTTTACTACCAGTCGGAAAAAGACAAAAGTTGCCATATTTCTATTACACAGTCATCTCTGTGGGCTATTTATGTTTAAAGAGGGCATGTACACCAAAATAAATGTAGCCTTCAATCAAAATTGGTCTGAATTTTATTTTTTGGATGGTGATCTTCCTTTGGCTCCTTCTTGTCATGTGCATTTTTCCCAAATTCGTTTGGTAAGCCCATGACGCTATAAATTTAAATGGTTAAATAATTAAGTTCTGGATTTTATTACCACAAATTACTTAACCTTTACTGAATTCTTTCATATATACAAATATTTGGTTTGGAAGTTTAGCTGCACCTGTAGAATTCTGATTAAAACGATACATCACATCCTAATTTTTAGTGATATTGTTTATATAGCCCATAAAAATAAGTAACGGTTTATGTAAACGCATTGATCCTTTGAATAAACTTATTCTAATATAGGTCATCACTTTAATACTGTAGTAATTTATTTGAATATTGCTTTCATCGCTACTTACATTGATTTTGTTTTTGACAAATTAAAATATGACTAAATATTTATTGCTATATAATTATGAAAACTTATGCTTCTATATCCTTTCTATACTATTCTCTCATATTTTGGCAAACTGTTTATGATGTCTTTACACTAAATCCATTGGATGTTCACTGATTAATACTTAAAACTGTTAGAACATGATTTATTCATAGTTGTTATGGGCTTAGAACTAGCTTTAAACAATTGTGAATTCTTAGATTGGTACTTTGTGTCTTGTTTTTTTTTGGTTGTTTTTATATTCTAACCAATTTGTTGAGTTAAGCCATTTCAAACTGATTTGTACTTATATTGTGCTCCAACACCATTGTCCTAGGTAAGGAGATGTTAAGTTCTCACAAACATTGCTGCTAACACACCCCCCCCCCCCTTTTCTTGTGTGCCTGTTCAAAAATAGGAGCCAGTAATGAAGTGGTTGCTGTTGGTTGCTGTCCGCCATATTTGTATTTCGTACATTATTTTGTCATAAATCAGGAATTTGGTTAAGAATTGTTTCGCATTTTGTCATTTTGGGGTCTTCTATAGCTTACTATATACAGTATGAGTTTTGCTCATTGTTGAAGGCAGAACAGTGATCTATAGTTGCTAACTTCTACATCATTTCAACTCTGGTGGATAGTTGTCTCATTGGCAATCATACCACATCTCCTTATTTTTATTTTGATAAAAAACCTTAAACAGTAGAAACATTGATAAACCCTTCTCAAGTAAAAGTGGTCTTTCATCTTATTTTGAGCTGGAGTTCATATGTCTTAAAATTGGAATAAAAAGAAAAGACTCCAAACTTTTGACATGTGTAATCAATGTCTCCAGTGTATAAGGGAATATCGAATTAGATTGATGGTTTACCACAGATACTAACAAATTTTCTTGTAATATAAAAAAAAGGAGATGTGGTATGATTGTCAATGAGATGAATATCCACCAGAGACTGAATGATAAAAATCCATCTGGTAAAATCAACTATAAGAGGCTCTGACATGAAAAATGTGAAACAATTCAAACAAGACAACTAGAGGCCTAATTTATAACAATTCAATTTACGAACAAAAAAATGGAGAATGTGTCCCCATGGACACAAATGATGCCCCACGCTTGCATACAACATTATAAAGGGACATAACTCAAGAACAATAAAAGTGACTCTACCCAAATTTGTACTTGATCTGAGTTTTGTGGTAATAAGTATTGTGTAAAGGTTTCATAATGTTTGGTTGGGCAAACTTAAGTTACAGAACGGAAACTAAATTTTTTGTAATTTTCCATTTATAAAGAGTCAGAACAGTTAGAGTGACGCTACCAAAATTCAAACTTGATCTCTATTTTGTGGAAATAAGCATTGTGTATAAGTTTCATAACATTTGGTTGAGGCAAACTAAAGTTAGAGAACGGAAACCAATTTTGGGACATGGACGGGTAAAAACTTAATGCCCTCTCACTACGGCGGGGGCATAAAAAACGAATATAACAGACATAAACCAACAGGCTCCTGACTTGGAACAGGCACAATTTGTTAATTCTATTTGATATAGAGCTGCTTAAAAGAATACGATAAGTGTTTATCAAACTACTATATCACCAAAAATCAACTTTTAAGGGCAATGACTTCTATTGCCTAAAATGCAAACAAAATTGCAAAATTGGCAAATCAAGGGCAATAACTCCTTAATGGAGTCAATTGACAATTAATTATTATGCAAACATCACTAACTGATAGTACTTGAAGCCAACATTACTCAGGTGAAGCTCAAGAAATTTAAGGTTTACTCAACTAATCAACAACCTTTATTCTGTTTGCGAGAAAATTTGTTTACATGTACATAAATTTGGTTGTAAAAGACTTTAAAAATCTAAGAAAGAAAAAATAGAAAGAAAGGAAGTTAAAAAGTGCATATTATATAGTACCGAATCATTCTGTTTCTCAGAAAATTGTTTTCTTCACTACTGTGAATACTGACTAAATCTGCTCCTCTCTCTCGACAGAAGTCGCGGCTCTTCATCCAAGTTCTTTTTGCCCCATTCTCGTTAATACTCTTTAACAAAGAAAACACAAAACCAGTTAAGGTATCCGAACAAACACCATGTCATTATTTACAAAGACCAAAATCTTCTTTGCAAAGCAAACTGTACAACTTGATTATTTCAACAAGTTTTGGTTTTTTCAACTTGATTATTTCAACAAGTTTTGGTTTTTTCAACTTGAGGACATAACATCGATCATAAATATAAAGTTAATAACTTATCTTGCAATTTATCCTGTAAAAAGTAATAAATATTTAATTACCATTTTGATTTATTGTATGGATACCTTTACCAATAAGTAGTTGAACTTTGGTATAGGAAACCTTAAAATTACACAGATCATGTCCTGTAATATTTGTAAGTCTGGTTGAATTTTGTCAGGCTGTTTTCAAGGAATTATGGATTAACATGTACTGCGACTCTTGTGGACAGTAGTGATCTCCATGTGTCACTCCAGCTGGAAGCTGTTGGGCCACATGATAACATTTATACACTAGTAAACCAATTTTGATCTGAGACGGTCATTTTGATGTGAACAGCTATTAGAAGTCTGATCAAAAAATAGTTTAGTCATTTTTAGTCTTTCAGTCTATTTTCCCACTTATCCTCTGCAGTATATTCAGTACTGTTCAGACAATTCGCTGGCGGTCAATTAAGATCTGTTCAGTCTATATTTAGACTGTTCAGTAGTTCTTTTCATCAGTACACATTACCATCATACTGAGTTGTCTGAAAAGCTACTGAACAGCACTGAATTGACTGCAAGCAAATGAATAAATTCGACACTATTCAACAGTTCATTTTCGTCTTGTATAAAAGTTATAAAGCAGTCACAACATCCTATCAAATAACAGTAACGTTTCCCTAAATCAAAACCTTTCTATTCAAATTGGTCAATAATTTTTTTGGTTTTTTACATTTAAGTAACAACTTAAAAATCTAAATGTTCACACAGCGACATGTCTATTCAATTATACAGCAACATCAAAAACTGTAATTTACTGAACTGTAATTAAATGAATGAAAATTGGAATGAAGATCACTTACTGAGTACTCAACACAGAAAAATATAATTATTACAATATAAATATCTATGTTTTATTAAAATATATTCATCATTGACAACCAGCAGAGCTATTGTACTTCATAAATCACCTAACAAGGAAATTATTTAACTTTTGATTGCTTGCAGGCCAAGTGGCAGATATTTCATGCATACCAGAACAATATAACAACAAATCTAATAGGTATTTTCTGCAAAGCAATCGACCTTAGGTAATGGGCAGGAAATTGGCACATTGGTCCATTATTAAACACACAAACAACTCAAAACTAGAGGCTCTAAAGAGCCTGTGTCGCTCACCTTGGTCTATGTGCATATTAAACAAAGGATACAGATGGATTCATGACAAAATTGTGTTTTGGTGATGGTGATGTGTTTGTAGATCTTACTTAACTGAACATTCTTGCTGCCTACAATTATCTCTATCTTTAATGAACTTGGCCCAGTAGTTACAGTGGAAAATATTTTGTAAAAATTTACAAAAATTTACAAAATTTATGAAAATTGTAAAAAATTGACTATAAAGGGCAACAACTCCTTAAGGGGTCAATCGACAATTTTGGTCATGTTTGACTTATTTGTAGATCTTACTTTGCTGTACATTATTGCTGTTTACAGTTTATCTCTATCTATAATAATATTCAAGATAATAACCAAAAGCTGCAAAATTTTCTTAAAATTACCAATTCAGGGGCAGCAACCCAACAACGTGTTGCCTGATTGGTCTGAAAATTTCAGGGCATATAGATCTTGAACTAATGAACAATTTTATCCTGTCAGATTTGCTCTAAATGCATTGGTTTCAGAGATATGAGCCAACAACTGCATTTTACCCTATATACTATTTTTTAGCCATGTCAGCCATCTTGGTTTGCGGGCGGGGTCATCGGACTTATTTTTTAAACTAGATACCCTAATGATGATTGTGGACAAGTTTGATTCTATTTGGCCTAGTAGTTTCAGAGGAGACGATTTTTGTAAAAGATCACAAAAATTTACGAAAAATGGTTAAAAATTGACTATAAAGGGCAATTAAAGAACCTTAGTGAGCACGCTCACATACCCCACGTCCCCACATTGTCACTGGAGAAATAAAATAACTGTAGGAAAAGAAAATTGTATAAGAAAAAAAAATTGAATCATAATTTCCTGTCGATATGCACATCTACATAGTATGTCCTTATTATCTACAAAGTTTCATGAAATTCTGTTGTGTAGTTTCAGAGGAGTTGCGATGACAATCTGTTGCAGTAGTATATTGAGGCCAATAAGTGCAAAGGGGCATAACTCCTAGAAAAAAAAATTGAATCATAATTTCCTGTCCATATGCACATCTACATAGTATGTCCTTATTATCTATAAAGTTTCATGAAATTCTGTTGTGTGGTTTCAGAGGAGTTTTGATGACAAGAACAGGACTGACAGGTTAAAAACACATACCTGACTCAAAAATTGCGTGGGATATAAAAAGAGTATAAACCATTAGTTATCAACATCTATAATTGTAGTGATGTAATGCATGTAAGAAACTTTCAACCTATTATGGAAAAATTGACAACAGTTAACATAATCCCTCAGGTTAAAATTGTTAATCAGAGTTCTCGAAAAATTGTTTCAAAAACTGTCTACAAAAGGTTTCTACCAGCAAATTTTTGCAAAGGATCGACACATATTTAGTATTTTGCAATAGAAATTATTATAGTGAGAACCAGCAAATTTTCTTCAAGGACCACCAGGGAAAAAAAGATTATGAGAACTCTGATCAATAAGACAATTATTTTTGGAAAAAGTGATAAGCACAATATAGAGGGTTAGCTATGATATGGTATGATGTTAACATTTAGCCTTAGTTGGAGAAACTGGACTTGTTTCTATACCCTAGGGTGAGAATTAGATATACCCTGTTACTAGGCAAATGCTGATCACCAAATAATGTAAACTGGAATGAAAACACTCCAATCATAAACTGCTGGTTTAAATGTAGTGCAGAGGTACTTTAGGAAGGAAAACAAAACAACGGAGGGAACAGTTGACATATATGAACAGAGGGAATATCCTCCCATTATATATCTTTCAAGCAAGCTGCAGGTTTAATGTGAGTTAAGAAGAAAATAATGACAGTAACTATAAAAACAAGTGGTATTCTTAATGGTAACACAACCATTAAATCGCCCAAATGAAAGAGGACACGTTGCAAATTTTAATATCACAGATGTTGAGGCAGATGTAAATTTTGATAACAGAAAGATAAAAGGAAGAAAGGTAACTATTGAAAAAAGTAAACCATTGTTTTTATTCCTGGATAGTTTTCAGATTGCAATGTAGTGGTTGTAGATGTAGATATGGGTATATGAAAGAAAAAAATAACAAGGGAGATAACTATTGAAAACATAAAGCAGGAGTATGTCCTACCTTGTAACAATAACCATTAAACTCTATCCAAGATGGAGGACAGAATACAGGTGCTACTGTAGTAGTTGTAGTTGTAGGTGTAGTGTAACCTTCTCTAGGATATTCACAAATGTAGGACTTTTCTAATGTACAGTTTTTGGTTTCCCATAATCCAATAGGATGGGTTGCTGTCATGGCAACACACATAGCATCTTCATCAATACTCCCTAAAATAAATTTGTCTATATTTTGACCACAGTCTAAATATCAATACAGAAGACATAACTCTTGAAAGAATTGCTAGAATATAAGATTTGGTCATAACATGAGTTTTATCAACATAAATGAGTATGTATATCAACTAACTACAAATCTGTTCTGCTTTTTGTAGTCTAGTCTCAATTAAACTGTCATTGTAATATAACATAACAAGAAATGCTTCTTTTGATTAGACATCTGCAGTCAATTCTATGGTTGAAGGTCTGGTCAACACCAGTGTGCCAACACAGATGATTTTTTGGGGATATTTCAAATTTTTTAATTTGAAAAAATTTTATTACAAATCATTGCAGTAGAATAGGAATAAAATTACTGTATTTGAAGAGTTGCTGCTGTCAATTGGTGATTTCACAGTGGCAAATATTCCATTAAAATTGCATTTGTGTCCTTCAAATTCAATATTGACAGTGTTATATTTTTTTTTATCTTCACTCGTGACTTGCTAACATATTTTAACTGTTCTGAACTGTTCTTTACAGGTATAAAATGAGAAAAAAATGATTGCCTATGCTAAGCCTCCGATCAGTTTTTGTTATAAAGTGTAATGGATATTACCACATTGACAGCAGAAAAACAAATAATATCACATTGACTACAGACAAACAAATAATACCACATTTAATGCAGACAAACATATAATACAACATTCAATGCAGACATACAAATAGTACCACATTCAATGCAGACAAACAATAAAGAATACCTGTATGACTCCTTGCCCAAGCTGTATATGATACTGGAAGACCACTAGTCCAAGAAACCATGGCACCAGAGTTAACATCCTGGGTTAGACCAATCCAATAGTGTCCAGATTTACCAGCTATCTGACTAGCTAAAAAGAACTGAGTGTACCTGAGTCATAATGAATAAAACATATGGTCAGAATGAATGGGGAAAAATCATTTAGTGATAAATATAACATACCAAAAATGAAATATTCCATAAAAGTAGCATTTAAAACTGTTATGGGATATATTACCTCATCCATCATATTTGTTTACTCACTGATTTAGCCAATGAAAATACAGAACTGAGCTATATAACAGTCTTTATATAAGTTCTTGTCACTAAAAGTCAATATTGAAACTGGGTACATTTACTTTCACATTATCTAATATTTTTTTGTTGCCAAATGACCATACTGAGCCTAAGCAAAGTCCCCAGTACATCATACATGGAGTCAAAAAGATAGATCTGAGTCAACAAGTCAGAAAAGATTATTTTTTAATAGCTCCTGAAGTATTCAAAAACTGAGTTTCATGTGACATTAGACCAATAGTATTACAATACACACACCACAGCTGTGTTTCCTTAAAAATAAACGTAAGCAGAGGTCAAAAGGGAAGGGGATACTAGAAACTAAACTTCAGTGTTTTACAAAATAAGGACTATGTTGAAATAATTATGAAAATACTAAGAAATTATAAAAGTAAAGCAAAAATGATATTCTGTGGGATAATTTTAAAATTGAAGTTAGAGACCAAACAATCAGCTATTGTAAAACAAAAGCTAAGAATAAAAGAGATCAAATCAGCAAGTTCGAAAAAAAATTAACTTAGCTAAATAGTATTAAAGACACATGCAATGATCAAAATACATGTAATAGCTTATTACAGGAAGTAGAAAATATAGGATAGGAAATAGGAAAACTCTATAATGAGAAAATAAAAGGTAATCAAATAAGGGCACAGGTAAAATGGGTTGATGATAGAGAGAAAAATTCAGCATATTTTCTAGGGATGGAAAAATCTAGGCAGGGTAGAAAAACAATAACCCAACTATACGACAAGAAGGGTCAAGTTACAAGAGATCAAGAAAAAATATTAAGATTAGAAGCAAATTATTATAAAATCTGTACTTGACAAAAAATTCTCAGATGGAAGAAACAAAGAAGTATCCAGATTCTATCAAGGAATATAAGAAATCAAATGACAGTGAAAGTAATACTTGTGAAGGAGAAATAACTGTTGATGAATAAATTTGAGCACTGCTGTAATTTTCTTGCAAAATTAAAAAAAACGGATTTACTTACACATTGTTTATTGTTGCCAGATGTCCATATTGAACTTGAGCACAAACACTCTCTGCTGTTGCCCAATCTGTCATTTCATCATTGATTCCATAACAGTAAGCATCATAACCAATGGTGTTCTGTAAAAAAACAAGATGTTATTTGGCTTTCTTTTGTCCTTGGGTTGGGGTCTTATTATAATATTTTCCTCATCCCCTTTAATTCATACATGGTTTTTATATGATTTGCGTATCTACAAATATTAGAATGTAATTAGTCCGTTAAAATTTCTTTTTTTCCATGTTGCATGAACTAAATTCTAACCTATGGTAACACCCTGTCATTTTCACTGTAGTATTTCATGCGGAGTACACATGAATAGAATCCTGAGGTTCCAAGAAAGTTGAAATTGAAAAAAAAACAACAAGTGTTTGGGTAGAGAATTAAAAGGTTTACACATTTTTGCTAGTTATTGATGATAAGATTACTAATAAATTAAACTCGCACACAGAAATGAAAGTCTTTAGAATTTTATTTGTGTGTGAGTTAATTGGCCTAGTTAACACATCAATAACCTCTGCAACTAAAGGCTCTTAAAAACCTGTGTCGCTCACCTGCGACTCTTTTCACAAAAAATCTTACGATTAAAATGTATCGTAAGTTATACTGAAATGTGTATGACTTACGAGTATTTTTACTCTTAAGATTTTTTGTGAAAAGAGCTTCTGCATCTTAAACAATGGTAACTTTTTAGTAAAATTCATCATTAAAGGGGAATAACTCTAATTAATATTTAACTAACAATTTCAGTCATGTTGACACTTTTGTAGATCTTATCATGCTGATTTTTTTACTTTTTGAAGTTTCTATTTATCTGTTGTAGTTTTCAAGATAATAGGCAAACAAGAATGTGTCCATAGTACAAGGCAGGGATGGGGTAATTGAAAATGTAATTGTAATTAAATGTAATGCATTACAATTTTCCATGTAATTGAATGTAATGTGTAATTGAGCATTTTTTAAATTACATGTAATGGTAATTTAATTAATTACATTGAAAAAAGCATGTAATGCTAAATTACTTTTCAATTACATTTCAATTACATGTGCATGTAATTTTTGATGTTAATCATAAGAAATTATGTTAATATTAATTGTAAAATAATATTTAATTCACATATATTAATGAGAAACCAACAAATCCAAATGAAACTTTTAGAGCAAATTGCCATCAATGTACTTCTAAAATATCTGGAATTTTGACTTTGTGACTTGCATGAAGGTAAAATAAATTTAAATCCTTGCACACACTAATTTTGTCAAATTAGTATACACAATAAGTTTATAGAAATAAAATTATCAGCTGTAAAAACAAATGGCAATTAGTCTGATTAATATGTGTGTAAAACAGCCTAGGGACAATGTAAACTATTACATGTATTTTATCTAATTAGCAGATGTATACAAATATATGAAGCATTATACTTCAATTATTTTCAATGTTATGACAACTATATTTCTTTTGAAAGTTTTAAAGAACAAAATAAATTTATAATTTATATAAAACTTTTTAATTAAATTACAAAGAAATCCTTTTTCTTAAAAATGAGAAGAAAATAAGTTAACAACCTAAGTTGGATACCTTAATTAAAGGAAATTCAATGGTATTTGACCAAAATGCAAAAAAAAAAAAAAAAAGCCATAGTGATGTTTGTTGCCTTTGACATATATATAGCTTGGCAATAGTTAAAATTGAAAAGTTTAGAAATTTAATGACAATAGACAATAGCTGACAAAAAGTACCAGTTATCAAGTAAATGAAAACATTTTACATCCAAATTGTCACATAAGCTTACAATAGATATAAGAAGATGTGGTATGAGTGCCAATGAGACAACTCTCCATCCAAGTCACAATTTATAAAAGTAAACCATTATAGGTCAAAGTACGGTCTTCAACACGGAGCCTTGGCTCATGCAATATATATATATAAAGAATCAAGAGGTCAAATTAAGCTGAGGGAAGAAGATTTAACATTGTTGGGCTAAATTTGAGACAAGTTACATATATTTACATTGTACATAACGTATTGGTTTATACAATTCTGATAAAATGTAATGTGTAATTTAATTAATTACATTCCAATGTAATTGACCCCAAGTCTGGTACAAGGATCCCAACTCGCACTATCATTTTCTATGTTCAGTTGACTGTGAAATTGGGGTCAAAACTCTAATTTTGGCATTAAAATTAGAAAGATCATATGATAGGGAACAGGTGTACTAAGTTTCAAGTTGATTGGACTTCAACTTAATCAAAAACTACCTTGACCAAAAACTTTAACCTGAAGCAGGACAGACAGAGGAACAGACAGACGGATGGACGAACAAACAGAAACACAGACAGAAAAACATAATGCCCCTCTACTATCGTAAGTGGGGCATAAAAATGCATAAAAAGTTAAAAATTATCATACAAGGGCAAAAGATCAAATAATGAGTCGACTGAAGATCTTGGCCATTAAGGCTTATGTGTAGATCTTGTCTTGCTGATCATTTACTATTTAAAGTTTCTATCCAAGATAACTAGCCATCTATTAGTTTCCAAGATAATAGGCCAAAATGGGAAAAATTGACATTAAAGGGCAATAACTTCAATAAAAAGTTGAATAACGATTTTGGTTATGTTGACTTATTAGTAGATCTAGTCTTGCTGATCGTCTTTGCTTTTTAAAGTTTTTATCTATCTTTTATAGTTTTTAAGATGGTGGGGCAAAATAAATTGGAAGGACTGTTTGATTACTATCCTTTGTTTTCTTTCATTGAGATAGCTATGGAACCATTTATGTAACTTACCTTTAATTCCATAGGATTTTAATTTGTGTAAAAGTCCCTTATGCCAAACCTTATTGAATGCCTTAGAAAAATCACAAAAAATAAAACAATTCACCTCCTTTTTTTCCAGTGAATTAATAATACAATTGTAAATTTCTATCAACTGATGAGTGGTTAAAGTTTTTGGTAAAATTCCAAACTGGTATTCAAAAATAAGTTTTTGTCTTTGTAAATGATTGTACACATGTTTATATACTACTCGTTCCATAACCCTTCCCACACAACTTATTAATGATATTGGGCGATAATTAGAAGGAAGGCAGCTATGCCCCTTTTGAATATAGCGATAACACAAGAAATTTTCCAGCTTGATGGATATTTTGACTGCTTAAGGGATTTATTAAAAATTATTTGAAGGGGTATGGCTATCTTTTCAGGACAAATATTTAACATCTTATGACTTATTACATCAGGACCCGATGCTTTGATTGAATCTAGAATCTTAATAACATCAACAATTTCGTTTAGATTTATAGTGATGTCATTTAAAATAGTTTCAGCTTTTTGTTCAACATTTGGTAGAAGAATGTTTTCTTCTTCTAATGAAGAAATTAAATTAAAATATTTGTTCTAAAGTTCGAATTTCTCATTGTCCTCATAGACAATATCATCTAGAATTTCATCTTTTATTATATTTTGAAGTGGTGGGATATTACATTAACCTTTATTTGAATTTATAAGCATTCTCATAATTTTCCAGGTTTTTGGATTTGATATATTTTCTAAAATATTATCTAGATTTTTTTCAAAATTTTCCTTTGCATTTTTTTTTAAATTATTGACCTTGTTTCTCTGCTGTTTGTATTTAATCATATCAGATTCTTTTTTTCGATTTTAAAGCTTTTTTCCTAAATCTATTGCGTTTACTGATTTCTTTTCACAGTACATTTGTAAACATAATAATGGTTTATTGTTATTTCTTACGGTTACCATTTTTGTAGGAATGCACTCCCTTGCAACCTGGAGAAATTTTTTTGTGAATGTATTACACATTTCGTCAACATCCTCTATGTCGGAAAATATCGCATTCCAATCCATTAAATTGAACATTTCCGAAAACCTATTTTTACCCCCCAGACTTCTCTTTTACACAAATGATTTATGGATTTAGGGCACTTGATAAATGCTACAGCTGCATTATGGTCGCTTATTTCAGAAGGTATATTAAGAACATCTAAACTAATTGAAGTCATAGTATCACTAATTATAATAGGATCCAACAATGTACTACTGTGATGCGTAATCCTGATAATATTTTTGAAATTAAACATTTTAATTATGTCAAGCAATTTATTATTCTCATGTGTCAATAGGTCACAATTTATGTCACCTGTTATCACAATGTTTTCATTCATCCGCAATGCAATATCGATTGCATGATTAAGGCGTGCCCAATAATCGTTATCTGACCATTGTGGACAGTATTTATTACACTTAACCCTTAGACTGCTGCTTTGATTCTATTGTGTTATTGTGCAATGCTGAATAAAATATGAATTATTTTATGAAACTGACATGGTTACTTTAAATTGCTTTATCTTTGTGAATATTGACTATACAGCAATAAAACTTACATGAAAAAACATTGTTAGTTTCTGAATTTTTCATTTCTTGTGTTTGTTTGTGTTTTTGGTTATTTTGTACCTGTGCAGGTGCAAATAAAGGTATACAAAGGTAAAGTTTTATAATTACATATATTTTAACAATTCAATAAACATAAAACTTTGTAAAACAAGAACATTTGTAGCTATAGATATTTGCCAAAAAATATTTGGCAAAAAAACTTGTAAAAGTCACAGGTAATACTGCAGGTATGACACAGGTAAGTCAAAAAAACTCGTTAAGGACAAATAACACTTTAAAATGTAAATAAAACAGTATAAATATAACACAATACTTTGTAAAATCAATGAATGTTACTAATGTTCAAAATTACTGATCAAGACACAATAATAACTATTTATTCAGAGTCTGAAGAATTTTCACCTGCAGGTTAAGAGGATTGCTCGATAGTTCTGTCGCGTGTGGTACACCTGAAAACAATTAGGCACAAACAATGCAACTTTGCATGTAGGACACCAAAAAGTTGTTTGCTTTCTTTTGCATGCTTGTCTCAAAGACTTTTTATAGTTACAAGCTACACAGTCTCTAGTGGGATGTGCACGTTTTGATCCTCCCTTTGCAGGTATATGATTAGGGAAATGACGATCAAGTAACCGCGTCGGTTTTTCTCCTAAGATTTTTCTCCCAATCTCAATTTGCGGTTGCGGAGCACTCACAGCCTCCTGAATAAGAGCATTAACTACTGATGTTCTGAAAATGTTATGCTCTTTCCTTGTTTTATTTACTGGTGCATACTTTTTGTAAAAAATAAATGAATTTATAACGCACAAGTTCAACAGGTAGAAGAAGAGTTTTTTATACCACTTACTTGTTTTACGTAGGCACAAATAGTATTGATTGATCTGATCGGACAGACCTACACCTCCCATGAAAGAGCAGTAGTCCACTACACATGTCAGTTTAACAATTGGGTTATTTGTCCTTCGATCATTTTTGTTTATAACACTGACTGTAGCAGGGTGGATGGTTGAAAGCATGTGTACATCTCGCTTATTGTGAAATTTTACAGCAAGAAGACCTTCCTTCCGTCTAAATATAACCTCGCCACATTTCAGCTTCAGATTGGTTATTTTAATGGCATCGGGTACCCCCAAGCAGTTTTTTCTCAATGTGCCACAGGCATAAGTATTTAATACTTCAAGTTCTGTAAATAGTTCTGGCGACACGTAATAATTGTCCATGTACACATGGTGACCATTGTCCAAAAGTCCACAGCGGTTCATCAAACCAATAACCACTTTTGTAGTTGTATTGCATTTATTCTCACCAAGAACAAGGTCAGCTTGTTCACCAATTTGAGAACAACCGGTATACACATCAAACCCAATACAATAACCACTACTAGCCTCACACACTTGATAAGAGTTTTATACCAAATTTTGTCGGCTTTGCTGGATTGTAAACTTTGAATCTCAAGTTGCCTTTCCAGCCACATGTAGCCTCATCAAAACTTAGTTTCTTTTCAGGGCAATAAACTTCAGGAAACCTCTCCATTATTAATGTTATAAAAGGACTAATTTTGAATAAAGTGTCAAACCCTACGTGTCCCCTTTGCACCTGTCTCTCGTTATCCACCAGGTGCAAGTAACTGTGGATAGCAAGGAATCTATCCCTACTCATATAATTCCGGAAGAAAGGAGTGTCCATGACTTCTGAGTTTGACCAATATTGTTGGATATCACTTTTTTTAACATGTCCCATGGCTATAATTAATGATAAAAACACCTTCATTTCATCTAGAGTGACAAGTTGCCATTTTTTTATGCGGCTATTTTCTTTCAAACTTTCATCATCATTGGCTTTTACATCGGCAAATTTATTAGTTTGAAATACAAGTTCATTAATAAAGTCATCAGTTATGAATAATTTAAAGAAGAACGGTTCATTACTTTGCATGACATTGTTAAGTTTTGACTCTCCTGTAAACGGGGCATTTACAACATCACTGTCCTGACGTAATCATTCATTTCTGAGATCGTCTGGGAAATCCCTGTCATTCTCCGGTGAAAAGTCAAATATTGGCGAGTTAGCAAGTATATTACGATTTATATCTACTAAATCTTCAGGACCAAATCCCTCAAAATCATCTTCACTGTCGCCATCATTAAAAAATTCATTAATTTGTTCGTCGTCACTCCAGTCAATATCCGCCATTACGGCTCATTTTTCAACAACAAAATATTTTTGTTTTTATTGATGATTACTGTTGTAAAGTCAAAAGAAACTCGAAAAGCTGTTGATTATTAACCAATCGAAACCCATACAAGTCGTTAGTGCTGTCCTTTTATGATTACGGAAACATCCCCGTCCATGATAGCTGTATAAATAAACAAGTTACGCAAACGACAATAGTCGCGCGTAGCAGTAACAGACTGCTAAATCGGAACGACAATAGTCGCGCGTAGCAGTCTAAGGGTTAAGTAATGTTTGACCTTAACATCGTATTTCTTCCCAAATAGTTTCATCAATTTGGTTCAAGTTTTCATAGAACTGCTATATCATCCTTTGTATAGAAATGAGCAAAAAGTAACAAATTTCCATTTCTTATAGGTTGCACTTTGTAAATACAACTGTTTCTCAAACCACGCCTCTTTTGGGGAGATATATAATATTCATAGATATGTTAATTTGTTAACGTACTGGTTCCCATTTATGATCTCTGTGTTTCATCTCATAGAGACATCACTTGGAAATGTAACCAGTATAGAAAAACATGGTAGCGCCTAAATTTTAATTCTCAGGAGGTCCAAATATGGAGGTAAGGGTAGTATAGAATTTTAGTACAAGTTTAAACTCTTAGAAGTTCAGGGCATATAAATGTTGAAAATATGCCGCACAGCCCTATATTTTGACCTTTGAATAAAATAGTATTGCATATAAACTTTCCGTTCTGGGATATTATTTTTCACGAAACTTCATAGTAAAAGTGTCACAGTTTCAGCCGCAAAGGGAGTTCCTATGGGAAATTGCATTGTCTATATTTACAGAATTGCAACCTATATAGGGTTAAAAAATAGAACATACAGATTTTCACAAAATTTGGTTTATCTCAGAGATTTTAAAGAATTTAACTGAAATATGAAGTTTTATAAATATTTCATGAAGATTGAGTAAATCCTGAGCCTTAACTATGATGACTCAGCATAAATTCACAGTTTACAGTATGCATGGTTTACTTAAAGCCCTGAATTCAAAATAAATTTATAATATATGCCTCTATGTAATTTAAATTGTTCAGAAGTGCTTATATTTACTCTTCGCAGTCATTGCAACTCATTGATCCTTCCTAAATACTTTTGTTGGGGTGTTTTTGTCCTGTCGATAACCCAAAAGTAAGCGTAACACCTTAATGTGCTTTTTTGTGACTGCGGCATTAAAAAGTACAAGCTAGAATTACAAAAAGACCTCAATAAAACTTACAATAGTGTGTTCTATCCTAAATATATGCTAAATATTCCACATTACTAGAAACAGGGAAAATATTTAGGAAATGTGAGGCCCCAGGGACAAAAAACAGAAAAAAATGCCTACCCCTGTGTCATAAAACAGATAATTTAACTTGTAAATGCTATGAATTTATTATTTTCAAGGTCTTTTGTAAAGAAAACAATAACTGTGCTGGGAAGTTATGCAAAAGTAAGATGTAAGCAGTCATTTCTATCAAACTTTTAGTGAATTTATGCACCAGACTGATATCTTCTTAAATACAACTTTTGCAAATATGGCTTTGTTTAGACACTTCTAGTTCATATATTAACTAACTTATGTTAGATATATGGTTAGGGATGATACTGTTGAGACAAGAATTCTTAACTGACCATTTGAGACAGAAATTATGAACTTTCATTGACAAAAAGGCATTCAGTAAGATGTGGACTGGAGACACAGGCAGGATTGGATACTTTGTATAATCTTGAAAGTTGGAATGATTAACTACTAAACAATACACTTATAGTATTACAAAATGCTTTCAATTTGTTATCAGAATAGTTTCAAACATGTTTTAGACAGTTCATGTCAGAAAACATGCACATAGGGTAAGCTGGCAATAATTAAAGTCTTGTTTTCAAATTCTTTAAAAAATTGAAACAGGGGTAGGGGTATAAAATGTACTGTAAAAGGAAACTTAGAGTATATGCAGTGATTTCTTTAAGGCTATAATTCTGATAAATAAGTATTGTTGTGAGAAAAAGTGTTTTTAGAGAGTTTTCTATTTGAATAAATGTTTGTATAGGTTGCACTTTGTAAATACAACTGTTTCTCAAACCACGCCTCTTTTGGGGAGATATATAATATTCATAGATATGTTAATTTGTTAACGTACTGGTTCCCATTTATGATCTCTGTGTTTCATCTCATAGAGACATCACTTGGAAATGTAACCAGTATAGAAAAACATGGTAGCGCCTAAATTTTAATTCTCAGGAGGTCCAAATATGGAAGTAAGGGTAGTATAGAATTTTAGTACAAGTTTAAACTCTTAGAAGTTCAGGGCATATAAATGTTGAAAATATGCCGCACAGCCCTATATTTTGACCTTTGAATAAAATAGTATTGCATATAAACTTTCCGTTCTGGGATATTATTTTTCACGAAACTTCATAGTAAAAGTGTCACAGTTTCAGCCGCAAAGGGAGTTCCTATGGGAAATTGCATTGTCTATATTTACAGAATTGCAACCTATAGCCTCTGTGTGCATTTTTATATGTAAATATGGGCTACGGTCTAAATGGAATCTAAATAATTATCAGTCTTACATGGCCTAAGACCATATTATACTCATGTGGTATGCTTTTTGTAACTTTTCTTTACATTTAAAGTACATTTATTATATATGGAAGAATAATGTATGGTTAAAAAACTTCAAAAACTTCAAATTGGTTGAAAAAAATGCATGTTTATGTAAGGCTTCCCTTAATACGAAAATCTCTATTTTCAGACACAGGCTCATATAAATTTTTGAATAACTGTGATAAATCTGATAAATCAAATGAGTATTCCGTTGCTTTTAATACTTATTATATTATATTCAAGAGTACTTAAAAAGCAAATTTTAGCAATATTTGAAATTTTAAGGCCAAAATCTTGACAGTTGAAAATATTTGATTTAAACGTCAAAAATAAACATCCAAATTTCAATATTAAAATAGCCCTAGTTTCTATAATATAAATCCTATGGCCATGAAACTTGGCCAACTATCTTAAAATTTCCTAAGCTTAGGTCATGCAAAGTTTTATTAAAATTGGTCAAGTCTTTCTATCCTATTAGGTCCAAGGACACAGTTATCAGTTATATATGCCAATTGAGACTAAAACTACATGCAAGTTTTCCATTGAAAAGTGAAAAACTGGTCATCAGACCATACTGTCTGCAAAAAAAAGTTGAATTCAAGAGTCCTTTTGCAATTAGACTTCTTGTATCTTGCACCTTTTTTTTTTTTTGCCCTTGTCATCAGTGCATGTGCATCTCCAGTAATACTGCAATTGGGACCGTCAAATCCTCAATGGATGTTGGCAACTCTTCAAATACAGTACGTACTGTTATTCCTTTATTGTGGATGTTTACTTTGTGTAACGCTTTCTTGAAAAACTTACATTGACACAACCAACAGCTAGTGGTGACTGTGTAACTTCATTTAAAACCTGCTTCCTCTTCTTACAAATAAATCCTGCATTGGCCATGTCACAAGGAACATCATTCCATTTTCCATTCTGTGTGATAAACAAGTTAGAACAAGTTATGGTAGTCTTTTATCATAAGGAGATGTGGGGGTAAATATTAATGAGCCAGCAATGCAACAACATTGTATAACAACTTGAGATATCTTGGAGTCATCATACAGTATTTGACGATGAACAAATGCCCAGTGTATGTAGCAAGTAGTCCAAAGATTTTTAACCCTAATTCTAGACAAGTTGTGTAGGTCGTTTTTCATCATTATTATGGCTTTGTATCACTGATACTACCTCAAGAAGTTAAAGAAAGAAACAAGAAAATGACTTTATAAAGCCTTCAGATGATTTACAAATGACTATACATTCAAGCCTTCAGGTATCTTGCAAAAGACATTTCAAACTAAACAAGTGAAACTGCGAGCTACTGCTCACTGATGATACCCCCGCCCAAATATTTCGGTAAACAGGAAGTTGTTGAGTGATGAATCTGAAAATGCATCACACAGTATAGCTGACTTATATAAACCCTGAAACCATATTTCAGAAATTCTTATGATATAGTTCCTGAGAAAGCTGAGACAAAAATATTCATGGGACGGATGGATGGATGAATGGATGGATGGACAGACAGAGGTAAAACAGTATACCCCCACTTTTTTAAAGCGGGGGTATAATGATTCGCAAATTACTGTACATGTACAAACATTCAAATGATTTTCAAATAACCATACAAAATTTCAGTAAACTTGCAAATGATAGTACAAACCAAATATTTTGCAATTAGCAAATGACTTTACAGCTATGTAACACACCTTCAGAAGCATAATAACACAATCCTCCTGTGTCTCACCATTCCAATTGCTGGGCTCAGTTTTTGCCCACTTTGTATATTTGACAGTGCTATCATCTGACCATTTAAAATTCATTTGGAATACAGTATCACTTAATCCAATCCAAAATCCACCATAGATAGCTGAAATTAGAAAAAAAAACTTCAAGAAGCCTGTTTTGCCATTTTCTTCATATTCTGCATCATAAACACTATACAGGAAATGAGAGGACATGGTGTATCAATTCATGTCACAAAATCACACACATACATGTAAATAAGAGAAAAGAAGAAAAAACAGCAGTTTTAATGCTGTTCTTCATCTCAAAGTCAGTGTTTTTTCTACCTTTTACATTTTCAGAACAAAACAGAAATTGCTAATACCTTCAAAAGAAAATCGACAATCAGAAACAACTTTTTCTCTTCTAGTCTGGTTTATTTTTTGACAAATGTGGTTCAATTTGCCCAAATAACATGATAGGAACTGATAAAAATATCAATAAAATCAACAGACATCATACATATTCAGTGAGCAAAAGATCATACTTAAAATTTTGGACAGATGAGCTTCAAAATATCAATGATACAGCAAAAATAATGTTATTTGATTCATGAATTACAAAAAAAGTTGGTTTACAAGTTTATTTATTCTGATGGAAGGTTGATTGATGGCAGAATAAAACTGCATTAGCACACGGGCTCTGTGATAGTGAGGCACATTTTTTCAAATAGCAATATCAATAGGCAAAAGACACATGGTTTAGATAAAATCATACAACATTACCTGAATCACAAATTCCACATGACAATGGACAATTCTGCAACATATAAGATGGGTTAATGTAACATTCACCAACACTAGCCCAGTGGTCACACTCCACAGAATAATGGATATTTTTACAATCCCGAATACACAAGTTACAGCTCTTATGACACGACCTTGCCATCCATACTGGGTTCTTCTGACATTCTCCTTGATCTCTCCATTTATCACACTGAGTATCATTGGAATGGATGTTGTAACAATGAGCTAAAAATAGAAGTCAATTAATACTAAAATAGATAACAGCCTCAAAGTCACATCATAACCTTCCCATTTATACTGGATTCTTCTGACATTACATTTATCACACACAAAAAATTCTGATTGTGTGCCACATGTGGATAAGGATCTGCTTACCCTTCTGGAGCACCCCCGGTTTTTGGTGGGGTTAGTGGTTTTCTATGTTGTGTTTTGTATACTGTTGTTTTTCTTTTGATTATTTCTAGTTTTTGCCATGTGTCAGTTTTTAAACTAATGAGTTTGAATGTCCCTTTGGTATCTTTCGCCTCTTTAAGATAACAGATCCTTAGACCTTGCTATCTATACTGGATTTTTCTCACATTCTCTTTTGCCTGATTTTTTAATATATCACACTGTGTACCATGCATCAGGTTAATTTGGCATCTGCTTTTTATTTGCATTTACAGGGTAAACATTGGGCAGTGAAGTATAAACCGTCAAGTTTATAACAAGTAAAACTGTGAGCTACTGCTCATTGATAATACCCCCGCCGAAATATTTCGGTAAACAGGAAGTTGTTGAGTGATGAATCTGAAAACGCATCACACGGTATAGCTGACTTATATAAACCATGAAACCAAATTTCAGAAATCCTTGTCAAGTAGTTCCTGAGAAAAATGTGACGAAAATTTTCAACTTGGCTATCATGTGTCAAATAATACAAGTGTTCGGTAAACAGGAAGTTGTTGAGTGATGAATCTGAAAATGCATCACACAGTGTAACTTACTTATATAAACCCTGAAACCAAATTTCAGAAATCCTTGTCAAGTAGTTCCTGAGAAAAATGTGACGAAAATTTTCAACTTGGCTATCATGTGTATAATAATAATACAAGTGTTCGGTAAACAGGAAGTTGTTGAGTGATGAATCTGAAAACGCATCACACGGTGTAACTTACTAATATAAACCCTGAAACCAAATTTCAGAAATCCTTGTCAAGTAGTTCCTGAGAAAAATGCGACGAAAATATTCATGGGACGGACGGACGGACTTTTTTAAAGCAGGGTTTAAAGTGGGCGGTATAATTAATACTTGATCATCAAGTCTTATGCATTTAAACTATTAAAGACCTGACAGATAAGAGCTCATCAAGTCTTATGCATTCAAACTATTAAAGACCTGACAGATAAGAGCTAGGTGAGACAAGTGGGTAGTGATTTTTTTAGCATAAATTGTGAAGGGGGGTTTGTCACCAACAAACTAGTTGAACCCTGCAACATTCTGTATGTGCCTATCCCAAGCCGGGGGCATGTAATTCAGCGGTTGCCATTCGTTTCTGTATATCAGGAAATTTGATTTATTAAATTATAGTTTATACACAACACAATGTATCTTCTATCTCAAGAGTTAAGAAGCCTCTGTCAATTTTTTTTAGATTCTATTATTGTTTACTAATATAGGGGGTATGTGTTTTGATGACCTCGTTATCAGATTGACAAACTTACCTATATGTGTATCATATGTATTTTAATCAGCTATCCCACCCACCGTCCCCAGCTACACCATCTGGGTTTCGAATAATATACTTGTATCTTACCAGTATGTAACTGTTAGTGTATAGATAGATAGTGAAGCTTCATATTTTATTTGTTGAACCTAAGGGATTTTTTCATTCGAAACTTTTTAATAATCTATAACACATAATTGTACATGATATTGATTTTATGATACTAGTTCTTTAATAATTGTTTTAATCATTAATAACTAACTTAGTCATCAAGTTAAGTTTTATATATATGTACAGTGTATATTTAGACTTGTTTTCTCACTAATTTAGGGGCTACTCATATTATGGATAAATTGCATCAGGCCTTTATAATTCAAGGGGAATTATACTCCCCCAATTCAATAATACATCAGATGGGTTAATTCCTGCTAGGTCGGTAATTTCTCTAGTCAAGTAGCTCACACCTGCCGGGAACTCCCCAGGTGACATTTCATACAGTTAAGTTTGCTGCAGGGATCTCCCCATCATTGATATGTATTTATGTGTACAAGTATTTACATAATTTTGACCATTAGGCATTTCCAATTTACATGTATTTTATTATGTATAAAAAATTTAAAGGTTACATTTTTCAATGAATGAGTAGCCCCAAGAAAGCCAATAATGTAACATTTTAAGTTATAGAAATGTATATTGTTATGTAATGGTATTTAATTTAGATACTGATGTTTAGAATTAGTATGTTATATAATAAAAGTTTTCTTTAAAATGTGTTGTGTATAAAATATTTGTTTTTCTTTTATTGTTTTGTACATAAATCAGGCAATTAGTTTTCTCGTTTGAATTGTTTTACATTTGTCATTTCAGGGCCTTTTATAGCTGACGATGGGGTATAGGTTGGCAAATTACTGAAGGCCTTACGGTGACATATAGTTGTACACTTCTGTCATTTGGTCTCTAGTTGACAGTTGTCTCATTGGCAATCATACCACATTTTATTTTTATATTTGATTTAAACATAGCTTACTGATATACTCATGGAAGGCAGTGTTTTATATATTGATGCACCTCAAATTCAACCTCAAACTGCAATTGGTTTTAAGGCTGAAACAATTTTTGTACATATGCACAGCAAAGGCTCAGTTGAACTAAGAACAAAACACCTTTAAGTAGTAGTGAATAATATAAATATAATCAATAAATATATATATTACTAAACTGCACAGGGTTTGAAAGTTAGTGCAATTTTTCTACATATGCACAGGGGAGACTATGTGGAACTAAGGTTTGTGACCATGACCTTTTCTCTAGGATATTCTTCCTTGTATGCAACATACTTTCTAGAAATGGTGAATAAAATGTCAAATCATTACAAAACTCTAAGGGGTTTAAAAGTCTAAGAGAGCTGAAAGGATTTGTGGCAGTCCAGACAGACAAGCTGATAAGTATAGGCCTTCTCCCCATCAATAATTGAGGCCTTAATTTACCTAACTTACTTTTAGGGATTTGGCTTGTAATAAAATCCTGTTCTCCTTCTTCTGCAATTGAAGTTAAATCAGAGCCATTCTTCCTACAAATAGATCTGGCAGCATTCCATGTGGTTTTTTTCCTAGAAATCAAATAGCAGTTTGATCTATAACTAACCCATCCATCTGGACAACCATAGGTTTGGCCTAAAATAAAAAGGCATTTTCTCATATCTCCTTTCAAATTAGTTGTCCAAACCATAAACTAGAGGCTCTCAAGAGCCTGTGTCGCTCACCTGTATTTACTGATGCTTTGGAAATCATGTAAAATAAGGTTAAAATCATAATCAATAGTATTAGATATTAGATATTATAATGATATCTAAGATAATAACAAAAAACTGCAAAATTTCTGTAAAATTAATAACTCAGGGGCAGCAACCCAACAACGGGTTGTCAGATTCGTCTGAAAATTTCAGGGCAGATAAATCTAAATTTGATGAACATTTTTGCCACCTGTCAGATTTGCTATAAATGCTTTAGTTTCAGAGATATGAACCAAAAACTGCATTTTACCCCTATGTTCTATTTTTAACCAAGTCGGCCATGATGGTTGGAAGGCGGGGTCATCAGACAAATTTTTAAAACTAGATACCCTAATAATGATTATGGCCATGTATGGTTAAATTTGTCTCAGTAGTTTCAGAGAAGAAGATTTTTGTAAAAGATTACAAAAATTTACAAAAAATTGTTAAAAATTTACTATTAAGGGCAATAACTCCTAAAGGGGTCGACTGACAATTTTGGTCATTACAACTTATTTGTAGATCTTACTTTGCTGAACATTAATGCTGTTTACAGTTTATCTCTATCTATAATAATATTCAAGATAATAACCAAAAACTGCAAAATTTCCTTAAAATTACCAATTCAGGGGCAGCAACCCAACAACAGGTTGTCAGATTTGTCTGAAAATTTCAGGGCAGATAGATCTTGACCTGATAATCAGTTTTACCCTATGTCAGATTTACTCTAAATGCTTTGGTTTCAGATATATCTACATTTTACCCCTATGTTCTATTTTTAGCCATGGCGGCCATCTTGGTTGGTTGGCGGGGTCATCGGACTCATTTTTTAAACTAGATACCCTAATGATGATTGTGGCCTAGTTTGGTTAAATTTGGCCCAGTGGTTTCAGAGGAGAAGATTTTTGTAAAAAGCTAACGACGATGGACGACGACAACGACGGACGACGGACGCCAAGTGATGAGAAAAGCTCACTTGGCCCTTCGGGTCAGGTGAGCTAAAAAGGTACAACAAATCGTCATTAAAGTGTAATCACTCCTATGATAAAGAGTGTAACAATTTCAGCAAAATTTTACTTGTTTATAGATCTTGTCTTGAGACTCATTTTTGCTATTTAAAGTGCCTATCTATCTATTATAGTTTTCAATATAATAGGCAAAAATTGGTAGCAATCTTCATTACAGATCTAGAGCACTTACTCCAATAAGGAGCCAACTGAGGATTTCTGCCATTAGAATTACTTAATGATCTTTCCTTGCTGCTCGTTTTTTTTATTTGAAGTTTCTATCAACCTTAATCAGCCTTGTAAAGTTCACACTGGTACCTTGTCCACACCTCCCTTTTCCCCACAAGAATACAGGAAACAAATGTTTTTGCAACTCCTTGAAAACGTCTAATGAAACTCCAGTAAATTGTGTGTGATCATTTGCTGTATTTTCATAGAAAATAGGTCAAAAAGTAGAAGTTGAAAATACTTGTAAATGATTCTAGAACACTCCAACAGTGTTAAAATAAGTCAAAATCATGAATAAACAATTTGGAAAGTTGTGTTTCATATTAACCTGAAGTTCTTATAGCATGTGTAAATCCAAAATAATTACGGTGAGATAGTGCGGAAAATCCTTTCTTCATAATTACTACAAGAATATGACTTTGAAACTAGGACAGTTCAGTTCTTTAGTTAAATACTATTAAATATATTAACAACAATAATAATTGGAAGATCTTCAGCTAAAACAAAAAACACGTCAGTATGAAGCATCAACACCGAATGAATAACAAATTACATTTTGTAGTTTATACATTGTAATGCATTAGCTGGTTCCATGCTGATTTATATACTTTTTTTCATTCCAGTAAATACAAGTGGATACAAGTTTGTGTTAGGCAATGCTATAAAAAGAAACCAGTAATTTGTAATGAAGCATTTAATTTTGACATTTATCAGTCAATATTGGATTTTGAATTAAAATTACATTTCAAATATGGATTAGGTAAAATAATAGTTTTGAGATGCCCTCTACATTTCCAATAACAAACAAAGGGGAATGTTAACAAACATCACTAAATCAAGTTTCTCTTATTTCTTGATTATATTACTCTATAATCTGAACCCCTGAGAAAAAACTGCGGACTATACAAGCCTCAATATGGTTCCATCACAGTTTGTAAGATATTTGGCACCCCTCCCCCCCCCAAAAAAAATAAAAAATTGTCATTAAAGGGCAATAACTGCAATAAGAAGTCGCCTGACAATTTTCATGTAGTAGGTAGATCTCAACAATATGAACATTTCTGTCCAATTTTTTCTTTTTACAGTGGTTTTCAAGTTAATAGACAAAACTTGCATTTTACTGTTATGCTCTATTTTCAGCAATGTTGGACATGTTAGTTGGCAAGAGGATCATTGGACACATTTCTTTTTAACTAGATACCCAGGAGTGTTCCAGGATTTTAGGTCGGGGGGCGCAAACTTAAATGTTCGCTGAGCGGAGCGAGTCAATAATTTTTTTGAGGAAAAATTATCGAAATACTCTTCTAGAGTTGGTGCACAACCCATGCTTTGCAAATTTTAGGGGGAGGGGGGGGCCGAAAGGCCCGCAACACCCCCGCCTCAATCCGCCCCTCATACCTCAATTATGGTTGTCGCCAATTTTTGTTATATTTCGCCCAGTAAATTCAGAGAAGATTTTTGTAAAAGTTTACAGAGACAAATGCCATGTGATGAGAAAAACTCACTTATCCCTTTGGGCCAGGTAAGCTAAAAATAGGTCAAGCACAATACATTTTAAACAGAAATTTGCTGCACACTACAACTATTTTTGAAGGAATAAAATACAAAATTGAAGGAAACTTGTTGTTTCAGGAACCAAAGGAATGGCTGTATCATTTCAGTTGACTTGAGGAATGGGGAAACAGAATAAAGTCCCTCATTTGCCTAGTGGAAGGGGAAAAGAATTAACTATGTCCCTAAGTTGACTTGAGGAAGGAGAAGATGATTCAACTATGTCCCTCAGTTGCCTTGAGATAGGGGAAGAAGAATTAACTATGTCCCTAAGTTGCCTTGAGATAGGGGAAGAAGAATTAACTATGTCCCTAAGTTGACTTGAGGAAGGAGAAGAAGATTCAACTATGTCCCTCAGTTGCCTTGAGATAGGGGAAGAAGAATTAACTATGTCCCTAAGTTGACTTGAGGAAGGAGAAGAAGAATTAACTGTCCCTCAGTTGCCTTGAGGAAGGTTGAAAAATAATTAACTATGTCCCTCAGTTGCCTTGAGATAGGGGAAGAAGAATTAACTATGTCCCTAAGTTGCCTTGAGATAGGGGAAGAAGAATTAACTATGTCCCTAAGTTGCCTTGAGATAGGGGAAAAAGAATTAACTATGTCCCTCAGTTGCTTTGAGGAAGGAAGAGAAGAATTACTGTAAATTCAGAAATTATTGCGTGCATTTATTATTGCGATTTTTGAAGAATGGACAAAAATGCTAGATTAATTATTGCGATTGCACGAAAATCTGTATACAGATACATGTATCAGATATCAGAATGTGAGTTCTTATTATTGAGATATTCACCCAGTCGCATTATTCGCATTAATAAAAACCTCGCAATAATTTCTGAATTTACAGTAACTATGTTACTCAGTTGCCTCCAGGCAGGAGAAGACTAAATATTCCCTCAGTTGCCTATAAGAAGGGGGAAAAGATTTAACTATGTCCTTCAGTTGGCTTGAAAAAGGTGGAAAAACAGATTTAACCATGTCCCTCGGCTGCCTTGAGGAATGGGGGAAAAAATTAAATATGTCCCTCAGATGCTTTGAGGAAGGGAGAAAAGATCTAACTATGTCCCTCAGTTGCCTCGTGGAACCAGGAAAAGATTTAACTATGTCCCTCAGTTACCTTGAGGAAGGTGGAAAAAGAATCAACTTTGTCCTTTAGTTGCCTTGAAGAAGGGAGAAAAAAATAATTATGTTCCTCAGTTGCCCTGAGGAAGGAGAAAAACAGTTTGCTATGTCCCTCAGTTGCCTTGAGAGAGGAAGAAAAAAAAATAAACTTAATAATGTCCCTCAGTTGCCTTGAGAAATGATGAATAAAATTAAATACTGTCCCTCAGTTGCTTTGAGAAAGGGAGAAAAGAATTAGCTACTGTGAAAGTACTTTTATTCGTGGGGTACCAATTTTCATGGTTTTCATGGTTGGCTGTAACAACGAATTTAAGTGTCCAACGAAATATAACAACTGTTGTCCAATTCCAGACATGGATAGATCTCCATGTAGGTTTGACTACATGGATAGGGACATATAATATATCGAATATCAGTCAACGCAATATGAACAATATATACTTCTTCAGACCAGATTCTACCCATTTAATCTTTTAAAAACTTAAGCTGTACAACTATTAACTTTTTAATTCTCATGAAAAATAAGTTTTGATTGATAAAAATCAGATGTCCGGTTTTGATATGCGGTGATAAAGTGTTCATTTTATTTTTTCATAATTCTCATCCGAAAAAAAAAAAAATTTCATTTTAGGCTTGCTTTTTTAATTCATAAGAATTCATTCTACAATTCAAAGTACATTTGTTGCATATTCTTATGTAACCGTTTTCATAAAGTGACATGTTTATGGCATAAATTAACACCTTTGATGAATGTAAATCTGTTGATCATTCGATCGTGTGTTAATTAGTGTAATCACTTCGGACTACAGTGTGCAACAATTAAAATGTTCACTTTGCAATTTCCTTCAATTGAGATCATTTGTAAGCATAGATGAATCAGCTAAATTTCGAAAGCAATTTTTTTATTGAAAATATTATGAATGTTGTTAGCAATGAAAGACGTACAAGTGATTGAAAATGAACACCTTTTTTAGCCATGTCCAACAAATCGTTATAAATATATGATTAATTTCACAAATATTCGTTTCAGAAGTCTTCAAGTTCTTGACTTGATTTTTTTTCTCAGAAAACTCAAATCCACGAATTTCAAAAGCCACGAACATGTAACTTTTGCTCAAACCAGGAAAAATTGATACCCACGAATAAAAGTACTATCACAGTATGCCTTGAAGTTGCATTGAAGAAGTGGGAAAAAAGAAGTCATTGAAAGATTATTTCCAGTATTTTGTTCTCATTAAATGCTGAAAAATTTTCAAAATGTGTGCTTTATTTGTCAAGAATTTTGCTATTTATTTTGTTGGATTGCAGTATCAACCATGTCAACAGATTTAACTATAAAACTGCATATTAATTTTTTTGTTTATTTATCAAATTGGCTTCATCCTAAGGATTTTGAGACATTTACATATTTGATGACTAAATGTACCAAGAAATGCATCACTTTTTGATGTATATGCCCTGATCTTATATCTTTATACTGGGAGTTATTATATACAACATAAATGCAGGTGTTAGAAGTATCATCTTTGTAATGTCATATCTGTCAACTGACTCGGATCCTGCGGGTGTGACCCGAGATTTTCACAATTCTGTGGGGCCAACCGGAACACCCGCCGGGTGACCAAATAACCCGGGAATTAACGGAAAATAACCCGTTTTCACTCGGATTCCTTAGCTTCAGACTGATTAGATATAAATTGAATTCAATGAAATACCGGCAAATTCGTAATTCTTCCTGGACAAGAAGTTCAACTAGCTGTGTAAACTCAGCTCAATTGACCCATTTCAGTGCATGGCTTCACTTGACAGCTTTGGTGTCAAACACACTGTTAATTAACACCAATTACCTTAGCTTTAGGTCGTAAATAATTTGTGTATTTCAAAGTTGTTTTAAAAACAATTTGAGTTACTTCCCTTTTTTTGTCAATTTACAATATACTCCTTAAACTTATGGTTTTTTTTTGTAAAAAGATTAAATCTAAAATGAATTGAATGCACAAACATATCAGAATAATACTTTTACTTATTGTTCTACCTTAGAAAAAAATAAAAATTTTGAAAATTACTTTTTTCATCTATACCTCCTTTAATTGTTTAACTTTATTTTATAATACTCTAATATCATCATATGATATGTCCTATTGTCTTTAAAGCTGCACATATCTATGTTAAGAAAACACAAATTGGCACATTTATGTCATGGAATGAATATGAACAGGAATTAAGGCAATGTGGCACAAATCTATCAATGGCTTCTACATGCAATGTAATAATAATATGTACAATTTTAAATTACTTAACCATGTGGACTTTTTTTGGAAACTTTTATATAAACTATAAGAAAAATGTCCCCTAAATACTGAAATTCAGCTCAAAAAAGTTTGTACACATTATGACCTGAGATTTCATTCTTCTATGCAGGTCATCACCTGCATTTTCATTGTCATAGGTTGACAGGTATGGTAATGTTTAATGCCTTCAAAACATTCACTACAGACTTGACAAAAATATTTCTGTCTGCTATTGCAGAGAATTGATCAGTTGTCTAGTTAAATATTTCAAAATAAAAATCTGTATCAGAAAAATATCCTACATGTTACTTTTTACTATTTACTTTATTTTAAACCCCAAAAAACAACTAAAACTGTAGTCTGATTTGAAGTCAGCCCACTGATTGATTGATTGGTGTTTAACACCACTTTCAACACTATTGTGTTATTTTGTGGCGGTCAGTTTTTATATGTGAAGGAAGACAGAGTGCCTGGAGAGAACCACAGACCTTCTGCAGGAAAACTGACAATCCTAGTCAATTAAGATTGGAGTCAAGTGCGTGCACCTGCCCATTCGGGATTCAAACTCACAACCTCAGTGTTGACTGGCTAGTGATACAGTAGTTTGACTACTTAGACCACTTGGCCACCGAGGCCCCAAGTCAGCCCACATAGAAATTGTACTAGTTCCCTAATAATCTAAAAAAAAAAAATTGATAAGGAAGATTTCAAAGAAAACAAGTGAAAATTTCAGTATAAAATATATTATCAGTTTATATCAAGTAGCAATGTCATTTCAAGTAAATGCGGATAGTCATTAGAAATTGACAAAAAAATATTTCTTTATAAAGTGTTGCTATTTTCCATTTTCCACATTGTTTTCCTAACACTGCTAAATAACATAAAAAATCCAACTTTTTGGTTTCAGTTTACAAAGTTTTAATTTCCTTCAATCTTTCCATTGTTTAAAACACTTGCACTTATCATCTACCTCAGGAACCTTTTTCTTTCTCACCAATACCCCTTTTGAACATTATATATAGGTTTAAATACACGGAATAGCAATAGAGAGTTATGATATTGCATATCTAATTGCATTATCATTTCACTATCAGGACACAAACAATTAAGCATCTCCGTGAATGGAAGTAGAGACTTGTTGCAACTTCCAAAGAGTTAAAAAAAAGACATATTCTTGTGCACATTAACTCCAAAGTTATTGTGAAACTGCCTATTCTAGAGGTGGCGTGAATCAGATGTGGATACTAAAAAATTCCAAACATCTTTTAGAGTACATACAATCTAAGACTCTCTCATCTTGCAATAGTATTAAAAAATTTGACTTTTCTACACTTTACACAAGTATTCCCCATTCCAAACTAAAAGACAAATTGAAAGAGTTGGTATTACTTTGTTTCATTAAAAAGAATGGCGAACGTAGATATAAGTATCTTGTCTTGGGGAGGGATAAATCCTACTTTGTAAAGAATCACTCTGATTCAAACAAAAAATTCTCTGAAACTGACATTATCAAGATGCTTGATTTCTTGATTGACAACACATTTGTTACATTTGGAGAACGTGTTTTTCAACAGACTGTCGGAATTCCAATGGGAACCAATTGTGTCCCTCTTCTTGCCGACTTGTTTCTTTATTATTATGAGGCTGACTTCATACAGGAACTTCTTAGGAAGAAAGATAAGAAGTTAGCAATATCCTTTAACTCTACGTTCCGCTATATAGATGATGTTCTCTCACTAAATAATACACAATTTGGTGACTATGTTGAACGAATCTATCCCATCGAACTAGAGATAAAGGATACTACAGATACAGTTAAGTCTGCCTCATATCTTGACTTACATCTAGAAATTGACAATGAGGGTTGGTTGAAAACAAAACTTTATGACGAAAGAGATGATTTCAGCTTCCCAATTGTGAACTTTCCATTTCTATGTAGCAACATTCCAGCAGCGCCTGCATACGGAGTATATATCTCCCAATTGATACGATATTCCAGGGCTTGTGTTTCCTATCATGATTTCCTTGATAGAGGATTGCTGCTCACAAGGAAGCTATTAAACCAAGAGTTCCAAATGGTGAAGTTGAAATCATCCCTTCGTAAATTTTATGGACGCCATCACGAGTTGGTTGACCGTTATGGAATAACTGTTACACAGATGATATCGGATATGTTCCTTATGTCGTAACTACAATACCCTTCCCTTTTCACGAATGTGACTTACTGAATTAGACTGTTTACCGGATTTGTAATAACATAAGCAACACGACGGGTGCCACATGTGGAGCAGGATCTGCTTACCCTTCCGGAGCACCTGAGATCACCCCAAGTTTTTGGTGGGGTTTGTGATGCTTAGTCTTTAGTTTTCCATGTTGTGTCATCTGTACTATTATTTGTCTGTTTGTCTTTTTATTTTTGGCCATGGCGTTGTCAGTTTGTTTTCGATGTATGAGTTTGACTATCCCTCTGGTATCTTTCGTCCCTCTTTTTTAACATGTTATGGTGAAATATGAAAATAAGCTGTTGATAGACTTTATTTTATTTTGATTGTATAATGCAAATGTTGAAACTAAAATGGCAATACCTAACATGTAAACTTTGCAAAACATTCAAAGTCAATGAACCATGATGAGATGCAGGGCCATATAATCTCCATAGACATGAGATATACAAATGTTTGTACAACTAAATACCATTACCTACCACCAGTGGTTCCCCTTGAACTGACTTAATCACACAAACTAATACATTGTTTAAACTGATACAGGAAACAGCAAGCCTTAGTCTCACTTTTTCAATTTCATCAGGGCAAGACAAAAATTAAGTCAAAATCGTCAAATAAAGGGAAATAACTCACAAGAAATAATCCACAGATTTTGAACATATGACCATTATTGTAGAGATGACAGATATCAAGTGATGGCAATAGTTAGCATGGCCCTTTTGTCCAGGACGGCTAAAAACTATCAATATATTAATTACCTTTTCCAATTACAGGTGATGTTGGAGGAATTGGTGGTAGGGTTGGTGCAGCAACTAAAATGAAGAAAGAATATTGTCAGAGCTTATGCCATACAATGCATTCGAATATTTACTTATAGCTTATGAATAACTAACTTTTAAATTATGACTAGCAATAAACTGTTTGGAATTAATGTTGTGTTGATTATCTTGAGTCTTTTAAATGCATGTACAAGTTTTCTCTGTTCATGATGATTAAGATCTTGATAAATTAAAAACACTTTTATTGAAGACCATATGCTTATCTTCAGATATCTTGTGATTTTTTGGGCAGTTGGCCTGCTGTCTCATTGCTATATACTAAACATATCAAATCTTATTGGAAAAAATTTGAGCCATTAGAATCAAATAAAATAAAAGAAGAATGTATCTGAGTACACGAATGCCCCTGCTCAAGCTTTGCAATTTACCAAGTTAAAAAGGAGCATAACTCTAAAACGGTTAATGACTCAAAACCCAAATTCAAACTCTGTCTGCATCTTGTAGTTCTTAGATTTGTGTAGGAGTTTTATAAAATTTGGATGAGACAAACTTAAATTGGAATGCAGAAACGAAAAAAAAATGCAATTTTCAAGTTATAAAGAGGCACAACTCTAGAACAGTAAATGACTCACTGCCCAAATTCACACTGCCTGCTAGTTTTGGTTCTTAGCATTGTGTACGAGTTTCATAAAATTTGCATGAGTCAAACTTAATATAAAGTGTGAAAACAAAAATGTGATGGATGGAAAGGACAGACAGAAGGAATAGATGGATGGAAGGAAAGACAAACGGTCAAGGGTAGCACTCAATGCCCTCGTTGCCATAAAATTCCAACAGCAGAAGTCAATGTTAATATGATGCTTTCATTTCTTAATTCTTTAAAACATTCTGTTGACTTACAAAGATTTATCTCCCTTAATGGTAAGTACCCACTTAAATGTTGTGCAAGGACTAACATTTTATCTTGAGAGGAGAAATGTCATATCCCACTTAAAAATAAGTTAAAATAGCATTTACCAACCTGACTTTCTACAAATAAAGCCTTGTTTGACATCACATCCTTGATCTTCCCATTGTCCTAACTTAGTATCCATAGAAACACAGTCTTCACCATTATCAAGACCATCAGGCTGATCTACATGAAATCAAACTATTTTTTAAGATTATAAAATTATCGAAGCAACATCAAAATAATTTTTCTATTCATCTTATTTTGCTGATTTGGTACAAGATCTAGTATAAAAAGTGTAGGTGTGGCAAGGGCTCATTTTGGCCCCAATTATTAAGTCCATTATTTCAAGATGAAATGTTCCAAATTGATTCATATACATGTGAGAAGGTGAAACATAATGGTTTATACGGAGCTTTTCTTTATCCGTAACACAAAAATTAAGTCACTCTTTGTGAAAGTTGACATAATCTTCTAGATTTTAACTCCAGTTAGACCTAAGAAACATAGATAGCCTGGCTTGAAAAACTAAATTTTTGACTCAAAATAATTCATTTGTATTAGCCATCTTAATGATAAAATATATTTTTTATCGAGGCAGGCACAAAAAGTTTCTTGTCCCAAAAATTGGAATGTTTTTTTTTGTGTCTGGTGGAAAATTAAAATTCATGCTAATATTTTTACATCATAAAAAGACGTACATATGAGGTCATTGTTAAAACAGTTTTAAGGTAGATAGGGTGTCTTCCTCCATCTTCGATTTTGAAATACCAGAAAATAATCGGTCAAGACCTTTAATAATATGTGAAAATTTTGAGAGTAGTGGGTAATTCATGTGTAAGAATTTTCATTTTAATATAGAAAATGACATGTTTTATTATATTTATGGTTGTATTTTACAAAAAACAGAATACTTTTGTTTGATTTAATTTTTTCCAACTTTGCCACATAAGGGGGGGCAACTCAAATGTAAGGGCAGATAATTCAGATAAAGTTACTTTTACAATAGAATGTGTGAGAATTTATCTATTTTATTATGTAGCAAGAAAACGGGGCTGTTGACCCCATTTTTTCTTTTTCTTATATGAAAGTATAACATTAGAGATATCTTCTCATATTTTATCTCAAAATTCTATGCTGTAGTTTTCGTTTTATGGCAGAAAATTGTGTTTTCCATGCATAATCTATACAAAATCTGTCAATTTTGCACAATCTGTAGCATGTAAATAAGCCCTGTGACCCATTCTTTTCATTATTTTTTTCAAAAAAGCATGATATAAACTACATTTTGGCAAATTATTAAAAAATTCTACGGATTATAATTTAGACACCCCATCTACCAAAGTACCAGTTATTTCAAACATAACTAGAGCCTCTAAAGAGCCTGTGTGGCTCAGCTAGATCTATGTACATCTTCAACAATGGATACCTTCAAACATTGTATACGAGAATAGAAATGACAAAAATCTTTTTTGTTCATCTTGCATTGCTGATCCTTTCTTCTGTTTACAGTTTCTCTCCATCTTCTTTATTTTTTGTCCAAAACACAAAAGGGTTTAAAAAAAAAAGCCATTTCAGGGTAATAACTCTTATACAGAGTTCACCAAGATTTTTTTAGATTTTGTCTTGATCACTTTTGTAATTAAATGGTCAATCTTTAATAGTTTGCCAAATAATAGGCAAAAAATGCATAAATTTCCTAAAAAGAAAAAGCATGATAAAGAGCTAGAACTCCAATAAGGGACTTATTTCTGGATCATTCTCTAAAGTGTTTGGCTATAAATTATAGTTTTCAAGATAAAAGGCAAAAACACTAAAAATTGGAAAAAATTGTCAATAAAGTTTAACAATTTGATTTTGGTGGTAACACGTCTTCCAAGCAGCTGAAAGTTTTTTGTCTATCAGCTCTGATAGACATAAATTTGTCATGTGACCATGATGTCATCAACGTTTTTCATGATTTACTCCTTAAAATGGAATTTAGAATTAAATTATAAGGAATGACTGCAACATGTTTTCTGTCTTTTCGAAACAACCCAAAAAATGTGATGCACACTTTTAAATAACCTGCTATGCGGGTTATTCAGTGTGCACCACATTTTTGATGTTATTTCTTCTTAGACAGAAAAAAATATAACAGTCATTCCTTAAATAACTCCAAAAAGGAGTCGACAGACGATTTTGGCCATAAGACTTATTGTAGATCATGTCTTTCTGATCATATTGTACTTTTAAAGTTTCTATTTCATAAATGGGCAATAACTCCAATAAGGAGAAGTCTTGACGATTTGGACATGTTGAATTATTTGTCAATCTTGTCTTGTTGATCATTTTTGTATTTAAAGTTTTTCTATACCTATTACATTTTTAAGATATTAGGCACAATTGAACAAAAAAAAATAAATAAATGGGGAATGTGTCCATGGGACACAGATGATGCCCCCTCTTGCATATCATATAAAAATATAAAGGGACATAACTGAAGAACGGTAAAAGTGACGCTACCCAAATTTGTACTTGATCTGAGTTTTGTGGTAATAAGTATTGTGTATAAGTTTCATAACATTGGGTTGAGGCAAACTAAAGTTAGAGAACGGAAACGAAAAATTCAGCAATTTTTCCATTTGTAAAGGGCATAACCCTAGAACAGTTAAAGTGACACCACCAAAATTCAAACTTGATCTGTATTCTATGGTAATAAGCATTGTGCATTGTGTATAAGTTTCATAACAGTGGGTTGAGGCAAACTAAAGTTAGAGAACAGAAACAAACTAGAGGCTCTCAAGATTTCAGGGCAGATAAATCTAAATCTGATGAACATTTTTGCCACCTGTCAGTTTGCTCTAAATGCTTTAGTTTCAGAGATATAAACCAACTAGAGGCTCTCAAGAGCCTGTGTCGCTCACCTGACTCTACTTTGGTTTTAAAAATCATGTAAAGATAGATAAAAATCATAACAGATACCCAAATAATAATGATTGAGGCCAAATTTGGATTAATATTGGTCCCGTTATTTAATAAAATATCCTGGTGGCCATCTTGAACAGTAAATCAGCAACAAAGTAGCAACACATGGTCAGCACCTCATAAGGAACATTCATGCCATGTTTGGTTTCATTCCATTCAGTGGTACTCTAAAAGAAGACATTTGTATGTATTTCCCATAGGGTCCTATGTTCAACTAAGCCCCCCCCCCCCCTAGCGGCCATCTTGGAGGATGGATCAGCTGCAAAGTAACAAACCTTGGTCAGCACCTCATAAGGAACATTCATGCCATGTTTGGTTACATTCCATTCAGTGGTTCTCTAAAAGAAGACATTTTTATGTATTTCCCGTAGGGTCCTATGTTAAACAAAGTCACCCACTGGCGGCCATCTTGGATGATGGATCGGCTGCAAAGTAACAACACTTGGTCAGCACCTTATAAGGAACATTCATGCCATGTTTTGTTTCATTCCATTCAGTGGTTCTCTAAAAGAAGACATTTGTATGTATTTCCCATAGGGTCCTATGTTAAACTAAGTCCCCTGCTGTCGGCCATCTTGGATGATGGACCGACTGCAAAGTAACAACATTTGGTCAGCACCTCATAAGGAACATTCATGCCATGTTTGGTTTCATTCCATTCAGTGGTTCTCTAAAAGAAGACATTTGTATGTATTTCCCATAGGGTCCTATGTTAAACTAAGTCCCCCGCTGGCGGCCATCTTGGATGATGGATCGGCTACAAAGAAACAACACTTGGTCAACACCTCATAAGGAACATTCATGCCATGTTTGGTTCCATTCCATTCAGTGGTTCTCTAAAAGAAGACATTTTTATGTATTTCCCGTAGGGTCCTATGTTAAACAAAGTCACCCACTGGCGGCCATCTTGGATGATGGATCGGCTGCAAAGTAACAACACTTGGTCAGCACCTTATAAGGAACATTCATGCCATGTTTTGTTTCATTCCATTCAGTGGTTCTCTAAAAGAAGACATTTGTATGTATTTCCCATAGGGTCCTATGTTAAACTAAGTCCCCTGCTGTCGGCCATCTTGGATGATGGACCGACTGCAAAGTAACAACATTTGGTCAGCACCTCATAAGGAACATTCATGCCATGTTTGGTTTCATTCCATTCAGTGGTTCTCTAAAAGAAGACATTTGTATGTATTTCCCGTAGGGTCCTATGTTAAACTAAGTTCCCTGCTGGCGGCCATCTTGGATGATGGATCGGCTACAAAGTAACAACACTTGGTCAGCATGTCATAAGGAACATTCATGCCATGTTTGGTTTCATTCCATTCAGTGGCTCTCTTAAAGAAGACATTTGTATGTATTTCCCATAGGGTCCTATGTTAAACTAAGTCCCCCGCTGGGGGCCATCTTGGATGATGGACTGACTGCAAAGTAACAACACTTGGTCAGCATCTCATAAGGAACATTCATGCCATGTTTGGTTCCATTCCATTTATTGGTTCTCTAAAAGAAGACATTTTTATGTATTTCCCATAGGGTCCTATGTTAAACTAAGTCCCCCACTAGCGGCCATCTTGGATGATGGATCGGCTACAAAGTAACAACACTTGGTCAGCACCTCATAAGGAACATTCATGCCATGTTTGGTTTCATTCCATTCAGTGGTTCTCTAAAAGAAGACATTTGTATGTATTTCCCATAGGGTCATATGTTAAACTAAGTTCCCCGCTGGCGGCCATCTTGGATGATCGATCGGCTACAAAGTAACAACACTTGGTCAGCACCTTATAAGGAACATTCATGCCATGTTTGGTTTCATTCCATTCAGTGGTTCTCTAAAAGAAGTCATTTGTATGCATTTCCCATAGGGTCCTATGTTAAACTAAGTTCCCCGCTGGGGGCCATCTTGGATGATCGATCAGCTACAAAGTAACAACACTTGGTCAGCACCTCATAAGAAACATTCATGCCATGTTTGGTTTCATTCCATTCAGTGGTTCTCTAAAAGAAGACATTTTTATGTATTTCCCGTAGGGTCCTATGTTAAACAAAGTCACCCACTGGCGGCCATCTTGGATGATGGATCGGCTGCAAAGTAACAACACTTGGTCAGCACCTTATAAGGAACATTCATGCCATGTTTTGTTTCATTCCATTCAGTGGTTCTCTAAAAGAAGACATTTGTATGTATTTCCCATAGGGTCCTATGTTAAACTAAGTCCCCTGCTGTCGGCCATCTTGGATGATGGACCGACTGCAAAGTAACAACATTTGGTCAGCACCTCATAAGGAACATTCATGCCATGTTTGGTTTCATTCCATTCAGTGGTTCTCTAAAAGAAGACATTTGTATGTATTTCCCATAGGGTCCTATGTTAAACTAAGTTCCCCGCTGGCGGCCATCTTGGATGATGGATCAGCTACAAAGTAACAACACATGGTCAGCACCTCATAAGGAACATTCATGCCATGTTTGGTTTCATTCCATTCAGTGGTTCTCTAAAAGAAGTCATTTGTATGCATTTCCCATAGGGTCCTATGTTAAACTAAGTTCCCCGCTGGCGGCCATCTTGGATGATGGATCGGCTACAAAGTAACAACACTTGGTCAGCACCTCATAAGAAACATTCATGCCATGTTTGGTTTCATTCCATTCAGTGGTTCTCTAGAAGAAGTTCAAAATGTAAAAAGTTTACGCCGACGACGGACGACGCCGGACGACGGACGACGGACGCCAAGTGATGAGAAAAGCTCACTTGGCCCTTCGGGCCAGGTGAGCTAAAAACTGCATTTGACCCCTATGTTCTATTTTTAACCATGTCGGTTAGGAACGTATAATGTATTATCAACAAATGATATTTGATTCAGTAATTGTTGATCGCAAGCTTATTAACTTTCGAGTTTGCTGCCAAGGTTTACCGGATTGTGACATTGATAATCAATCAACAAAGAGCACATGGAGCAAGTGACAAATAAGTGGATTAACTGTTATCCATGTTAGTTGGCAGGAGGGGGCATGGGACACATTTTTTAAGCTAGTTACCCCAATGATGATTGTGGACAAGTTTAGGTAAATTTGGCCCAGTACTTTCAAAGGAGAAGATTTTTTTTAAATTTAACAGATGACGACAGAGGACGAACACCAAGTGATGATAAAAGCTCACTTGGCACTTTGGGCCAAGTGAGAAAAAAGTATCAGCAAACCTTGCATCCAATGTAGAAAGGAGAATGGCGAACCATCAGACCATCTCCAGCCTTCATCTGCTCCCCGACAATTAGCACCTATCCACATTGATCTGAAATTACTACTTAGCAACCGTCCTATCAAAATGAAATGTAATATAACAATTGTATGTATTTAATACTTTCTTAACAAAATATTAATTAGACAAAATATTAATTAGACATAGTCAATGCTATTCTCCTGTTCCCTGTTTCTTCATTGTAGATGTTTTGGTGCAGTACTTGTTGCTCTTTTGTATTTTATGTATTGTTTTGTAGATTGTTGTTTTAATTTTTTGCCGTTGTTTTGTTGGTCTCTATTGGACTAACAAGTTTTGAATCTCTCTTGGGTATCTTCTGCCTTTATTTAATCGCACAACTTATCTGTTGCTAAGAAATTAATATTACACGAAATAACAGTAACTAAGGTATTTTTTTAATGTGTGTGCACAACTTTCAAACGAATTTGAATGCATATGTCAAATAGGAAGTGTGTGTGTGATGGTTCTGAGAATGTATCACATGGTACAGCTTATTTAGATGGAATTTCAAACAAAATAAACAACAGGACAAATATGTGTAAATGTGAGTGACTCTTCTTTATTCCATAAACAGGAAGATGAAGACAAAAGGATGTGAAAATGCATCACATGGTTCAGCATAACATAATAAATAAACCATATATTGTAATCAATTTGATATCAAATATATAAAAAAATATTGTGATAAGTAAAACTTACCAGCGAGGTAAAGCTGTTCATGAGTTGATGTGATACTAACTAGCTTTCCACCCAACATTTGACATTTTGTTCTTGCTTCCATCCAGCTTGATAACCGATTATCAAAATGATAACAAACATCAGGTATAGGTGAATCTTCCCAAAATAACCCACATTTTTCACTCCATGTCTTAGCAGCAGTTGTCGTAACTAAAATTATAAAGAAAAAGAACATGTGTTCATAGGACACCTTGTTGCACTCCCGTTATCACATTTCAACATGAACTGCAAAATCTGGGACAAAACCTTAATTTTGCATATATCTCTAAAGTTCACATCATAATATATATATGGTATATGGTAATTAAACTAACTTAAACCAAAACTGTTACCAATGTACGAATGGGCAGCAAGATTTTGTTTTTCATTGATCTCGTCTTGCTGTTCCTATTTACTGTTTACATTTTTTCTTTACCTACTATAGGTCTGGTCAAAAATGCCAAAAAATGGTACAAATACCCGGTAGTCAATTAAGGACAATAACCCCCATCGGGAGTCGACAGACGATTTCAGAAATATTGACAAATTTCTAGGGTCACAGGGTCACTTTTAAGGGGGTTTAAACTACCAAATGACACCAGCAATAAATAATATAAGTAGTTGACCAACTATTTCCACATTGACTTATGAGTAGATCTTGTTTTGCTTGTTTTTGTTATATAAAATTTCTATTCATCTATTATATTTTTCAAGTTAATATGCAAAATAAAAAATTTTCTTAAAAATTGTCATTTAAGGGCAATAACTTCGAATGGCACTTTAGTACACACCAACTTATTTGTAGCTCTTGTCTTGCTGATTATTTGTGCCTTTTACAGTTTCTCTCTATTACAGTTTTCAAGAAGATAGGCAACTTTGAAAAACAAATTTGGAAAAATTGTCATTAAAGGGCAATAACTACTATAAAAGTCATCTGACAGTTTTTGTGTAAATAAACAGTTGGTAGATCTCTGAACATTTCTGCTCCTGTCAGATTTTCTTCAGTTCAAAATAATAGACAAAACTTGCATCTTACACCTATGCAATATTTCTATTTGGCCCATTAGTTTGCAAAAAAGATTTTTGTCAAAGTAAATGGACAACAGCAACGACATGGGATGACAACGAAGGAGGGAGGATGGACGCCACGTGATGAGAATAGCTCATTTGGGCCTTTTGGTCAGGTGAGCAAAAGTCAAAAAATTGGTGAAAGTCTAAAACCTTACCTGCAATTGTTGTAGCAGTAGTGGGGATGGCTGGTGTAACTGCTCCAGCTAAAACCAAAGAAGAAATATATAATGACGCTCAATATTTTAAAGACTTCTTGTGCTGAATATGGTCCAATGATTTACTCAATCCAAAAATAACTTTTTTTACCATTTTATAAGATAATTTTTTTCCAGTATTCATGTCTATCATGGCATCTGATCTCAAGTTTTACAATAAACCTCAAATTTTTTTTCAAAGTCTTATATTAATTTTCCATGGGTAAATAATTGTACATGTTGTATGTCTAAATTTTTTAATGATATAACATTCTTCTGGTCAAATAAATATTCAAAGAGTTACATACCGCAATATGGTATATCACAATATTCCCATCTTTGGTTTGCATCAGTTGTATAGCACCATGGACCATATGGCTCACCATCTGCGTTACGACAGAAGTTCTTCTGATCAGATAGTAGATCACTATAGCCATGCTTATGAGGGACTTGCAATGACCAAGCCTGGCATGTACGACCTGTGTTAGTTTGACTAATAGTTCCTCTATAAATCTTACCCATCTGATCCGTTCTACACTCTTGGACTATAAAAAAAAAAAAATTTCAGTCACTGCAACTTCTATATTTCAAAGATGTGGGGTTTGAAAGTAAGAGCCGAAACAATTTGTGATGGACAGCCACATTGTACTGTCAAATATATTTGGGAATTCCTGTTATCCTTCATATATCCAACTATGTAGAAGCTTCCAAGAGAGACACCAAGCATTAGCATATACCAAGTTGTAAACAGCAGCAGGTGATAAAAGGATTATTGACAAGCAAGATTGTACCAGTAATTATAATAATGACAAGCACAGATTTGACTTTAAGAAGGAATAAAAAGCATGCATATGTTTCACAGGATATGCAACTGTCATCTTAAGCCAGTTAAGGTATATAAAGCATGAATGGAATTCAACAAGCAATCAGAGTTTTTGACAGAGAGTACTGTTTTCTTTTCAACAATCAATGAACTCTGTCAAATGATAAGGTTCATGCACTAGTAAGGAACATTGAAGAATTCACATTAAACAAGAATGTGTCCATAGTACATGGATGCCCCACTCACACCATCATTTTCTATGTTCAGTGGACCGTGAAATTGGGATCAAAACTCTAATTTGGCATTAAAATTAATAAGAGCATATCACAGGAAACATGTGTACTAAGTTTCAAGTTGATTGGACTTCAACTTCATCAAAAACAACATGACCAAAAACTTTAACCTGAAGCAGGACAGACAGATGGATGGATGGACGGACGGACGCACAGACTGAAAAACATAATGCCCCTAGGTGGGGCATAAAAATATACACCCCATCATTTAAAATTTTTGATAGAGACACTTAGTACAATTACTTAACTTATAGTATCGTGAATGGAACGCCAGAACGGTCTTATTATGCCCATTTTCTTTATACGAGCCTCGTCGGATAGAAATTGATCTGAGGCCAGGCTTAAAAATATTTCAGTTTGCCCTTACCCGACTTATCAGTAAGACACATGGGTATGTAGGTAGGGTTTTTTTTTTTTTTTTTTTTTGTGAAGACAAAAAAACCTCCATTGAATCTTTCTAAACTTCCTGTCAGATAAGATAACTTCAGAATTACATAGTAATGTGCGTCACCTTGATATATAATGACTGGTGTATTGATCATAGCTTTTTCCATTTTTCATCTGCTTCAAAATAACTTGGACAACATTCTGTACTGAAATGTGTTTTAAAAAGATTATATATCTTTTGTTATTCATAACACCAATACAACCTCACACCCCATATTGCCATATTAGGACAAGACACTATTGTAGTTATTTGGCAGTTAAAGCTTGGTAATAATAAATCTTAAGATGCATTTATTTAATATAATCAAGTATAACAAGAATGTGTCCATAGCTAGTACACAGATGCCCCACTCGCACTATCATTTTCTATGTTCAGTGGACCGTGAAATTGGGGTCAAAAATCTAATTTGGCATTAAAATTAGAAAGATCATATCATAGGGAACATGTGTACTAAGTTTCAAGTTGATTGGACTTCAACTGCATTAAAAACTACCTTGACCAAAAACTTTAACCTGAAGCAGGACAGACGAACAAACGAACGAACGGATGGACGAACAGAGGCAGAGACCGAAAAACATAATGCCCCTCTACTATCGTAGGTGGGACATAAAAATGGTAAATAAATATATGAATATATTTATATTTAAATTCTTTGTCACTAGTTATTACGACTGATCTGCTATCATCAGGGGTCCAATTGGCAATGTTATGTTAAATTCTTTAACCTTTATCTTTTAAGCATATCTCCAAGACTTTTGTTTACATTGAAAACTTATACACATTGCACATCAAACTGCAAAAAATGCCAGTGTTTTAGAATAATTTTTTTTGTATTTTATATGTACATTATATTGGTTATATTAAGTTATTAAAACTAAAGTAATTTTGTCTTTTTCCTTTTAAGTTTCTATGCTGCAAAAACTATGTATGGTCAACTGATAAAGCATCAATAATATTATCATCTATCTCAACGTTATCATAGCCCTGATCTAATAAATTTCCCTTTGAAATTAGTTAGATTGTGAATTGTGTTTTGGTCATTTGTTTCTTACATTGTATCCCCTATCTTATATCCAATGTTCTCACCCTAGGAATATTTTTTTTTGGCCATAACTTTTGCCATGAAGAATTCAACAGTGGAAAGAAAATAAAAATCAATGATTTAATTTATTATTTTACTCTTCAACAAAAAATCAAATAAGAAAATCAAATCAAATCAAATCAAAATAACATTTTTTTTTAATACTTTCACTTAATTGACTTTTAATTTGAAATGATGATAGATGGACTCAGCTGGTACAATTTTGATGCATATTTGGACTCACTTTTTGTTTAGAAAATGGTGAGTCCAAACAGATTTTAATGATTCCAGGACTCATGAACTCGTCTTAATAAGGACCCTGAAATCCTCGAAATACATGTTGGGACAGCTGTTCTGATGCAGACACAGATAGAATTTGTTTCATTAATGTAAAAAGTTGAGTCAAACTTTTTTTTCATATCTTGAAGGTAAGCTTCTAGCTGTGCAAGTTTCATAACTGTTCATGAGGGTTTACAAATTTATCATGTCAAAAAAAAAAAAACTAATCCCAGACTGTCCATAAGTGTTTATTGCAAAAAAATATGAAGTCCATCTTTCAGTTGATTACTGAAAGATGAAAAAACAAAATTTCAAAATTTTGCTTCAAAAAGACAAATTAATTAAGTTTCATAAAATTCTATGAAGGTTTGAAAAAGTAATTGATGCTGGACAAACGTAAACCCAGACTGTACATTTGTATATACATTTGTACATATAAACTGCATATTAACGTGTCCTTTTATCAGTAAAATACGGAAAAATGAAATAAAAAAAATCTCATTATTTTGATCTGGATCTTTTGATCATAAAAAAGCTTCTGCCCATATTTCTTAAAATTTCAAGAAGTTATGACAAAGATATTGATTGATGACTGAAAACTTATACGGTTACCACAAACTGTATATCAAGTCCATTTATCAACAACAATACGGGAAATAATATATTCAAAATTTTGATCTGGATATTGTTCTTTGGTTATAAATAAGCTACTGTCCAAATTTCATAAAATTCTATGAAGGTTTGACAATTAAAGTCACGGATGTCTAAACAAAAAAATGAACAACAAAGAGACTGGACATAATTATTAAATGTTGGTGCTAGAATTGCTAGGACTCCCTTCCGTGGCATAAATGTGACAGGCTCGACAATAAGGAGATGTGGAGTGATTGCCAATGTGACAACTTTCCACCAGAGACCAAATAACATAGATATCAGCATCTATAGATCACCTTACAGCTTCAACAATTTGTATTCGTTCTTATCGTAATCATGTTCATTGACCTTAACAACAACAAAAGCACATCATATAAGGACGTTTTGACATCATATAATGAAGTTAACTGAACCACATCATATAATGTTACAAGCACATAATATAATGACACAACCACATTATATAAAGATGTTTGCACATCATATAAGTATATTTGCACATCAAATAAGTATATTTGCACATCATATAAGGATGTTTGCACATCATATAAAGGTAAATACACATCATATAATGAGAGTTTTGGCGTTCCATAACCGTGCATTTCTTTAAAGTGATACGAGATTGAAATTGAATATTAACGACCTATTTTCACATGTTTGTAAGTATGTGATGTGTATGTGTACAAGGTTTCCAACAGTAAATACATTTAGACTTAAACAGAATTTGAACTGATCATCTAAGATTAAAAGCTTAAGGTAAATACTTCAGACATACAAAAACATATTACAAACACGAGTGCACATGCTGAAATGTATTGCCTGCGTTACTTATGATTGAATTTACGTTGAAAGTCTGTAATATGAAGGTTTTACTACAAGTATCACATAATGTGAACATTATCAATTTTCTATGAAAATGATGTCAAGATAAGATGAACCATGCCAGACAGTCATGTACACCTTACAACCATTCCATACACCAAATACAGTTGACCTATTGCTTACAGTAAGTGATATACTGACATAACCACCCCCTTTCATAGACCAATGAACCATGAAATTGAGGTCAAGGTAAGATGAAACCTGCCAGTCAGACATGTTCACCATACAATCATTCCATACAAATATAGTTGACCTACTGATTATAGTATCCGAGATATGGACTTGACCAGGTAACTCTAGCCTTGATCACTGAGGCATGAAATGTGGTTGAGGTCAGGTGAACCCTACCCGACAGACATGTAGACCTTGCAAGGAACCCATATACCAAATATAGTTATCCTCTTGCAATTAATAAGTGAGTATTTAACTACTAAAAAAAAATTGTTTTTCAAGCAGTTATTGAACCATGAAAATGAGGTCAAGGACAGTGGCCATATGAAAGACGGAAACTTCGTAACATAAGGTATCTGCATACAAGGTATTTCGAGCATACAGGTCTTATAGGTTCTGAAATATAAAGCTTTATACAAATAATTTACACTGTAAATTATTGTATAGCTTTTTAATTAATATAATTATTATTATTTAAGCTATTTAGTCATTTATTGTGAGACCTTTGACAGACATTTTGCATAGAAAAAACAACTAAGGATTCAATATCTAAAAACTAAACTAAAATAAGTAGAGGCAACAGTTATAACATGCCCTAATGTTTCAAGACTATATCATCTTATTTATTTATCAACAAAATTAACATAATTTAGAACGGCTTAAAGAATTTTACTATATCTGCAAGTTCAGGGGTCAAATAAAGGCTCTTATCATACCTCCTCCTGTAGTATATTGCAACATACAACCAGTAATCAATTCATGTGACATACCCATTGTTTTAGGATCAAACACAGCAGCAGATGTACTGTTTGAACATCCTAATGTGTCCATGATCTGAGACAGACCAACAACCTGGGTATGGTAATTAAAATGCTGCTTGCACTGATCATGCTGCGCTTGTAGACACTTCACTCTTGTTCTAATTGTGATACAATGTGGGGCTTCAGAATAACGTTTGGCAGCTTGAATCATTGCAGGGCTTAGGTTCTCAAATTCTTTTGCTTGATCAAACAGGTCTTCACACCACTCCAATCTACAGGATTCTTCTAAAAGGAGTAAGTTTGGTAAGTGTCATATTTGGCCCTGAATATTACGTCTATTTTTATAAGAGAAAAATTATTTCAAATTGATGAAAAGACACATAAGTAAGTGAAATAGAACTCTTTTTTGGCAAGCTTTTATCATAATGCCTTAAAGTTTTATAACCAAAATAGTAAATAGGCAACAGCCGAGATTTCGGTGAAATTTGACAAAATCGTCTGGATGAAAATGTTCTAACAAACAAAATGTTAAAAGATCTTTTTGCCAAAAAATTCTATATCTTAAATAGTCAATGCATTAGTTATGATTCATTGTGATATTGGTCAATACATCCCAATATGAAATATTAGCTAGAAATATGGGCCATATTAGTGCCTCAATGAATCTACTCCTTTGTAAAAGATCTAATTATTTCTGGAAACATGAGTCACATATTCTTTTGTGAGGAAAATCTATGTGTTAAGCTTTTTAAATACTTAATTTTCACAACCTTCAGCAACAATCAAACTTGTACTAAAACTTAACGTGAACTCATAAGAGGGTACCCTGTAAATTTTATTATACCCCCTAGAACTTGTTGGACAGGGATAATATACATTTATGCTGCTTACCCTTCCGGAGCACCTGAGATCCCCCCCAGTTTTTGGTGGGGTTCGTGTTGCTTAGTCTTTAGTTTTCTATGCTGTATCATCTGTACTATTATTTGTCTGTGTCTTTTTATTTTTGGCCATGGCGTTGTCAGTTTGTTTTCCATCTATAAGTTTGACTGTCCCTCTGGTATCTTTCGTCCCTCTTTTATGCACATCCTAATGTTGCATTTTACAACAACGTAAATTATATTTCTGCTGTTTGCAAAGAGTTGTGCTTGTGAGAGACTATTACCAAATATTGCAATACTGAAGGATTGTTGAAAGCCCTACCATGACCTATAGCTAAGAACATCCTTGTCAATTAGGAGACAGTAATGTATCAATGGCAACCATACAATTTTCTTATTTTATACAAGTAAGTTTAGTTATTCCCCTTTACATGTAGGACCAGGATTATCTTTCTTTAATCACATCAACAGGTTGTGCTCTACAACTGACTGTCCCTCTGGTATCTTTCGTCCCTCTTTTATGCACATCCTAATGTTGCATTTTACAACAACGTAAATTATATTTCTGCTGTTTGCAAAGAGTTGTGCTTGTGAGAGACTATTACCAAATATTGCAATACTGAAGGATTGTTGAAAGCCCTACCATGACCTATAGTTAAGAACATCCTTGTCAATTAGGAGACAGTAATGTATCAATGGCAACCATACAATTTTCTTATTTTATACAAGTAAGTTTAGTTATTCCCCTTTACATGTAGGACCAGGATTATCTTTCTTTAATCACATCAACAGGTTGTGCTCTACAACTGTGTATCATTTACGGGAGAGACTTTTACAACATATTGCAAAATTAAAGAAGTAAATATGATTATCTCCCCTTTAACATCTAGAACTTTATTCCTTTTTAAAAGTACATCCTCAGGTAGTATTCTACAAATGTGTCAAGTTTCTTCAATATCTGTACAGCTGTTAAGAAGTTATGCTTCAAAATCTGTTGAGGAGGAGTTGTGCTTACAAACCTGTTGAGGAGTTGTGCTTACAAAGCTGTAAAGGAGTTATGCCTACAAAGCTGTTAAGGAGGAGTTGTGCTTACAAAGCTTTTAAGGAGGAGTTATGCCTACAAAGCTGTTAAGGAAGAGTAATGCTTACAAAGCTGTTAAGGAAAAGTTAAGCTTAAAAAGCTGTAAAGGACGAGTTATGCTTATAAAGCTGTAAAGAACGAGTTATGCTTATAAAACTGTTAAAAGAGAGATGTGCTTAAAAAGCTGTTGAAAATGAATTATACTTTCAAAGCAGTTTAATAAGTGTTACGCTTACAACAGCTGTTAAGGGGGAGTTGCCCTACAAAGCTGTTAATGGAGCCACGCTAAAAATACAGTTAAGGGGGACTTACGCTAAAAAGTAACAAGGATAGGCAGGTTTCTTCCTAAATAACCCCTATCCCTCCCCTCCCCCCCAAAAAAAAAATTGTAAAAAAAAAATTACAGGAAGACCTCTGGAAAGTAGTGGTTTGAGGGAGCTATAATTTTAAATAAGAGAAAAGGGTCTGTTACTTTTGCAAAACATATCAACTCAAGCAATGGAATATGATCAACTTTTTATAATGATGAAACGTTCTATTAAGTATGAAACCTATACAGCTTTAAAATTTTACAAGCCTACAACTTCTTCCAATAACATTGAATGAAAATGGAAGCTTAATCTGATCAATTGCACATCAGGATGGACTCGATAATTTACCAAGAGACAAAATGAAAATTCTCCAAGGAACAATTGTTATGATGGCAAGATTGTGATCATAACTATGGCTTTATATTGCAATATGTTGGAACAATTTAAATAATTTGACACAATTCCTGTCCTAGAAATTGGGAGGCATTGTTGAATATATTCCTCACTAGACAATTAACTTACCTGGTACAGCAGTTGAAACACCTGGCTCAGTAATAGCTGCATTTGTTGTTTTTGTAGTTGTTGTTGTTGTTGCTGGAGCTGTTAAAAATTACTTCAAATTAAATTTATAATTTACAATTATTCAAATTTTTTTCGAAGAAAAGATACAAAAAGTTGTCTTCTCTTAGATCTCAAGACTAAATTTAATTTATTTACCATCATTTGCACTTTAATTATGACTCTTCTGAAAGAACAGAGTTCCAATGTTCCCCACATTGCACATATTTTATCTGTCCCAAGGGCAAAAACTTTTTATAAATATCTTGCAGAAATGAAGGCTTGAAAAAGCTTACAATGCAATTTTCAATATAATTAATATTTACAAGGGGCATAACTTTTTTAAAATTAGTAGATTGACACTGATTTTTGAAGTTGTCCCAGAAATTGATTTAAGTATAACAAGAAATGTAAGTTTTCATATAATTCATATTTCCATGAGGCATAACTCTTTAATAAATAATTGATAAAATTGCACATGTGAGAGCTATAGACGGGTTTATCTATAACTAGCATAGAAAACATGGGCTCATCTATTAATCTCTCACATGACCGATCCGCCATTATGATCGTGAAAAATAAAGGACGTGCATTAATCAAAACATTATCGATTTTTTGTTTACATTTGTATTTCTTTCATTTTCGGATTTATTTTATTATGGATAGTGTCGGTAAGAAAAGGTTGAGACAATTCTTGTGCAGATAATAGTGGTACAAAATAATCGTAAAAAACGTCAGATGTGGAAAAAATCAATAGTTGAATAACACAACGAGTTGCACATTGTCTGCCCTTGTTTGATTCCACATAAGTTTGCCGTCTGACGAGCCAACAAAACTTGACTGGATCAAAGCTTTAAACAGAAAAACATTTTTCTGGTTGGTGCGCCGACTGCACAAAATCCATTTCCTAAATAAAACTTGACTATGACAGTAAAGTAACACCTGGCTAAGGATTTTTATAATGATCACAAGACGACATGTTGATACATCAACTATGAAAAAAACTTAAATTAATCTATGAAAATGAATCTGATGACGACAGAGCATCTGTCTTTTTTTGTCTTGAACCTCTAAACATTTCTGTATCCACTCATTCATAGTATGTATCACATTTCGGACCTTACATTGATTACGTGCTACGTGTACAATGTTTCGAGTTCTTTTGGAATAATATTCCAGGTAACTCTCTTTTAAAGGAGGTCGTCCTTTGTTTATTTATTTATTTGTTTATTTATTATTGTATGTTTTATTTAATTGTTTTACCGTTCTTAATGTAAGTTTTGGAATGGATTACTAATTTTTGTAATATAAGTATGTTTGATATAGAATTCAGTACACATTTCTTATTGTCAGACACAACTCAGACAAAAAAAATGTTAACAGAGGAGAGGAGAATGGAGTTCAAAGTTGAATAAAAGGGTGGACGACGTCAGCATGATTGACAGTAACGCCGTATTGTATACCTGTGTACCGAAGGAAGTTTTCTTTACTTTAGTGGAATTACTGCACGAATTTAATTTTCAACTCAATATTGCAGATCAGCTGTTGCTCATACTGATAAGGTTAACACTTAATTTGATGTTTCGTTAATGGGGACGTAGCTTTCATATTTCACTAAGCTTGTAAATCATTTTATTCTTGGAGGCCAGTTCTTGCTGAGAACCTTAAATGTTTTACAAACAGTTGTATCCATAGACATATACCAGCAAAACTTACTATTTCCCTTGCCTATATTCCTAGACTTAATGGTCCATATATGTAGCTCTTTGTGCTTTAAGCCAGTATATATTCACTTTACTTTTCTTTATTCGACGTATACAGTAATTTCTGTTGAAACTTGATTTGACCTTTCTTCGAAAGATTTTTCTGTGCATAAATTTTAAAATTTAACAAATCTATATATTATCAAGGATTTTTCAAAGGACTTAAAAAGGTAATAAAATAGTTTACTAGAAATTTCGGCAGCGTCTATAATGCGACTCCCCGAAATTCCGACAGTTTAGTAGTACGACGTTCCGATATAAAATCCCTAATGTAATACTGTATTTCACTGTATTATATACATCGGGGATTTGTACAAGAGTCTAATATAGATTCAGGATGAAAATATACGAGACCACTGTTGTTTTTATTCGGTTTTTTGTGCCGCGGGGAGGAGGGTTGGCAAAAAACTATGAATGACGCTTGTAAAACACAACTAGCACTGCTTTGAATTTACACTTTGGCGAAACTTTTTGTGGTTTAAAGCCATTCATTTATGTTAAGCACGGGGGCATGATGTTATACTACGCATATTAGTAGTTTTATGTTTTACAGGGCCATCGAGCTAACTTTCTGCAAAAGAAATTATAGTCGAACACCTAAAAGCTATATGATACATGAGAAAGTTAAAAAATTATTAAGCCCATTTTAATTGGAAGCTAAGTCCACATGGTCTGACACATTGATAGCATAGTGCAATTCATGTGTGCGGAGACAAAAATAAGACAAAAAAGTCACTCAATTTTGAGCAGTATACGTGCGTCGCACGACAAGCACAGAACTCTCGTCTCAGTGAAAAAGTATATTCCCGAAACGTTACATGTCAATAGGTATATTTTTTCAGAGACAAGTTACCAAGAGACCGTCGCCGGAGGAAACGCCCTGTTGGAATATTGGACTGTTGGACTTGAGGATTTTTCGAATTTTATGACTGTCTGATTATAGGTCTGACAACAGAAATTTCTATGATTTGATAAAATTGCACCTGGTGTTTCTGATATCACATTCTACCCATTTTCATCAGGTACCCTAGCCCAATGTTTTTTTTTATTTACACTCATTATCAATTAATATTACTTAGTAATTATAATCGATATGTAACCTGGGATTAGTATACTTTAGTCAATATATTATGTCCAGGGTGTAACGTATCAATTTCATTTCTAGGTCGCTACACCTGGCCTGCAATACACTTATGATTTTAATGTCCAATCCTTAACCAATTATTGTATTATTTATAACATTTATTTAAGTTTGCCAAGGTCAAGTACGGCTTTGCATTCTTGTGTTTCCGTTAAGCAATTAAAGGCGGGCTGGGAAATATATGATTAGCTAGTTTATATCTTTTGCACAACTGAAATGGCGACCGCTACTACAACGACATCTAGGAGTTGCATCACAAACTAAGGCAGATAATCAGAAAAACCTGTCTATAACAAGACCTGACGGACGGACAGATGCTCAGTATTTCTACATTCCCTGCAATGCGTCAATCAGGGACATATACAGTGCAAATCCCTTTTCTTAATAAGGTATCAATTTTAACACACTCTTTCAACATATTTTATTGTCCCAATACAACAACAAAAGGATCACTTATAAGTTTTTTTCATTTTGTCACCTTTTAAGACAATAAAATATGTTTAAACAATCATATAATTTTGCACATTTAAACATACCGTTGAGATTTCAAATTGAATAATTTGAGACCTTGACCTTTAGAATATAATCAAGTCTATGCTTGACACAGAATTCTAATTTTTTTTTTAAATTAAAGCAATGCTATTATTTGATAATTACTTGTAGTAGTAGTAGGTGGAGCCACTGTTGTAGTTGTGAAACTTGTTGTAGCAGGTACCTCACATACAACTCTAAGTGTTCTATTACATGGGAAGTTTCTATTCCATCTACCATTATCTCCTGTGAAAGTAGAAATCAAAATTCAATTGATATACAATATTTGTGGAATATTTATTTTCCTACTTTTTGTGGGAGGGGCTCAACTATAAAATTAAGTGAAAGTCAGCTAAGACTTGTCCCCCTGTCCTTTATTTTTATCGTTATTTGTCTGGCTTTTACAGATGATAGTTTGGTGGCTACTTTACATCCAGCAGTAAAAATACATCCTTTTAAAAAACAGAGGCAAAAGATGCCAAAGGGATATTCAAACTATAAGAAGAGAATAAACTGGCAACACCATGGCAAAAAAGAAAAGGACCAAAAGGCAAACAACAGTACTGTCAATTCAGAAATTATTGCGTGCATTTATTATTGCGAGTTTGCCATTTGAGACTAAAATGCGATTTAAATTTTTGCGATATTGAGAACAATCCTGTTTAATTCATATAAAAATATCAAAATGCGAGTTTAAATTATTGCGATTATAACGCTGTCGCATTTTTTCGCAATAATAAAAACATCGCAATAATTTCTGAATTTACAGTATACAAAATATAGAAAACTAAAGACTTATTAACACAAAACCAACCAAAAACCGGGGAAGATCTCAGGTGGTCTTGAAGGGTAAGCAGATCCTGCTCCACATGTGGCACACGTCGTGAAAGGCAATAATTAGATATGAAAATACCCTGCATGGTACTAGACCAACATACTAAGTCAGATTTTTAACTAGTGAGGAACTTGCTACCACACAAGCTAACAATCCGTGGGAAGACATATCATTCTATCTACAAACCAACAGGGTACTCCTCCTACTCCTAAAATCTGTGTACTTGTAGGAGGAGAAGAAAATTAAAATTTTTTTCGTTTGTTTGTTTGTTTGTTTGACCTAGCCATCAATCAAACTTACAACTCCAACACTCAAGGCCAGCACACTATCACAAGATCATTGAGGCAATTATTATACTTTTGTTTTCAGCAACAATCTTCTTTTTCTTGTGCTATAAATCATGATGGAAAAATGGGTAAAAATTTTACAAAAAATTGCTTTGCAGAAATGTCTGAGTCTTCCTAAGAAGCTGATTATTACAGAGTTCTTGAAAAGTGGTGTTCTGTAGGACCTGCACATTTTCTTAAAGGACCACAAGGGTAAAAAAAAAATTTTGAGAACTCTTGATTACATGCCATTCCAAATGATATAAGCAGAGATTGTCCATGTTTTGGTATAGAAAACAAAAACAATAAAATGCTTCGCTGAGCGCAGCAAGATACGACGGCAGAGGTCTAACCCTGAACAGTTTGGGCAAGTTTGGACACAATATTCAAGCTTGATACTGTCTGAATTTGGATTGTGATCAAATTTTTGACATAATATAGGTTTCTGACACAAAACAAATGTGGTCAAAGATCTTAAAAATTTGAAATGGGACATTTAATTTATCTAGAATGGTCTGATATCCAAAATCTAACACAAAGGTTATATTCAGCACATAAAAAACACCAAAAATTTTATTTTCGTTGAAATCAAAACACAGTTTAATTTTGACCCTTCAAACCTTAATATGGACTTATGTGAAAACAGGGCCCAAAATAAAAAATCTAAATGCACAATAAGATTCAGCATATCATACAGTCGAAATAATTCAGTTTTTGAAATTGATAAAAAGATTTGTATTTATTTTCAATTGAAGATTTCTTGCTATTGCACAATAGTGTGCAATTTAAGATTTCTTGCTTTTGTGTAATACTGTGTTATTGTGCAATACTGTGCAATTGAAGATTTCTTGCTATTGCGCTATACTGTGCTAATGCGCAATACTTTGTTGTTGCCCAATACTATGCTTTTACGCAATACTGTGCAATTGAAGATTTCTTGCTATTGCGCAATACTGTGCAATTGGAGATTGCTTGCTATTCCGCAATACTGTGCAATTGAAGATCTCTTGCTATTGCGCAATACTGTGCAATTGAAGATTTCTTGCTATTGCCCAATACAGTGCAATTGAAGATTTCTTGCTATTGCGCAATACAGTGCAATTGAAGATTTCTTGCTATTGCGCAATACTGTGCAATTGAAGATTTCTTGCTATTGCCCAATACAGTGCAATTGAAGATTTCTTGCTTTTGCGCAATACTGTGCTATTGCTCAATACTTTGTAATTGAAGATTTCTTGCTATTGCACAATACTGTGCAATTGAAGATTTTTTGCTATTGCGCAATACTGTGCAATTGGAGATTGCTGGCTATTCCGCAATACTGTGCAATTGAAGATATCTTGCTATTGCGCAATACTGTGCAATTGAAGATTTCTTGCTATTGCCCAATATAGTGCAATTGAAGATTTCTTGCTATTGCGCAATACAGTGCAATTGAAGATTTCTTGCTATTGCGCAATACTGTGCAATTGAAGATTTCTTGCTATTGCCCAATACAGTGCAATTGAAGATTTCTTGCTTTTGCGCAATACTGTGCTATTGCTCAATACTGTGCTATTGTGCAATAATGTGCTATTGTGCAATACTGTGCTATTGCGCATTACTGTGCTATTAAAGATTTCTTACTATTGCGCAATACTGTGCTATTGCGCAATACTGTGCAATTGAAGATTTCTTGCTATTGCCCAATACAGTGCAATTGAAGATTTCTTGCTATTGCGCAATACAGTGCAATTGAAGATTTCTTGCTATTGCGCAATACTGTGCAATTGAAGATTTCTTGCTATTGCCCAATACAGTGCAATTGAAGATTTCTTGCTTTTGCGCAATACTGTGCTATTGCTCAATACTTTGTAATTGAAGATTTCTTGCTATTGCACAATACTGTGCAATTGGAGATTTCTTGCTATTGCGCAATACTGTGCAATTGGAGATTGCTTGCTATTCCGCAATACTGTGCAATTGAAGATATCTTGCTATTGCGCAATACTGTGCAATTGAAGATTTATTGCTATTGCCCAATATAGTGCAATTCAGGATTTCTTGCTATTGCGCAATACAGTGCAATTGAAGATTTCTTGCTATTGCGCAATACTGTGCAATTGAAGATTTCTTGCTATTGCCCAATACAGTGCAATTGAAGATTTCTTGCTTTTGCGCAATACTGTGCTATTGCTCAATACTGTGCTATTGTGCAATAATGTGCTATTGTGCAATACTGTGCTATTGCGCATTACTGTGCTATTAAAGATTTCTTACTATTGCGCAATACTGTGCTATTGCGCAATACTGTGTAATTGAAGATTTCTTGCTATTGCACAATACTGTGCAATTGAAGATTTCATGCTATTGCGCAATACTGTGCAATTGAAGATTTCTTGCTATTGCCCAATACAGTGCAACTGAAGATTTCCTACTATTGCGCAATACTGTGCAATTGAAGATTTCTTGCTATTGCCCATTACTGTGGTATTGAACAATATTGTGCTATTGGGCAATACTGTGCAATTGAAGATTTCTTGCTAATACGCAATACTGTGCAATTATTTGAAATTTCTAAAATTTTGAAGAAAAAAAAATATAAACCCCAAAAAAAATTGGAAAAAAAATCCCCCTCCCCTTTGAGTAATTACTCCCAAATTAATCCCAGCCTTACCTTTGTGGTATGGAACCTTGTAGGACAATTTTTGAGAGATCCATACACTTAAACAAGTTATTGTCTGGAAACTAGAAAAATGCTTGTTTTTTGCCCCTTTTTTGCCCCTAATTCCTGAACCTTCGGGGCAATTACCTCCAAACTCAATCCCAGTCTTTCCTTTGTGATATGGAACCTTGTGGTACAATTTCTGAGAGATCTATACACTAACACACAAGTTATTGTCCAGAAACTATAAAAATGCTTGTTTTTGGCCCCTTTTTGGCCCACTAATTCCTAAACTGCTGGTACCATAACACCCAAAATCAATCCCAACCTTCATTCCTGTTGTGGTATTGAACCTTCTGGTAAAATTTCTTAGTGATCCATTCATTTAAACTAAAGTTATTGTCTGGAAACCAAATGTGTCTTGGGACGACACTGATGACGACGACACCATACCATTATATGACGTAAAATTTTTGCGGTTGTATAAAAATCAATCCCAACCTTCCTTGTATGGTATAGAACCTTGTGGTACAATTTCATAGAAATCCATACACCTATTCTCAAGTTTGTCTGGAAACCAAATGCCTTCAGACCACAACAATAACGCTGACAACATCATAATGTACGACCTCAACAATTTTGCAATCGTATACAAATTCTTCTCAGAACAGATATTATAATAAGTGTACAACTGCAAGTCCCGTAGAAAAATGAGGTGACATTTACATATTATACCCACTCCTTTATACTCTCTCAAATCCAAATTTCTAATTATGTACAAAATTTACATTCCTTTTCATTTTTCTTCTTCATCACAAATAATTTTACAGGTGTGTGGAATACACTGTAAATGAACCAGAAATGGAAAAAACTCAGTGTAATCTAACGTCCACAGAAAATTCTCAAATTATTTAGCATGGATAAAGTGAACAACAATATTTAAAATCAACCCAGATGCATCATTGTTAATTATATTTATTGTTGACACAACTTAACCGTGACATTATAGTGACATCATAAGAAAGATTTTTTTACCTATGCAGCATAAGCAGCCTATTTTTTTGAATATTTTGGCTAAATCAACATATAGCATACAGGTTGCCCAAATAATTGTTTGCTAGTAAATTAATACAAAACTAGTGTGCGAATATAATTTTGGGTCATGATTGTCCTCATATTATTTCTAAGCATGTGCAAATTTAAAAAATTCTTTTTTATTATTTTGCCATTTTAATTAACTTGTGTGATTCTATGTCTCCATTTCCCAGGTAATGAATCAATTGTAAACAAACTTTAATGTTTTAGTAGGTACATATCCAACAATTGATTCTGCTTATCAGAGACAGTTTGAAACACATTTGATATATTAGAGTCAATTTAACTCCAAACCTTACCTACTTCATGCATATTCTGAACAGTGAGAACAAATTGAACATGATATCTATTACTTAAGGTTCTTGTAATTGTATTATCTAGTTGGAATACATCAACCAATTAGATTCAGGTTTAATGCCTTGTTCATAACATCACTACTATATCTTACCAACATTCATGTAAGCACAATCATACAAGGTTTCATTGCTATTTGGAGAGATGTATGTCCAGTATTTCAACGATGGAACTTCGCCTGTGCTAGGCCAGTACCAGTTATTAGTACTCTGTTCTAAAAGGACAAATAGACTGTTAAAGTATTTTCACTCTGTGATAAAATTCTTAAATAATTTCATGGTTGTAGTAAAACAAAAACGCAAAATACCGAACATTTCAGCAAGTGTTACATTAATTTGTAATAAATAGAATGGAAATTTTAATGTGTAGGTTCACAAAGGGTTAATAATCTTCCTGGAAATCAATGAACTTTGAATTGAAACAACCATTTCTACAGAGAAACAAACAAGAATGTACATGTTGTTGTGCTAAGCATAACTAGATATCATTGAGATGGGAGCCATCTCTGTGGGCCCTGCTGACCTTGAACTTTGACCTAGGAAATGTACAAACATTATTACACACCCTCTGGTGTTGGTTAATATACATGTCAATTATAAGGTATGAAATTATAAGGTTTCTCTAGATAGAGTGGACACAATTTGTTACAGACGGAGGGACGGACTGATCACTATAGGGCGACACGCCACTAGTCGGGTCCCTAATTATTATTATTACTGAATTGTAAAAAGTATCAGTTTGAACTTAGTACAATGTTATTTTTAATTCCATCCCAATATATTAATAGACTTATAACAAGAAAATTTTTTGTAAGAACTTACTTTTTAATCCTATCCATATTTCACCAATATCTCCTCTCTTCTTCAACAAACTGACCAGATATGATGATTTACTAGCACTGTGGATAGAATTTTTTTTTTAGGAATTAGAGATCAGGCAGAAATTGACAATTTTTAAGGCTGTCCCATAATTCAATGTATATGCAAATGTACAGGTGGATCATACAGCATTTAATAAACTGCTTCGCCGAGCCCAGCTGGATAAGACTGCAGAGGTCCTACCCTCAACAGTTGGGGCAAAAATGGATACAATATTCAAGCTTGATACAGGTCTGAATTTGGATTGTAATTAATATTTGACACATTATAGGTTTCTGACACAAAAAAAATGTAGTCAAAGAACTTGAAATTGGTTGTATGATTTGAATTTATATTCAATTGAAGATTTCTTGCTGTTGTGCAATACACTGTGCTGTTGCGCAATACTTAGTAAATCTGTTTTCAGACTATATACCAAAAATCAGCAAAATAAATTGGGAACACGCAATCTTTTTCTTTAGAAAATTGACAATTTTTTAAATCTTGAGGAAAAAAAATTGACACCCCCTCTCCCCCCCCCAAAAAAAATTTTTTTTTTACTCCCTCCAAAAAAAATTAAAAAAATTTTAAAAGTAAACACAGATGATGCCCCCGCTTGCATATCATATAGTTATAAAGGGACATAACTGAAGAACGGTAAAAGTGACGCTACCCAAATTTGAACTTGATCTGAGTTTTGTGGTAATAAGCATTGTGTGTAAGTCTCATAACATTTGGTTGAGGCTAACTTAAATAGAGAACAGAAACTAAATTCAGCAATTTTTCTATTTGTAAACACGCATAACTCTAGAACGGTTGTGTATAAGTTTTATAACATTTGGTTGAGACAAACTAAAAAATTCAGCAATTTTTATGTTTATAAAGGGACATAACTCAAGAATGGTAAAAGTGTCGCCACCAAACGGAAACAAAAAAATTTGTACTTGATCTTAGTTTTGTGGTAATGAATATTGTGTATAGGTTTCATAATGTTTGGTTGGGACAAACTTAAGTTACAGAATGGAAACTAAAGATTTTGCAATCTTTCGACTTATAAAGGGGCATAACTCAATAATGGTTAAAGTGACACTACCCATATTCAACTTGATCTGTGTTTTAACAGTGGAAGTCAAAATTAAACATTGCATTGTATAAAGCATTGATTGTAGTTGATTCAACTATCATCATGGACAAAGGAAGATAACTCCAATTTTAAAAATTACTTGATATTTAGAAGAAAATAAAAATTTTGCAATTTTTCCATTTGTAAAGGGGCATAACTCTAGAACGGTTAAAGTGATGCCACCAAAAATCAAAATTGATCTGTGTTTTGTGATAATAAGCATTGTGTATAAGTTTCATAATATTTGGTTGAGGCAAACTTAAGTTAGAGAACGGAAACCAATTTTGGGACGTACGTACGTACAGGCGGACAAGGGTAAAACTTAATGCCCCAACCGCTACAGAGGAAAACTGATTTGCCGGACTGACAGATGGACAGACAGACAGACGGAGTGCAAACCTATAGTCCCCTTCAACTTCGTCGGTAGGGGACTGATAATCTGCAATACTTAGAAGCTTAGAATACATAATTGAACATGGTTGATTTAAACATACCATTGATTTTTAAGAGTTATGCCCTTTTAACACATGTCTGCTGCCTTTTAAAAATACAATGATGAACTTTCAAGGTCACAAACATTTCTAGGATGAAAATGAAAATGTGTCTGTCACGGTTTATAAACTAGAGGCTCTAAAGAGCCTGTGTCGCTCACCTAGGTCTATGAAGTCTTCAACAATGGAATCCCTCCAACATTGTGGACTAGAATAGAATTCCTGACAAAAGTCATTTTTTTTTTGTTGATCTTGTATTGCTGATAATTTTTTCTGTTGACAGTTTCTCTCTATTTTCTTTCCAGAATTATTATTTGGAAATTACTTTTGATCAGTATCGTCACCAGCATTGTTTTATTATTGACTTTCTTGACTCTATCATTAGAAGAGTGAATTTTCTTTTTGTTTTCGTTCACTGGATATCCCACTGTTTAATTTTTGCCCAAAACACAAACTAGAGGCTCTCAAGAGCCTGTGTCGCTCACCTGTATTTACTGATGCTTTGGAAATCATGTAAAATAGGGTTAAAATCATAATTAATAGTATTAGATATTAGATATTATAATGATATCTAAGATAAAAACAAAAAACTGCAAAAATTTTGTAAAATTACTAACTCAGGGGCAGCAACCCAACAACGGGTTGTCAGATTCGTCTGAAACTTTCAGGGCAGATAAATCTAAATCTGATGAACATTTTTGCCACCTGTCAGATTTGCTCTAAATGCTTTAGTTTCAGAGATATAAACCAAAAACTGCATTTTACCCCTATGGTCTATTTTTAACAAAGTCGGCCATGATGGTTGGAAGGTGGGGTCATCGGACATATTTTTTAAACTAGATACCCTAATAATGATTATGGCCAAGTATGGTTAAATTTGTCTCAGTAGTTTCAGAGAAGAAGATTTTTGTAAAAGATTACAAAAATTTACGAAAAAATTTTAAAAATTGACTATTAAGGGCAATAACTCTCAAAGGGGTCGACTGACAATTTTGGTCATGCGACTTATTTGTAGATCTTACTTTGCTGAACATTATTGCTGTTTACAGTTTATCTCTATCTATAATAATATTCAAGATAATAACCAAAAACTGCAAAATTTCCTTAAAATTACCAATTCAGGGGCAGCAACCCAACAACAGGTTGTCAGATTTGTCTGAAAATTTCAGGGCAGATAGATCTTGACCTGATAATCGGTTTAATCTATGTCAGATTTACTCTAAATGCTTTGGTTTCAGAGATATAAGCCAAAATCTACATTTTACCCCTATGTTCTATTTTTAGTCATGGCGGCCATCTTGGTTGGTTGGCGGGGTCATCGGACACATTTTTTAAACTAGATACCCTAATGATGATTGTGGCTAAGTTTGGTTAAATTTGGCCCAGTGGTTTCAGAGGAGAAGATTTTTGTAAAAAGCTAACGACGACGACGACGACGCCGACGGACAACGGACGACAAGTGATGAGAAAAGCTCACTTGGCCCTTCGGGCCAGGTGAGCTAAAAACGGTAACAAAAATATCACTTAAGGCAATCACTTCTATAAAGAGTAAACCAACAATTTTGGAAAAATTTTACTTATTTGTAGAAATTGTCTTGCTGATCACTTTTGCTTATTTAAGTTTCTATTTATAATAGTTTTTCAGATATTGGGCAAAAAGGCAAAAAAGTCATAATCATTAAAGGGCAATATTTCCAATAATGAGTTGTCTGATGATTTCAACCATGCGGAATTATTTGTAGATCTTGTTTCTCCCTATCTACTAAAGTTTTTCAGATATTAGGCAAACATGAAAAAATTGGTAAAATTTGTCATTTAAGGGCACTTACTCATATAAGATGTCGTCTGACAGTTTTGAAGTAAGTAGACAATATGTAGATCTCATCATTCTGAACATTTTTGCCCTTGTCAGATTTCCTCTATTCATAGCGTTTTTCAAGTTAATAGACAAAACTTGCATTTTACCCCTATGTTCTGTTTTTAGCTATTTCGGCTATGTTGGTTAGCAAGCAGGATCATTGGTCACATTTTTTAAACTAGATACCCTAATGATGATTGTGGCCAAACTTGGTTAAATTTGACCCAGTAGTTTCAGAAGAGAAGATTTTTGTAAAAGTTAACGATGACAGACGACGGACCAAAAGTGATGAGAAAAGCTCACTTGGCCTTTTGTGAGCTAAAAACACTACAGCTCTTGTTAATTTTGATTTTCAACCAATCAACATTGGAACACAGAAATGGCCAATTTCAAGATTGTTTACCCTGCCTATGGAGTGGGCATGTTGTTTCTTTGTTATATCAGGCCTCAGTGGCTGTATGGTTTAGTAGTTCAACTACTGTATCACTAGCTTGTCAACACTTAGGTTCTGAGTTTTAAATTTGCACAAGGCAGGTACTTTATAGACTCCAATCTTTTTCGCCTAGGATTGTTCCTGCCAAAGGTTGGCGGTTTCCTTCAGGCACTCTGGCTTCCTCCAATAAAAACTTACTGCCACAAAATAGCCAATTGTGCTGAATGGCTTTAACACCAAAAATCTATTGATCTATCATTGTTTTATCAAAAGATTTACAAGTAGAATGTACTGTTAAAGGGAGATAAGTTACTATAATCAATGTTTCTAAAAAAAATGAAAGATACATCTTGAATGGACATGAATAAGTTGCACAAAAGGAATTGGTTAAAAAGCAATGTTAACTTGGGAAAGAGTGCATAAACTTACCTAGTTATGTCCACCACTGACATTTTCATGGCTTTACAAAGTGTTTCAGCACCAGTTCTGTTCTGTTCTGTGTACGACAGATAGTAACACATTGACTGATGCTGTTGATATCCAGGTTTACATACTCCTGTAAAGATACTCTTTATTATACTTTATCAATAGTTGAATTTGAACAAGGTGAACCAACACCTGAAGTGGTAATCGTGCGGTAACTCCTACCATGCGGTAATTGATGGGTGTTGTTGTCTTTATTGTCGTTTATTAATAGTTATAAGCTTAGTTTGTTCTACTGATTCCAACATTTTCTATAAATAAATGTTTGTATCAGTAAAATAAACCCGGTTTAACAGTTTGTACGCCAGACCTGCATGTAGTCTACAAAAGACTCATCAGTGAGGCTCAAATAAAACTAGAGGCTCTCAAGAGCCTGTGTCGCTCACCTGACTCTACTTTGGTTTTAGAAATCATGTAAAGATAGATAAAAAATCATAACACATACCCAAATAATGATTGAGGCCAAATTTGGTTTAATATTGGTCCCGTTATTTAATAAAATATCCTGGTGGCCCTCTTGAACAGTAAATCGGCAACAAAGTAGCAACACTTGGTCAGCACCTCATAAGGAACATTCATGCCAAGTTTGGTTTCATTCCATTCAGTGGTTTACTCTAAAAGAAGACATTTGTATGTATTTCCCATAGGGCCCTATGTTAAACTAAGTCCCCCCCTGGCGGCCATCTAGGATGATGGACTGACTGCAAAGTAACAACACTTGGTCAGCACCTCATAAGGAACATTCATGCCATGTTGGGTTTCATTCAATTCAGTGGTTCTCAAAAAGAAGACATTTGTATGTATTTCCCGTAAGGTCCTATGTTAAACTAAGTCCACGGCTAGCGGCCATCTTGGATGATGGATCGGCTGCAAAGAAACAACAATTGGTCAACACCTCATAAGGAACATTCATGCCATGTTTGGTTTCATTCCATTCAGTGGTTCTCTAAAAGAAGACATTTGTATGTATTTCCCATAGGGTCCTATGTGAAACTAAGTCCCCCGCTGGCGGCCATCTTGGATGATGGATTGACTACAAAGTAGCAACACTTGGTCAGCACCTCATAAGGAACATTCATGCCAAGTTTGGTTTCATTCCATTCAGTGGTTAACTCTAAAAAAAGACATTTGTATGTATTTCCCATAGGGTCCTATGTTAAACTAAGTCCCCCCCCTGGCGGCCATCTTGGATGATGGACTGACTGCAAAGTAACAACACTTGGTCAGAACCTCATAAGGAACATTCATGCCATGTTTTGTTTCATTCCATTCACTAGTTCTCTAAAAGAAGACATTTGTATGTATTTCCCATAGGGTCCTATGTTAAAATAAGTCCCCTGCTGTCGGCCATCTTGGATGATGGACCGACTGCAAAGTAACAACACTTGGTTAGCACCTCATAAGGAACATTCATGCCAAGTTTGGTTTCATTCCATTCAGTGGTTTACTCTAAAAGAAGACATTTGTATGTATTTCCCATAGGGCCCTATGTTAAACTAAGTCCCCCCCTGGCAGCCATCTTGGATGATGGACTGACTGCAAAGTAACAACACTTGGTCAGAACCTCATAAGGAACATTCATGCCATGTTTTGTTTCATTCCATTCAACTGGTTCTCTAAAAGAAGACATTTGGCCCTTTGTGCCAGGTGAGCTAAAAATTTAAAATAGGACAAATAAAGTATGAAGTTAAGCACATTGAGAACTAAACAATTCTGAAAAGTTGTGCCAAATACAGCTAAGGTTGTCTATTCCTGGGTAAAAAATCCCTTAGGGAGGAAACCTCCAACAGCAGTGGCATTGACACAGTGGTAAGAGACTTTTAAAGCCAACTATTGTTATTGTTTGATATTTTGGGCTGCTTGTTGAAGGTTGTACAGTGATGTATAGTCGCTTACATCCACTTTATTTGGTCTCTGGTGGAGAGTTGTCGCATTGGCAATCATACCACATCTCCTTATTTTCATATAGATCAAATATTACACTTTTCATAAATTATATTACGTATCCTGTCAATTTTCCTGATATACTTTATAATAAATCTGATTTCTGAAATAGTGATTGCATTGGGCCACAAGAAATAAAACAATAACTAGTCAGTGATGCCCTAAGGTGTTTGGGGACAATCACTACACTAAAGGAATACCATTTTTGCAAGTCCCCTAGACAAATGAAAAGAAATTGTGTATTTTACCCCCAATTATTTTATTCAATGTCAAAATAAGTATTTTTCCAAACAAAATTTGTGAGTAGATGATTTCTTGGTCCTGTTTACAGGTGAGTAATTTTTAATTGATGAATATGATTTCTATCCCATTTGTAAACCAAACATCTCCATGAAAAAAATGAAGCTCTTGTAAACTAGTAACCTTAACAGGTGTATAAATACTTGGAGTTTAAATGTTCAGACATACCTTCAGGCTTTTGACAGATGTATGGTTTAGGAGTTGTACAGCTATCAGGATACAGGCCTTTTGCTGCATCCTTAACTGTACTGTTTATAGTCAAACAAGCAGGGTCAAAATTACTGAAATAAAACATTAAACAACTGAATTAGTTGTTGTTCATAGTAAATATACAATTACGTCATAGCTGGCAGGTTTAAGTTGTAGAACCACTTAATGAAACCCAGTTAGGAAGAAAATACCAGAGTGTAGTACATATTCAAAAGTAAAATTGTATAACCTAATCATAGGTGTAACATTCAAAATATGAAGATTATATTGCTTATTTTGGTATCAAATGAATCATTGTAGAAGAGATTGAAACAATACCAACGGAATATTCAAACTCTTAAGTCAATGATAAACTGAAAACTCAATGGTAGATGCTTTATGACTGGTTGTAATTTAATTGTAGGACATATTTAACCTGTTTCTCAGACACTGATCAGAAGTTCCTGTTTTTGGTACATACTAAGTTCCAAGAACTAGTATGCTCTTCAATGCAATTAAAGGTTTCTGGATTTATTTTAGCACAAGCCACAATAAGGTGTTGTTTTGACATGAAAATACTGTCATTTTATTTGAACTTAAGCAAAAATAGCTCTTGCTTTAAACTGAAGTATATAGTATAAAAAGCAATGGAGTCATTAATTAGTGGCTAGCCATATCCAATGTTGCAGGGTAGATCATTCTAATTTTTGGCTGTGATTTCCCAAACAAATACATTGAATAAGACATTGGAGCATTTTGAAGTTACTCTTTTTGTCATAATAATGGAGGAACTGCTAAGTTACATCTCTTTTTATTCATATGGGTCATACTGCCCTTAAGAATTCCAAGATGAATTATATAAGACGGAAAATGGTGTATTTATCAATGACACAAACTCCATAAACTTGTAAGGTCTTTAGATGAACCACAAACTATGTTGGGAAGATGTGCAATAATTGAGGCAATTATACCTACTCTGTTGTTTTACTTGGCTGTATATAACTATCAATTCCAATAGCTTCAGAAGAATTTGTATAAAAGTATGTCTGAAAAAAAAATTCAGTTCTGATTTAGAGATATTTAAACAGACAAAAAAAATTTAAATGTCAATATGTATTTTTTTTCGCCAAATCTTACATATTATATTTTCTGCTATTACATACACATACCACTTTTTTTTAAAGGGGCACCATCTAATTATCTATCAAGATGACCTCTGAAGACTGATGGTCATATAACCCGAAATTAACATGAATATAAATTTAGATAGACAGACAAGCACGTGCAATTGTATAATGATGAATGGTCTATGTTTTATCTCAAGTAAAAGATTTGAAATATATGTAAATCATCATTTCACTGTTATAAGATTTTTTTCATGCCTGGATCAGTTAAGGAAATGGTTATTCCTATTATTATTTATAATAAAGTTGAATTATTGACTTGCAAACAAATAATATATCAGATGTTTTTAAGCTTATTTTGACAAAATTGAACCAAAGTAACTGTTAATAGTGAAATATTATTCTAATAAATGTTTGGAACCCCAAAAAAATTATATTTGAATGAATTGTCTTATTTGTAGCTAATGCCCCTTAAAGTCAACTGACTATGAAACTGCAATCAGGGGAATGCAAACTCCTTTAAATGAATTTGTTTACATCTTTACTCCCATCATATTCTGTATGTGTCTGTCCCAATTCAGGGTACTGAAAATTCAGTGGCAGTTGTTTGTCATGTTTATTTGTTCATAAATTAGGCAGTTGGCTTTCTCATTAGAATCGTTTTACATTTTGTCATTTCTGGGCTATTTAAAGCTTGCTATGTGATATGTGTTTTGCCTGATTGTTGTATCTGTACATGAAAATTATACCTAATTTATGAAACACCAATTGAACAGTCATACAATGTATACATTCTTTCCCCCTGGTAAACATCAAATTTTGAAATACCATCTTGTTTCTTGTAATGCAAGGGTTAACCAGTATAATTTCAGAGCGCTAAAAAATTTTTACTGTTTATTACCTTGTATTTCCTTATAATTCCAACCCAGGAATCGTACTGTTGGAAGCTAGCTATTGTAGAAACTGCATGTAGGGGACCAGTATCTGCAACAGCTGCCAGGTTAGAGTCTAAATCTTTACAGTCTGATCTGTAAAATAAAACATACAAGGTAAAGCTAAAACACAATAAAAATAACTGCATTCCAATGTCCCCTGCCGAAGCACATATTTTATCTGTCCAAGGGCAACAATTCAAACAAAAATGCAAGCATTGTTGTGCTATTCATTCTCCCACTTATAATACAAAGTATCAGAAAACAGGAAGCAGATGCCACCCACACATGAAAAGAGCTCACACATTACAACTAATCACTGCTAAGAAGTTGACCAAATTTGAAGTCTTTCTTTTGCAGTACTGGAGAAATGATTGACAAAATTTGTTTAGTTCATTCAACATATTGAATAAGCAGCTGCATCTAGAGTGCATGATATGTGACTCTATTATTTTCATGGGTAACAATTTACATGGATCAATGAACAACTGTATTTTGGTGAATACTTGATTTCATGGTTTGGTCAAAGTCTACATACAGCCCTATAGATAATTTGTATTTTGTTGAATATTTGATTTCATGGTTAGGCCAAAGGGTGCATTATACAACCCTAAAGATAATTTGTATTTTGTTGAACACTTGATTTCATGGTTAAGCCAAAGTCTACATACAACCCTATAGATAATTTGTATTTTGTTGGAACACTTGATTTCATGGTTATGCCCAAGTCTGTCTACAACCCTATAGATAATTTGTATTTTGTTGAACACTTGATTTCATGGTTTGACCAAAGTATTGAATACATTTCAACCAATTTTTTGTTTTATTTCACTTGGCTTAGGGAGATATGAAGATTTGTTCACTCAAGAAAATTTATATATCCTGAGGGCATCGCCTGAGGAAAATATGACTTTTCCAGGGTGAATAAATCTTCGTATCTCCCTAAGACAAGGGAAATGAATATTTTATTCCACTGCCTATACTTTTATTAGTTCCAGAACATAAACTATGGATTTAAATACATTTTTTCTTATCCGATTGTTTTTACAAGTTTACACGACAAACATTGATAAACAGTATCGATCAAAATTAGTTATTAATGATCTTAATGTTTTTAACACTATAATGACTATACTACATGTATCGCTATTTAAAAACATTCAAAACCTTATGAACATTAATCATGCATAATGTCACATGAGGAAGTCCAGATGTTGAGAGGGAATACGAAGTTTTGTTCAATGTCGCATGGAATAGTCTCAACCAATCAAATATTGATTATGCTACAGTGGAATAATATCTTTTATCATTGACTTTTAAATGCTTACGCTGACTGATTCCACGTCTTGAATTTTTGGACAAATTTATAACATGATCCCTGGTGGTACTCCCATCCATTATCTGCATCACAAGTCAATGGATTTGTCTCTGGAAAAAAATAATAAGATTAACAAATATTATATATTTTACCGGCAAACTGTGTATGTTAATCTCATCATGTAGTTTTCATTGGAAATAAATGGGAAAAGATGCATGTAAAGAGAAATCCAGAAAATAATTGATTTAAAAAATTGACAGATCAATATTTCAAAATTATTGGTTTAAAGTATTATAGTCTGAAGCAATCTATCTTCACTAATGGAAAGTAGAACATGCACAGCCTTACATTCCATACTTTTCAGTATAGATGTTTAAAAGATATAGTCAATATAAATATTCATACTTCAAATTTAACATGAATATATCTTATACTTCAATGGCCATGTTTTACTATATAAAACATGTGTACATACTCTTTTTATATTAAATCTTTTTATATTATCCAAATCTTCAGAAATGTATTGCTATTGAATTATTGTCATCCAGTACTCTTAATTCACCAACAGCTTTTTTGTATGCAGTGACCTAACCATGACCCCTCATTAAAGAATCAGCTATTGCACAGCGCAAATTTGAAGGGAAAAACCTTGATGGAGGGAAGAGCAAACAAATGTGGATGGAAGATAGTATTAATTGATTATAAAAGAAAAATTTAATACACTAAATCATTCAACAACAAAGTAATGACTAACAAATGGAAACGTCCACAGAAGATATAGTTTAATATACAGGGTTTGACACTAACCCTAACCCACTAGCCTGAGGCTAGTAAAAATTTGGGATTCATCTCAGAAGACCGACGGGGCTAGTCAAAATTTTGTTTAAAACCAGGAATTTCACAAAATTTTACTTGTCAACATATCCCGATTTCAATTAAAACCCATTCGTTTCTACTCGGACGATATCTTGTACTCCCATCTTCAATGAACATGCAAATCCTTGGGGTTTATCCATTCCCATTTATTTACATTGTCTTGCATGGTTGAGCAAGGGGAACATCGTATGACCAAGTTTCTTCAAGTTGAAAATCAAAAATTGTATGCAAATTATTCTATAAATGCAAATGCTTGACTGTACCTTAAATTGAATATGAATATAAACGAGCATTCTGAGAGTATTGCATGGCAATACTTAGTCCCCTACCAGTTAAAAATTCATTGTATAGGAACAAAATGCTAACTTGATCTATAACATGTCATGGTGTAACTAAAGATCAAATATCAAGTCAATATGTTCAAGCATGACGAAAAAAAGTGTTGAAAACTGATTATTTAAGTGAATTTTCTAAGTCCAAGGACCATAACTCTGCACATAATCATCAGACCAGAACAAAATTCGAAATTGATCTGTAACTTGTCATGATAAAACTATATACCAATTATCAAATCAATATCTTCAAGGATGACAAAAAAAAAATGTGAAAAACTGATTATTTGAGCTAATTTTCTAAGTCCAAGGACCACAACTCTGCACAAAATCATTAGACCGGACCAAATTTGAAATTGATCTGTAATTTGCCATGATAAAAATATATATCCATTATCAAATCATTATCTTCAAGCATGACAAAAAAAAGTGTGGAAAACTGATTATTTGAGTAAATTTTCTAAGTCCAAGGACCATAACTCTGCACAAAACTATCAGACTGGAACAAAATTCAAACTTGGATCTGTAACATGTCATGATAAAACAATACATTAAATATCAAATCAATATCTTCAAGCAGGAAGAAAAAAAGTGTGGAAAACTGATTTGCGGGACTGATGGATGGACAGACAGACAGGACAGACAGGCAGACAGGCAGACAGACAGACGGAGTGCAAACCTAAAGTCCCCTTTGACTTGGTCAGTAGGGGACTAAATATAGCACATTGACTTGAGTGTGTAGGTAAAGGCAGTTTCTTTGGTTAGCTTGCTTGCTCTGTAACGTGTCATGATAAAACAATACATTAAATATCAAATCAATATCTTCAAGCACGAAGAAAAAAAGTGTGGAAAACTGATTTGCGGGACTGATGGATGGACAGTCAGACAGGACAGACAGGACAGACAGGCAGACAGGCAGACAGGCAGACAGACAGACGGAGTGAAACCTAAAGTCCCCTTTGACTTGGTCAGTAGGGGACTAAATATAGCACATTGACTTGAGTGTGTAGGTAAAGGCAGTTTCTTTGGTTAGCTTGCTTGCTCTGTAACGTGTCATGATAAAACAATACATTAAATATCAAATCAATATCTTCAAGCATGAAGAAAAAAAGTGTGGAAAACTGATTTGCCGGACTGATGGATGGACAGACAGACAGAACAGACAGGACAGACAGGACAGACAGACGGAGTGCAAACCTAAAGTCACCTTTGACTTGGTCAGTAGGGGACTAAATATAGCACATTGACTTGAGTGTGTAGGTAAAGACAGTATCTTTGGTTAGCTTGCTTGCTAGCTGAACCATGAAATCATTATTAGCTAAGGTACAACTTTCTTTTGGGCGGAGTCAATATTTAAGTAGGGAACCAATCAAAAGTAAGAACAGTATATAAATATTGCGAAACCAGATTTACAAGTTAGTTCACTAATATGTTTTCATGTTGTATGTGTGTTTGATTTGTCAATTTCATTTCAATCCATTCCCTCTGTTCATTTATAACTAGATTGTTTACATGTGTAATTCTATAAAACATTATGATTTAATCGATTTAAAAAAACTTTTCATATCCTTAATTATTATATATAATAAGGATAACATTATCTTTGATTTTGATGTGTATTTTTTTGGGGGGGCAGGGGGGGAATGCTACAGAAGGTGTAAAAATAAATTTAGTTGGGTCAAATCTTTGAGATGTTCCTCTCACCATACTATTGTGTAACAAGAGGCTTTCAAGAGCCTGAATTGCTCACCTGTAATTTTTTGCTTAAATCTTTCATCAATGATTATTTTTGCTTTTCAATATATATATATTAATGAGTGGCTTAAAAATGCCTTTTAAATATTCTTTGTATCTGTCATATTTTCTTCAAAAACCAAAAAGGCATTTTACCTCTATGTCCAATTTTAGCCATAGTGGCTTTCTTGACGTACATTGAAATAAAATACAAAATTTATACTAGATACTCTGAAACTCATTCAGCCCAAGGTTGGCTGAAATTGATTCATCAAAGGAGAAAATTTTTTAAAGTAAGCAAACTAGATGAACAAATTGTGAAAAATTGTCTTTAAAGGACAATAACTCCTTAAGGGGTCAATTGACAATTTTAGTCATATAAAAACTTCAGGGCTCGACAATAACGCTTGTCCGATTGTCCGGTACCAGAGGAAAATAAGGTCGGACAAGTAAAAGCTATATTAAGCTTGTCCGATGGGACAAGTAAAATTATTCTGCATAAAATAAATTTAATTCAACTTTGATGAACAAAGTAATTATAAACAAAAAACAAGAAAAGAAGATAAAAACAAGTATTATTTTGACATGTTTACTTGCAATCGATAATTTAAAACTGGTTCTTTGTCTGGTACTTTTTAACAGGTAAAAGGCATACTATTATCGGAAACCAGTCTTACTGATCCGAATCAGCGATGCGCTTTGTAGATGGATAACTTTACAAGACAGTTCGTCAGTTGGAAACGATTCGGCTCCAAGTTTAATAGACAGTTTGGCACCGTAGGAGACATATTTAATAGACATGATAAATAGACAGTTTGGCAACCCAGGAGAAATTTCGGGACCAAGTTAAATCAGTAACTGTTTTCCTACCTTGATTCTGTTGCTTTATAATAAATACCAAACCAGTAATTTTTTAAATAAAAATGAAGAGATTATTTACCATAAATTTCACAAAATCATATTTGATCATATGTAGAAAAAAAACAATACTTGCAATACGGTGACCTATAGTTGTTAATTTCTGTGTCATTTGGTCTCTAGCAGAGAGTTGTCAGTCATTAGCAATCATACCTCATCTTCTTTTTTTTATTGATTGCATTTGAATAAACTTTTTTCAACTTAAAAAAACAGGATACAAATCCAATGAGTGTACATTGACAGGCCTATTAGACGGTGCATCATGTGCAGAGTCTGATGAGACTTTGGCATTGATGAAAACTAGAACCTTAAAGTCCTGTGACATGACTAGATCATCAGTTGTTCTTGACTCATATTTTTGAAAAGTATATCAAAAGATATAAAACTAACTTCTGTTATATTGTTTTAATTCATTTTGTTCCTTGAATCAACTTAAAATGCAAAAAAAGGTTATTATTAAGATTTTTTTTGGACAAGTTAAAATTTCATTCGGACAAGTAAATTTTGGTATGTACTTGTCCTACTGGACAAGTTGAAAAAAAAGTTATTGTAGAGGCCTGAACTTATTTGTAGATCTTACTTTGCTGAACATTTTTGCTGTTTACAGTTTTATCGTTATCTATGATAATATTCAAGATAACCAAAAACTGAAAAATTTCCTTAAAATCATAAATTCAGGGGCAATTAACCTAAAAATCAGATACCCGATATGGCTGATAATTTCAGGGCAGGTAGACCTTGACTTAATGAAAACTTTAACTTCTTGTCTGATTTGCTCTAAATGCTTTAGTTTTTGAGATATGTCAAAAACTGCATTTTACCCTATGTTCTATTTTTAGCCATGGCGCCCATGTTTTCTGGGGAAACAGAAAATAAAACACAAACTTTATTCTAGATAACCTAAGAATCATTCAGCTTAAGTTTGGTTTAATTTGGTTCAGTAGCTTCAGAGGAGAAGATGTTTGAAATAGTTTACACCAGACGGACAGACAACAACGGACGACGACAGATGAAGATGGACGACGACAGACGAAGAACGACGCCAAGTGATGGCAAAAGCTCACCTTTCCAAAGGAAATGGTATTGTACGTATTATTTTGATTAAAATGAAATTGACAAATCAAACACACCTACGGTATGCTTGTAAACTAGCTTATAATTGAAAACATATTTCCAAACTGGTTTCACAGAGAAGCTTCTTTCCAAGTTTCATAAAAATTCCATGAAAGTTTGGACAAAATTATTGATGTCTAAGATAAATTTAACCACAGACTGAACCTAAATTTTGACAAGCTGTTATGGAATATAAGATCACTATTCACTGGGACTCCAAGTGATGGCAAAAGCTCACACTGGAGCTAAAAACATACAAAACCTGATCTTTTTTCAACAAGTTGTTCATTTAATAGAGATATTTGCCACTAGACTTTAAACAAACACACAATCAATCAATCAATCAACAAATTAATTTGCATGTCACTTGCTAGCTATAGCTATTCTAAAAATTTTAATTTACTCATATATATGTAAGTTCAGAATATTTTGCATGCACTATAGTTATTTGGATTGTTGAATAACGGACACATTAATGCTATCCAAATTCATAATGCAAGTTGTTTTTTTTGCTGTTGCAATTTTCACAATTATAAAAACATTACAACAATTTTTAGAACTTTCAATATACGGTTGATTAATGGTTGTTTACTGCTTACCATCTCGTGGCAAATATCTCAGGCATAATCAAGACAAGAATGAGTTGACAATTTATACATAAGGTAGGTTCTGCAAGGTAGGCCAAACAGGATGAAGGACAGGAAATTTCAGACTGCCAATAGAAATACGGTATGTTTGATATGGGCAGAAAATTTGTCTTGCAACAGGCCAACTAAGAATCTTCTACAGAGATAATGTTATATGGGTTCAAGTCTAAATTTGAAAAGAGTAATACACAAATATTTATTGTTTAATAATATAACTTCAGCCTTCAGTATAATGCACTCAAATATGGACTGATATGACAAATATATTGACTGAAAAATTTCACATATTGATACAATTGCAGGCCTCTACAATAACTTTTTTTTCAACTTGTCCAGTAAGAAAAGTACATACCAAAATTTATTTGTCCGAATAAAATTGTAACTTGTCCAAAAAAAATCTTAATAATAACCTTTTTTTGCATTTTAAGTTGATTCAAGGAACAACATGAATTAAAACAATATAACAGTAGTTAGATTTATATCTTTTGATATACTTTTCAAAAATATGAGTCGAGAACAACTGAATCTAGTCATGTCACAGGACTTTAAGGTTCTAGTTTTTATCAATGCCAAAGTCTCATCAGACTCTGCACACGAGGCACCGTCTGATGGGCCTGTCAATGTACACTCATTGGATTTGTATCCTGTTTTTTTTAAGTTGAAAAAAGTTATTCAACTGCAATCAATAAAAAAAAGAAGATGAGGTATGATTGCCAATGAGACAACTCTCTGCTGCTAGATACCAAATGACACAGAAATTAACAACTATAGGTCACCATATTGCTAGTATTGTTTTTTTTCTACATATGATCAAATATGATTTTGTGAATTTTATGGTAAATAATTTCTTCATTTTTATTTAAAAAATATTTTTGTTAAAAAATTACTGGTTTGGTAATTATTATAAAGCAACAGAATAAAGGTAGGAAAACAGGTACTGGTTGGTCTTGGTCCCGAAATGTTGCCAAACTGTCTATTTATCATGTCTATTAAATATGTCTCCTACGGTGCCAAACTGTCTATTAAACTTTGAGCGAATCGAATCAATCGTTTCCAAGCTGGTGACGAACTGTCTTGTAAAGTTATCTATCTACAAAGCTGATTGGATCAGTAAGACTTGTTTCCGATAATAGTATGCCTTTTACCTGATAAAGAACCAGTTTTAAATTATCGATTGCAAGTAAACATGTCAAATTAATGCTTGTTTTTATCTTCTTTTCTTGTTTTTTGTTTATAATTACTTTGTTCATCAAAGTTGGATTAAATTTATTTTATGCAGAATAATTTTACTTGTCCCATCGGACAAGCTTGATATAGCTTTTACTTGTCCGACCTTTTTTTCCTCTGGTACCGGACAATCGGACAAGCGTTATTGTCGAGCCCTGAATTGTGAAATGTTGGCAGGCCCATTTTTTCCAGTTTATTTTTAGTCTATGAATCATAAACTTTATATGGAAAAGGTCAATACATGAACTGATTTTAATCATGACTAATAACACAAAGCCCTAACCTTAAATGCACTTAAGCTCTAAGTGTTGAAATATGAACCATACTTTCTATTTGAAGAGTCTCTTAACCATGCATAAACATGTATTGTTACTGTGACCTAGCTGCCTAAATTTTTTATTCTATTTTCCATATTCAAGACATATATATTTGTTTATACTGATTTGAGCTTTATATCCAGTAGCAAATATGTCATGCATGTTCCAGACAAGTTAACAATTATCAAATGGCTGATCCTAAAAAGTAGGTAAACATGGAAAAGTGAAATAATCTTTAATGGTCACATGAAACTCAAGGTGCATTGGATTATTGTTTTGCAAATGTAATGACCATTCAACACCAAATTATCAACACTTTAAATTACCCAACAAGGAACCAATCTGTCATATTTGGTGCATCTTAGATGGACGAACAGACAACAACATCAAATGATGACAATAGATGAATTTCTGTGGATTCATCATTATTCACGAGGTACAAATTTTCATGGTTTTCATGGGTATTGATGAACAAGAAATTAATGTGTTCAACAAAATACAAATTTCTTAGAGGCTTGTATGCAGACTTTGTCAAAACCATGAAATCAAGTAGCCAAAAAAACACACTTTTTCCTCAATACACAAAAATTGGTACCAACGAAAATAAATGAATCCACAGTACCTCAAATGAGACAAATGATCCCCCCTAAAAAATATATCGGTACTAAATATCTTTTTTGTTTTTGGTAGGATTACTTCTTCCATTGTTAAACTAAGGAAATGTGGAATGATTGCCTGTGAAGCATTAATCCCAACAGATATCATAATTGTATAACATACCTTTATCAAGTTCACAAATATAATTGATCCTTTTTTCACAATTGATATCATTTAAGAAATGTGGGCAACAGATTTCTGCGCAATGTTCCTTGTTCTGATAATTATTGGGTTCACCTGAACCCCAGCGACTGAAAATAAAAAAATTGTTAATGCTATATTTTTAAAGACCTTAGTCAATAAAAAATGCAAAATCAGCACAAGGCAATTGTTCATTTACATTTTATACATTTACACGTGATTATCTTAAAGATGCTTTTTGATTGGATGTAGCCAGTTACAACTGCGACCAATGGGAATCATTACCTTGTGGATCCTAAATTCTATCTCTATCCGCCAAAAGTGGAGAGGAGGGGACTTGATCGTAACCCTCGGCTAGCGAAGATGTGACCTAGGGGGCAGGGCCTTGAAATACTCCTCAAACTGAGATGTACTGATGGTAATGCAACTTTATAGACAATATCATGATCTATCACATGTAGTTCCTATCAAACTATCTAAAGCAGAAAACTTAACAATTGTTGACAATGGCAGCTGTCACAGAATATAAGTTCCACCATAATATTCATTCCAAAGATAATTTGTTATGTAACAAAAGTTCCAATTGGAATAAATGTTATGTGATATTTATTCCATAAGCATAATAAAAGGACCGATGCCTAGGAAGTTTTATTACATAATAAATTATCTTTGGAATAAATATTATGGTGGAAAACATTCAAAAAGCACAATAAAAGGACCGATGCCTCGGAATTTTTATCACATAAAATAAATTCCAATAGGAAGTTTTATTACATAGTAAATTATCTTTGGAATAAATATTATGGTGGAAAATATTCAATAAGCATAATAAAAGGACCGACGCCTCAGAATATTTATCACATAAAATAAATTCCAATAGGAAGTTTTATTACATAATAAATTATTCTATTTTTTTGCCAGTTAAACCCTTTATCCCTAGGTGTCATTATGGTATGGTGGAAGTATTATGTATTATCTATTGCAAACGAAAATAAATTTATTTAGAAATATATATATATTCCATTAGGAAAAAGTATTATGTAATATATATTCCGAAAGAAAAAAAATTGTTATGTAATATCATTCCAAAAGGAAAAAGTATTAGGTTATATCTAGTGTAAAAGGAATAAATATCATGTAATATCTATTCAGAATGTAAAACATATTATGTAATATTTATTCATATTGAAAAAAGTATCATGTAATATTTATTCCAATTGGAAAAAGTATTATGTAATATTTATTCCGTTTGGTAAAAGTATCATGTAATATTTATTCCGATTGGAAAAAGTATTATGTAATATTTATTCCAATCGGATAAAATATTATGTAATATTTATACCGATTGGAAAAAAGTATTATTTTATATTTATTCCGATTGGAAAAAGTATTAAGTAATATCTTTTCCGACCCAAAAATATTATTACGTTCTATCTATTACTAATGCCGGAATGGTAAATTAGTATTTACAATTATTATTCTGATATACTATAGTAGAAATAATACTGGTGAAAGAACATGTATCGTGAATATGGGAAATAATTGATCACAATGGACATTAAATAATCATTTCAAATTATCCACAATTACTGGCATGCATATTTAACATTTAAATGATATTTGTCTAATATTAGAATTAACATTTATATTTCATAGCTGAACATGTCAAAATATTTACTTACCTTCAACATAAGTTCCATCATTTAAGAACATAAATATTTTCTCATACTCATCAGCCTCCATGTTTATACATTCAGGTGTTGTGTACAGGTGAATATCTAACTCACTAACACTTTTCAATTTACGTAATTATCATATAATCAGCATTTAAAACCTGTTTTGATTTTGATAATAATCACTCAGGTGTAAACTTTAAACTTCAGCATACTAGGAACATTTGTTATACTCATCAACATATAAGATAAGTTCCTAATATCAGTGGAACAAATATAATACAGTTGGAAGAAGTATTCCATGACCGAATTTCCGCAGAACAAATATTATTATAATATTTTTCCCCCAGGAACAAATATTATTAGGAACAAATATACGCTGACACAGCAACGACTACATAGTTGCCACAGAAGCAACACCTCATAATGTTTCGCCTTCAGCAACAAAATCGTCACAGGCGAGACAAAAATAAAGATGTTTATAGTAAAAAAAGAACAAAAAAGGGTCAACTGTGTATTCAGAATACCTGCCATACACTTACACAACAGTGTCATCTAATACAATATTACTACTCCAGTTCCAAACTGTTCCATTCTTTTGTAGACTGGTCCACCATTCTGGAGTACCAGTTACCTTTGCTTTTACTCTCCTCAGTTCTTGTTTAATCCATGCCTTCAATGGAGAAAATAACATATTAATCTTCCATGGAAGAGGTGAGCCACAAGCTGTGCTAGTTTGGTTTTGTTTTCAAGAAGTTGGGGATTAATAAAGTGTGATGCTAACACTGATGATACAAGACAACAGTAGTGATCATTCTTCCTTTGCCTGGCAACAGCATTATTTATAGAATAATGGCATTTTTGTTTTTGACAACTATCCACAGGAATATCAAGCTAGACTGCTAGGTTGATATTTGACAGATTTATTCATTATCAAAATATAAATGCCATTATTCTTTTTACCAGCAATTTGTCTTGAAAACATATTTCTCTCTATAATATGGAATTGCATTAAGTATTTAAAAGAAAATCTTTTTATGTGTATAAAATTATTGTTCGGTTGTATGAATGACGTCACATCCATTTATTGATAAACATAAAAAATTGAAGAAATATTAAGCAGTAGGATCAAATGGAAAATAAACAAATTGACAATTCCACTTTTCATATTTCTCTTTTACTAAGATCTTACAATTAAAGGAATATGGCCAAGAAGTCCTTAAATTCGCCCTAAAATCAAACTTTGTAACATCATATATAATAAAGAGCTGTGCCATGAGAGCATAATATGCCCGTCGCCCTTTTAGCTTGTCTTTATGCTTTAAATGAATTTTTATGATCAACTAGATATAAAGTGAGCACTGCTCAAATAGACCCCCCACCAAAAAAAAAAAATAAAGATATGCACACAGTGGTACCCATAGACACAAAACATGTATAATTTGGCATTATTAAGGCTAACTCAAGTTTAACTAAGTTTGTGGCCTTAGTTTTTCACCTATACATTTCGATCTTGTTCACAACAAGATTTTTGAAAGAATAAAATTTCGGGAAATGTCTAAAGTGGGAAAAATAGACAGTTTTTAACGATTTTTCAACGAATAAAGTTGCATCACACCGCAATGTCATATGAGAAATTTATAAAAAAAAACAAAGGGAGCTGTTTTCAGTAAATATAAACAAGTCACCAAGGTTTCATGAAAACTGTTAAAAGCATTTTTGAATTATTGTACGTAAACTGGAAACCCCCCTTCTTTATGAATAAAGTCTAAAATGTAAAATCAGAAATTTTCAAAAATCATAAAGGAACTTAGGTCAATATATAAAAATAATTCACCAAAGTTTCATAAAAATTGTTCAAAGCATCTTTTGAGTTATAGTCAGGAAACCCCATTGTTTATGAATAAAATCCCACAACTCAGAAATTAAAATAAAATTTATAAAAATGGAAAGGGAGCTTACATCAATAGATATAAACAATTCACCAAAGTTTCTTGAAAATTGTTGAAAGTTATTGCCCAAAGTGCTGACAACAGATAACAGATAATAAGCAATCCTAAAAAGTAAACACTGCCATAATGAAACAGGTTCTCAAACTGTGCAGGGACTGAATAGTCCTTAAGGCTGAGGACCAGTGCTAGTGTAACAGCCACTATGTTCCGTCAGTTACTTTGTTCCGGCGGAACTTTTCAACTAGTTATTTCGTTCCGATGGAACTTTCCAACTAGTTGTTTTATTCCGAGTGCAGTCGAAAAGTTCCGGAAAAAAGTAGCTAGTTGAAAAGTCCCGGAACAATGTAGCTAGTTGAATAGTTCTGGCCGAACAGAACAACTAGTTACATCGTTCCGAATATACCGTATTTCGTCATTTTTGTTGAAAGAGGGGGAAGAATGAGTATCAGTATATATAAGAGCAAATCATTAATTTACAAGAATACCCAACGCACTGAAAGGGGGTTTCTTTGGGGACAAATATGCAAAATTTAAGTTGTATTTCATAGCTCACATAAAACGGAATAAGTTGCATTATCATGCAAATTTAGTATTCATAGTACCCTCAAGAGAGGGAAGAATACCACCCTCCTCATGTGGTTCTTTGCATCAATTCTCCAAATGGAACGTTGTGACTGGTTGATAAGTTCCGTTGGAACTTTTGGGCTAGTTTGTTAGTTCCGGTTTTGACTTATTTGCCAAAGAGGAACTTTGTGGCTAGTTGATAAGTTCCTTCTTACTTTTGTAATCAGCATCTTGGTTTCCCTTTGAAAGGTTCAAATATAATATGTTGCGCTTTTACTTTGCATCAATTCTCCAAATGGAACTTTCTGCCTGGTTGATAAGTTCCGTTGGAACTTTTGGGCTAGTTTGTTAGTTCCGGTTTTGACTAATTTGGCAAAAAGGAACTTTCTAACTAGTTGATATGTTCGGTTGGAACTTTTCAACTAGTCACTTTGTTCCGGTGGAACTTTTAAACCAGAGGAAGAACAAAGTAACTAGTTAATAAGTTCCTCCGGAACTGTTCGGCTAGTTAGTTCTTTCCACCCGGAACTTTCCAACGTCGGAACAAAAGAGCATTTACACTAGTCTATAATGGATTTCTGGCTACCGTATATTTAAGCAACAATATCTGTCATACTTGCTTGTCATGAATATAAAATTATAAATAAAACATTTCACCCCCTGAAACAATCCCGCATAAATTGACCTTCCAGGACACTTGGAAATATCCAAGATTTATATGATCCAAAGTGCCATTATGTTGCAATACATTCTTCTCAGGAATATTTCAATGGCAGTTTCCATTGCTATTCACGCAAAAATATTATGATACAGATGTATTTTATGTTCTGAGTTGCATCGGTTTCACCATCGATCATCATTGGTGAAAATAGATTATGTAACCCAGAATATTAAAATATTGGCATTTTTACAACATTTTATTCCTTTTGGGTAAGTTTATGAAAATTTATTTATATAAATATTTATTTATTTATTTTCTTATTCAATTACCAAACTTTTTTAAAATGTGTCACTAACAATGTCTATTTCAAATAAGTATGATTAATATATTTGTTAAGAATGTTGACAAACATGATTACAAGTTTATTTGTCAAATGTAATGTTTATTATTTGTACTACTAAGAATTGTTTTTCATTTCATTAATGTCAGTCCAGGATTTAAACATCTTGTCATTATAATTATGACAAATAATTTCATATATATTTTCAAATATGATGCAATGCAGGACTAATTTAAATATTGAAACAATGTGGGGGGAAACAAGCATTCATGAGACATTTATACAACATTACATTATAGGAAAAATAAAGACTTTTAAAGTAAAAGCATACCGTGTCTGCATGTATGGAATAGCAAGATTGATTGTTGCTTGCTTAATGTCCAGTGGCAAATATTTCATGCACATTCAGAGAGAATAAACAAATAATTAATACAATAGTAATGAAGGGCAGGAAATTTGGACTGCCACTGGAAAAAGAGGTATGTTGGATAGGGACTGAAATTATGGATTTGCAACAGGCCACCTACAGAACCATCAAGAGTTACTTTACGGGTTCAAGGCATAGGCTACCTATGGACCCATGAGAGTTGTTCCAAAAAATTGGGGTCGAAATTCTCATTTGGCATATATATATTTTCAAAAGATCACATCATAATGAACAGGTATAAAGTAGTATTTAATTCAATATTCATGCAAGCATGGTTAAGGACAAAACAATATATAAAATTGATTCTTGGAAATAATTGGTAGGTTGGTAAAATAATTTCATTTTGCAAAACATTTAATATATATTGTAAACTTAAAAGGGGATGTGCTCTGGACTTTAAACAATGCTTAACCAAAAATGTCAGGGGACTTTAAATTGGTTAAACACAAATATGTCCATAATGGGTTAGTAGAGGCAGGAACATAACTATAATTTATTTTTTTGGCCTAATGAATTGAAAGTAGTGAATCTAAGACTGAAATCAGCATAATACTAACTACACTATTATAACATTTACGCAACTTCCAAACAAATTAATCATAACCTATATATCTAACTTACCATTTCAAGAGAGTCCTCAATTGATAACAACTCTGCTCGCATAGAATTACATACATACTTAGCTTCAAACCAATTTCTTTGGTGGTTATCAGCAAAAAGGTAGCACTTCTTGCCCATAGGACCATCAACCCATCCAGGTGGGCAAACTTGTCCATTGGCTAAAAAAGGAAAATATATTTTTAATATCTTACCATTCATGAATGTTTCAAATACAAAACTGTTAAAATGGCTGTGTGTCCTTAGTTTATCAGATGATTCTAGAATCTAACACCAACGACAGAAGTCAGCCCAGATAGCAATTTTACTGAGCCATATTTTTAAGGTGCTGGTTTACAAAGTAACAAGCCACAGGAAGATGTCACATTACCCAAACACATTATTCTGACTCCAAGCGGATCAGTCTGCTTTTACTCATTTACCTCGTTCTTAGCAAAGCAGCATATAACAATTTTAAAGTCTTTGGTTTAACAAAACCAGTTATTGAAACAACAACCTCCCAAACTGGCAAGCTACCATGAAATTATCATTTTGAAGTTCAATCATAACTTTGCAGACATAATTAGGATTGATTGATTATTGGTTGCTTAATGTCCAGTGGCAAATATTTCATGCCTGTTGAGGACGAAAACAAATCAACAATAAAAACAATAGGTAGGTCCTGTAATAGAGGCCATTCGGGATGAAGGTCGGGTTAATTTGGACTGCCACTGGAAATCAAGGGTATATTAGATAGGGACAGAAAATATACAAACGACTTCATTAAGGATAACTTTGAAAATAAACACCTCCAAAACAAAATTATTATAAAAGATGATATTTCATACACAGAAATGTCCAACTTAGATGTTACTTTTTAAGCCTAAAAAGTTTCGAATAAAAAAGAAGAAACAAAAAATTTATTTGAAAATTATTTAACCTTTAAGAAGGGATATAACTTTACATGGATCAATTTTATAAGTGAAAAACTTACTGTTCAGAGAAAACTCACCTGAGGAATAATGTAGATTTTAATTATCAGCAAAGATTAATAATCTACCGGCATGTCTACCTTCTTTTTCACCAATTCATTATTAGATTATTAATTAAATAATACTTTAATAAAACATGTAACAATAGATTTAAATAATGAGTTTCTTGCATGGTTTATAATGACGTCATAAATTAAATTTACCAACAAGGGTTCTGCAATTTTACCACGCGATTTGTTATTTTCTAAGACTTTAATCTTTAAATTTCAAACTGTCAGTGCACTCTGGAAGGGTAAGCAGATCCTTGTCCATGTGTGGCACCCGCCTTGCTGCACATGCAAGTACGAAAATTGTGATAAATCACCCTGGTAGCTCAACCATTTACATCACTTGTAGAGAGGGTTTTGCATGTGCTTTCCCTTCAGGTGTTCGGACAACATACAGACAATCCTCAGAACCGACATAATACAACTATTTCAAAACCCTAGAAATGACAAGAGGTGACAACTGCGCCAAGCAATGTATTCCCTCATATAACAAATAACCAAGATCAATATCACAGTGTCATATAAAATAGAAAAAGACAATAAAACACAAACATCTTGGTATCTCCCCAAGAAATATAACCCTTCAATTTTCATACTCGAACTTCACTTTAAAAAAACATAATAAATTAGATGAGTGTTTGGCCTTAGTGCAATAAGTATTTTTTTAAATACTAAATTCACATTTTTAGAAAAAAGAAAAGCTGCAGGACAGGGTGACCTGGTATGGGTTCTTGTTGTTTTTTGGAATTACCATACGTTTTACACCTAAAAACCTAGAACTTTTAACACAGCCAAACATCAGAGTTGAAGTTCTAGGCTTCTAAGCAGGCAACAACAATGATTGTCAATGAACAACACAAACTTGATTCCTAAAAGTGATTCATCATTGTTTTAAATTTTCTGAGCCCTGATCCTGCTGGTAAAATTAAAATGGCCGAAACCAAAAGTAACAAAACTTTTAACTAGTTAAATTCAGAAATTTAGGAGTGGTCCAGCATCTTAATCCTATTGAGTCAGAGTAGAGACATTCACAAAACCCCTGTCCCATAAAATATTTATGCATATGCTGTTTAAAACCTGTGAAGTTAAACCAACGGGGGATTCAGTGTGAAAATTGTAATTTCTGGTTCCACATAAAATGTATTAAATTATCAATTCCAGAGAACGATAAACTCCATTTCCGTGGAAAGCTGCTACTGCCAAACATACACGCTACCTAAACATCAACAGCCTACGTAATAAACTTGAGCATTTTAAAGAATTACTAGAACAAAAATTTGGTTGATTTATTATTTCTGTTGGAAACCAAATCGACGAGTCTTTCCCTGATGCGCTATTAATGGTAGATAATTAAACTTTATGGATATCAGATAGAAATTAATTTTGGGGTGGTATTCTTGCCTATTTGAGATCAGACCTAGCTGGAGACCAGAAAACACAACTAGAATTTAAAGAAATCGGATCAGTTGGGTGTTGAGGTAACATCAGGTGGACAGAAATGGTTCTTCTGTGGTGCCTATAAACCACCAAATACTGTCTTTAGTTAAATTCTTCGAATAAACAAATTGCAGAAAATGCCCTGGTTTGAGTTATGCATATGTGTTTATTTTTTCCAGCAAACTAAATATAATTACATCTCAAACTCTCATAAATTATTGACTAATATCAGATGATTATAACACTGATTTTATAAGTAAAATAGACCCTGCTTGCATTTTTTATAGATGATTGTTTTTTTTATCTTTTCCTTGCAAAAAATTGGTCTTTTTAATCCTTATTCATTCATCTATGAGACATAATTTTCAAAATAATGTTATATGTAGTGTAGAACAAAAAGTTATTATAGGTATACTATTGAGGTCAATAATTGACAAATTGTGTAATAAGATATAAATTTAGCAATATAATAAAGTGTCTATTCAATTTGTAATACAAGAGATATCAACTCTGGTCAATTAAGATTGGCATTAAAGCGGAGGCGATTCCAATTAATATTCCCACCTTAAAGTTTGAGTGAAATTGTTTGTAAATAATGACAGCTATCATGGCTATCTATTGATGTTTGATATAAAAATAAGGAGATGAGGTATGATTGCCAATGAGACAACTATCCACCAAAGGTCAAAAAAAGTGGATGTAAGCAATTATAGGCAACCGTTCGACCTTTAACAATGAGAAAAACCCACTCCGTATAGTCGGCAATAAAAGGCTCAGACATGAAAAATATGAAACAATTCAATTGAGAAAACTAACAGCCTAATTTATAACAAAACAATTAACAAAAAACAAATATGACAGACATTCATGAACCAACAACAACCACTAAACTACAGGCTCCTGACTTGGGACAGGCACATAAAGAATGTGGAAGGGTAAAGGTTCATGTAGACCCTTTGACTAAAATGGCTGCATTTTCACCTCAAAATCTACTCAGAATACAGACAAACCTGAGTATCTGGATAAATTTTAAGGCATAGCATGCTCTAGATAAATGAAATTCAACTATATTTTCTCTTTAATAAAATTAAAAACTTAACTGGATTTTGCAGTGCACTTTTTTTCATTCCTCCAGAAAGTGCCAAAATAAACAAAGTTGGGAAGAGGTTTGAGAACTTCCCCACAGGTAATAATTGAAGTGAACTGTACTGATTGACATGGACAATAGAGGGACAATAGATACCTGACAATAATTGGTTATTTAAACTGTGTACCTGAGTGGACCATATCAAGTGAAACTCAACTGCATCTTCTGCAGGGATGAAAAAAAGTGCACAGCAAAATCCAGTTAAGTTTTAAATTTTCTAAAACATAAAATGTATTTGAATTTTATTTATCTAGGGCATACTATGCCTTAAAACTTTTCCAGATGAACAAGTTAGTCTGTACTAAGGGAGCTGCCATTTGATAATGATTTTTATGGGGGGTGCTAGGATGAAATTTGAAAATAATAGGCAGGACAGGAGTTTTGAGTAAAAAAAAAAGCAGGACGAGATTATTTGCCAAAAAAAAAAAAGGCAGGATGACAATTTATGTAAAAAAAAGTCAGGATAAACTAAAAAAAAAAAAAGGCCAGACTGAATAGAGGGAAAAATAAAAAAGCAGGACCCAATAGAGGGAAAAATAAAAAGGCAGGACAATATTTTTCATCCTAGCCCCTCCCCCCCCCCCCCCCCCCCCCCCCCCCCCCATAAAAATCAAATGGTAGCTCCCTAAAGAGTAAATTTTGAGGTGAAAATGCAGCCATTTTAGCCAAAGGGTCTACATGAACCTTAAACATGTTTGTGAGCACTCAAACCTCCCCCTAACCTGGGACAGTGGTGTAACAGCACAACATATAAAGAACAAACTATAAAAATCGGTTGAAAAAGGCTGAACTCATCAGATAGATGTTTATTTCAAAATACAGCTCATCCGTAACAGGAGCTATTGTATTGTATCAGTATACTCCTACTTGCCTATTAGGAAAAAATGGGAATAATAGCACAAAATACAATAAAGTGTGGGAATAACTTTGATATCAATACACATCTTGTGCCAAATTTTATTCAATAACTTACACATCAGAGGTGGATTGGGGCGGGGAGGAGGGGGGGAGGGGGTGCCTGGGTCCCTCCCTTATGGAGCTTCATTTATGGTTCATGCAGACTTTTTACCGGTTCCACTATCCAATTAGTTAGAATGAATTAATAACTTTGAATTCTGCACCATCATAAAATCCAGAAATGAATGATCAAATAGATCCAGCATGGCTGAATCAAACGGGAGCGTAGCTATAATCCGACATCCCGAAATTCCGACAGTCCAGTAGTCCGACAGACCGATAGTCCGATAATCCGACAGTCCGTTAATCTGACTGTCAGATGGGCCGACATGAAGCCGTGCTGCTGCAAATGATATGGATATCGTCTTCATATAAACTTATTAGCATACTGCCGAAACGCGAGCAGTTTTTAAAATTTAAAAAGTGAAATGCGTTGTAATGGGATAAAAATTAAATCCTATATTGTTTGAACAATTAATATAAGATTCCATTCCTGTTCATCATGTAGATGCTGATAACGAGAATGTCTGTTTACATACACGTGCATGCCACATGTGGTTGAATGTCATGTCAAGGACCATAACTCTGCACAAAATAATCAGACCGGAACAAAATTCAAACTTGAACTGTTACTTGTCATGATAAATCTATATACCAATTGTCAAATCAAAATCTTCAAGAATGAAGAAGTGTGGAAAACTGATTTGCAGGACGGACTGACGGACAGACAGACAGACAGACAGGGCAGACAGATCAGACAAAACAGACAGACAGACAGGGTACAACCATAAAGTCCCCTTCCACTTCGTCGGTAGGGACTAATTATAATATGAACCTAAACATTCCTAGTCATAGCTAGAATCATCACGACATGACACCAATAATGTGAAAAAGATCGGAACAAAGATGGGCAATGACGTGACGACAGTACTTATTCACACACAGCAGACAAATCAGATAGTGGTTAAGACCGATGGTTGCAGTGCTAAAGGTCCCGGGTCGATTCTGACTCTAGGTGCGAGACATTTCTTTCCCAAGAAGGGTGAATTTCACCCTCCCTCTCACATCTCTGTTACCAAGACCGGAGTTTAAACTTTGGGGCCTCGGTGGTCGAAGTTACCCACAACTTTGACCTGGAAATCAATCTTCTGATAACTCTTTGGTTTGTCTGTTCATGCCTAACAGGCACCTGGTTCTCTACAAATAATTCGGCTTCTTTCACCATGATAACAGACTTCCCGGTGTCCTAGCGCTTTCTTTGTGTTGAGGTGGGGATTGCCCTTGTACATATTGTTGTAAATTCGTTAGTGACACCTCTCCATTAATCCCGATAGTGAGTGTACATGTATACACCTTATCGCTATTTGTCCGCCATTACTGGCCATCACACAGGTTCCCGTAAAATTTTGACGTCACAATACAAAATATCTGACGCCACAATGGAAAAGTGATTGTTGTATGACGTCAAAAGTTCAAGCGGGACAGATTCTCGGGTCAGCCGGGAATAGCGATAAGGTGTATTCCACTGTGACCTCTCAACTTTCGAGGGGTTCTTGACGGAATTTACCAGTCCAAAAATTCATACTGACTGACTGATTTGATAATTTTCTGTGTGAAAAAAAGTCAATTTGCACACGTTCCATGTCTATATAGGCATATTTTTCAGAGACAAGTGACCGCGCGTCGGACTATCGGGCTGTCGGATTATAGGACTGTCGGACTACAGGAGTCAGGACTGTCGGATTATATATATGGGTCTGACCCCGAATCAATTAAACAACCATCAATTCTGACATGTCTGAAGATTCTCGTATTAGCCATCTTCTATCAAAAAATATCCCATCCTGGGACCACATCTCTTTATGATAAATCCGGACTAACTATAGACGTATTAACACTTGTATGCAAATTTGTCCGCCATTACGTAAAATCACACAGGTTCCCGTAAACTTTGACATCATAATTCAAAACATTTGACGTCACAATTAAAAAGTGATTGTTGCCTGACGTCAAAAGGTGATTCGGAGTAGATTTAAGGTCATTCGGAGGCAAAATATTGCTAAATACCAAAAGTGTAAATACGTTTATTCAACCAAGGATTTGTATAGTAAGAAATTGTAACAGTTACTAAGTCTAAGTTACTTACAAATCCTTTATTCAACGAAATAAATATTTAAGTCAAACATTAAATCTGAATAAATCTGATTTTAAGTTCAACTTACCAGTACGAAAGTTTTCCCCAATCTAAAGAAATATTGGCAAGACGAGGTTTAAATACCTCGAGTCTCTTTAGCACGAGAAAAACGATCCCCGCGAAAACTCTAAATAGCTAAAAATAGAAACAGGGAATTTACGCCCTGCTTTACACGACCCATATGTACATTGCATACCACAGAACACCGCTGAACACCAAAAAGTTACCACAGAACTATTTTAAAAATACAATTGAATTAAACGACTAAGATCTACCGCAGATCATTAAAATTAGATCTACTCGATATAATGCAAAATATTAATTCAGAATAATATTATTTCTATAAATCTACTATGACTAATGTAGAGTTGTCTTCCTTAAATATTGGCGTATAGAACAAATCGATTCGTTTGCGCCAAAAATGCGTCCTTTTGCGCCATCGAGTATAGTTAATAATAACTCTACCATTCAAAACTTTAACACCGTCTTACCGTTATCTTGATGAAATCAGAGACATGTATGTATACACATTTGCGTATTTATATGCCTTTTAATATATGTCTCTGCTTTGATGAAATTTTTTCGTTAAGTATTAAACAATTCACTAAATATTCTGCCTAATTTTAACCCAAAAAAACATATTTTGAATAAATCAAATATAAACAGCAATGACTATCCTTTCTTAGATTTAGATATTTCAGTTTTACACGGGAAACTTTTACAGCAAAAGGGACGATTTTTTGTTTTCTTATTGTTAATTCTCCTTTTTTGGACGCTTAGGGGACGACCATTTGATATTCTGGGGGGGGCCAGGAGGATTTGTTTTGGATCGGTTATTTATTTTTGTAAACTAAGAGGACAGATTATCTATTTTCTGCACTATTGAAGCAAGATTTTTCATTTTCATTAAAGCAAGGGACTGATTATTTATTTTCACAACTATATTTATAATATTCGATAACATACAATTTTTAAATTATTTGTTTATTATAAATAATTCATGTATAGTCAAGTCATTATGTAGCATTTAATCAGAATTAATTATTATCCTCTGCAGAAATGAATCTTCTATATTCCCCAATGCATATACATGTATTGCATACATACACAGTATTAAAGTTTGGTTGTAACTAAGGCTCTTTGAAAAGTATTGGCAAACATGTTCCGCCGAGCGGAGCGAGGCAAAATTTTTTTTGAAGGGTTTTTGAACCGCTGAAGGCCCAAGAAGCTATAGAACAAATGATGCAAAATCATGCCTTCTGGGTGTTCCCCAGACCCTTTCTTAAACTGAAAATGCAAGTTCTGTTTTAATAATTTTATGACAATATTTTGGTCTCAAAGCAAAATCACGTTATAGATTCAGTGTAATTAGACTTAAGTTTCTAGGAACAACATCAAAAGACAAATATGCATGATAAAGCAAAAATGTAATTCACATAGTTAAGTCTGTGGCTGCTGTGTTTATTTAAACTCATGATCAAGTTAATAATAAAATTACTAAATTACAAAATGAATGCAACACTAACAGAATACAGAAGGGCAATCAATGAACAGAAGACAAATAAATAAGAAACATTGATCCCGAAAAATCAGGGGCTACGTCTGAGGGAGAACAGAACTTGCTTCTTGCAAGGCACTCACGGTGAACACAATTTGAAATTTCCTACATGAGGCATTTGTCTCAATGTAGTTACGGCCCTGATTTAATAAAAGTGAGGTAAGTGTTCCTGAGACAATTAACCTCAAGTTAAATGAAACCAATTTTCTGACATTTCAAGTATATTTAAATAATATTTATACTTTTATTATTAAAAGATATGGGAAGTGTTTCCCGATTTTTTTTTTGGAAAAAAGATGAATTTATGAAGAATCTGGTGCCATCTCATACTTTCGATTAGACCTGCTGAGTTATTTATTTTCAATACATTGCAAGTCAGGTAATTTATTTTCAAACTACCACAGTACAAACCATTTATTTTTGTGATTATCAAGGCTGAGTTATTTATTTTCAAAATCCTCCTGGCCCCCCCCAGAATATCAAATGGTCGTCCCCTTATGTTTCTTTGGCACCATCTCACGGTATTTGCATATCACAATAGCATTTGCTATGCCCGTGTCAGAAGTTTGCCGATACTTGTAGAAAACTTAATGCATACGGGATAGCACATTTCCTAATGTTTACGGTGGTGTTGTTTACCGAGCACGTTAATTTATAAACTTGACTTGTCGATCCTTTGAATAAACTTATTCTTAAATGTTACCAAATCAATACTGTGATTAGATCTTAGAATGACAACATTATCGGTATGAATATTGATTTTGTTACAGTAAATTCAAACCAAACTAAATATCTCTGAACCCACGGAACCACACAGTGGCAGAAGGACAATACAGATATACAAACATATGTACTGACTGAAGTCAGGAATATGACAGTTGTTTTTCACTTGTTATGTTGGTTGATAACGTTTGATTTTTTTCAGTTTATTTGGACCTTCCCCTTTTTGAATTTACCTTGAAGTTCGATATTTTTCTTATACTTTTTTTAAAATATTTAGGAAAATGTGACCTACACTCTTTCGTCAAGTTTTCTAATCACAGATCGGGAAAAACCATTAACTTATATTCGATCGGTATGGAAATTGAGAGAAAAAACGATAAATTCAACTCCCTTGGTGCTTCAGTTGACAGAGAATGTGTGCTCCTACATGCATTCTATGGTTAACTCCATATTGTTTTTCATATGATATAATGTACATGTACATAATATATTTGATTACATTAACAATTGTCACTATATATTACTTTGTTGAATGACAGTTGTAAACTAAAAGAAAGAAAAAACATGTCATTTAACTTAATATTTAATTTTTCACTGTCAGAAGAACTTACCACTAAGAATAATTGCGAGAATCACACAGATGAACGCCTCCCTTTTCATCCTCACAGATGACTATAATACATAATACATACAAGTAGTGAAATAATTCTTTTAGCTGTTGTCCTTAAGAAGGAAACAGGTACTTAACAGTGAAAATAAAAGTAAGATAATTAATCTGTGCCTACAGTACGATTCGTTAAAATATTTGAGATGTTCTTCCTTCGTGTATATCCGTGTTTGTCGGGACTTTGAACAACAAATATCAGACCTACTCAAGTTAAGGAGCAAAAGCCTAGGGTTTTGTTGGCTTTTTTGTAAAGAAAACAACCATTTGATGTATTTCTTGTTGTGAAATCGACACATGATTGAATGTTTTGATTTCTTGCCTACTTGGAAATGTTCACTTATGATATATAGCATTTTGTGGTGATGTCAATGACTAACAATGAATCACTTGTAATTGCAAATTCAACCACTTGTAAACTGTGTTGAAACTTTCATTGATTCCGTTACACATGTTGCAGCCCAAACTCCAAGGTTGACAGGCAGGTTGAGATATAATCATCTGGACCCCCCTCTCCTCCGCAAAACCTATGCCAGAAGAGGTGATCGGTTGGAATATGGATATTAAATCGGATGCCTTTTGTAGGGATAGTGTCTCGCACTCTGCGCGCCAAAGAAACCGTGCAAAAACTATTTCAATGATCTATAGGTGTCCTGTCGCAAAGCAAAAGTTCTGTTCCTATCCGATATATCCTCTTTTCCAACGGCAGTCCAACATTTCCACCCTCCATACTGATCGAGCGACTTTGCAAAAATGCTTCCAATAAGATTAAAAGCAATTTGATCTCGTCCTGAAATACATGAACTATTTCCCACTGAACATTAAACAAATAACAGTCAATCATAACAACAATTTTATATCACAAAGAGAAAAGAAGAAGATACCAACGTGACAAGATCATAAGTCGAAATTAAAAATGACAAACAAAACAAATCGATTGAGCGTCACTAGAATAGTGTACTTACTTATTTTATCATTAGCATTATCAGCTCTTAGTTTATCGATTGCTAGCAATTTTTTGCAACTGCTAGAGGTGGTGGGTTAAAATGTATTCGCTTACTTATTGTTTCAAACTAGACTTAATCGTTTCTTTTTTTTTTTCTTCAATGAAATTATGTACACCCTTCAATATAAGATTGATGGACGGCTTGGTTTATATATCAGCATGTTTTAAGTGTTTTATTTTCTTTCACATTCTCTGCTACGGTTTTGTTTTACTTGCATGATAAAATCTTATTTAAATCTGCAAGTAAGTATTTAAAATCGCCAGACCAGCGGAGGAAACCACCATCAACATGTTAACTGAATTATTTAGTTCCCTTGCTGTTAAAAGGTATAGGAACTTTTCTGAGTTTAAGAATGTAAGTTTTCAATGTTTGGTGCTATTTACGACATAACAGTAAATATTAAGATGTCAAATACTTAGTACTGACTATTATAGTAGCCTTGAGATCTATTATGGCATAGTGTTTAGAAAGTGTAACAATCTTTGCATACTAAAGAGCCCATGAACTAACTATATGTGGTGTCAAAAGATGTATAATCATAACATTTTGACTGTTTTTACAAATTCGGAATACTATTCGCTTAATTCATCTTTTTCAATTTTGTCAAATAAGGGGAGATAACACAAATAATCGCTTTTTTCATTAAGGAATGTACATAAAATTTACATATTGTTTAGTAACAAAAAGCGAGATCTGTGACCGTCCAATTTTCCAGCTTGTTTTCTTAAAGCACAGAATGAAGAGTTATCTCCTCCTATTTTATTTCTAAATTCTTCCAAGGATTTATATAAATAAAATACTTCGGATTCTATAATTGGGAAATGATATATTTTAATATTGTAATAGTTATCATATACTCAGTCATGATTACCAGATTCAATCGTTGTTTAGTTTCAAGGGTTTCCATTATAATCTTTACAATTTATAGTTATGCACTATCTGTGGTATATCTGTAGCTTAAAAAAGGCCCCGTGACTTATAATTTCTATAGCGTTTCTTTTTTTTTTTATAGAATAGCGAGATATAAATCACATTTTGGCAAAGCATTACTATGCTTTTTTTTATCGTTTTTAATTCGGACCTATATATAACTACTTAAAAAAAAGTCGCTTTACTTATTGAAATTGTGTAACAAAACTTTTAAGGTGTTATTTTATTCAATATTGTTTTTCTAAAAGGCAGTGATCGTGATACCTTTCAAAACTTTTTATTTTGGTGCTTAGTCCGGGTTCCCAGCTAGAAATTATTAGGATGTGCACAATCTCGCACATGCGCAATCAGTTGTTTATAATAGTTTCGGGGACTTCCGGTATTTGAAAAAAAATATGACCGGACGGGGAAAGAAGAAAAAGACCTATGTAAGAGAGAATATCTAACGCTCAAATGTTTCCAATGACCACATTCGTTTAAAAATAAAACTAAGTAGCCAGTTTAGGCAATTATAGTCCCAGTTATGCAACAATTTACTGAAAATCTTGTGGCGGAAAATCATGTCATGCTTGATCATGTTTTCACTTTTACAACCATAATAAAAATCACACTTGTAGCCTAATCACTTTAATGATAATTGTTGCAATAAATGATTAGTTTGATAAAAGATATGAAGGACAAATACAAATTTGCACCAATCAAATATAGTTGACCGATTGGCATTACTGCCATAATTTACTGCATTAGCCCAAAAAAAACGAAAACTTTCTGTTCAGATAAACATATCCTCGTCTCATGGGGGTTCGTGTTATTAAGAATGCATTGTGACCTCTCAGTTTTCATTGAAAAAGCATGCATAGTACAAATTCATATGACGTACGAAAACATGATCTGACCATACTCGTGTAATAATTATATACACCTATATTTTGAATTATGAATTAAGTCAGCTATATTTTTTACGGTTGTCTAATATTTGTTTAGTTGTTGATCTCTTTACCGCTTGCGGAATTCAATATTAAAAATGAAAATCCTCAGCCAACATGGTTTTTCTATTAATTTAACCAACAAGTTCAAAGTAACTATTGTCCTCTCTTTGAAGAAAAATTATGATTTACAACAGCATTTGTATCTATGAATGATATGTTTTTTAGCAATACACATTGGATTTATGAGGTTTGAATTAACTGGCAATAAAATAAAGAAATTAAGAAGGAAAACACTTTTAATGAATTTTGAATGACTTTGTTTTTCAACCTATTTTGGCAGTGCACATGTATCCAAAACTCTGTCTGACCGACAAAATGTCAGACAAAAAGTCATTTGGTCAGACAGAAATCTTCTGATTTTTTAGTTGAAAATATAGTTGAAAAACATCAAATTTCTTATGCACATGGACATGATGGATGTATAAGTCATTGTCAATTTATAATAAACTGATTTTTGTACAAGAATTTTATATACATGTATCATCAAATTACAAATGGGTGTATATAAATATTGGGAGATATTTTCATTTTTTCACGACCCAAACCAGTGTCTTCCCTAGAAAATTTTTCATGCATGGTGGGTCCATGGTGAATTTGCAACGCGGCGCACGATGCTTCTTTTTCAGAATTAGTTACACTACATAGTTTATATGTTTAAAGCCATATACCAATCTAATTGTTTTATTATAGGTACAGCAATTCATATAAGTCATGGACATTTAAAGTGTTTATTACAGATGAGAGGAATTAATGAAAGACCTTATAAACAATAATAAAAATAATCCAGTCTGCAATAGTTATTTACAAATTAATGCCATGTACACATTATTTTGTTGATACATGTATCTTCCTCTGTTTCAACTTTCCAAAGGTCACCACACATTTTTCAAAACCAAAATCTTCCTCCTTTGGTCCTTCAATTGATATATGCATTAAGCAATTCAGCACTTTTTGGCATCTACATGTATAGTCTGTTTCTCAAAAGTTTTAACTCTGTTTAAACATGAAAAACACCTTTCACAATCAGCTGTTGAAACTGGAAAAACAAGACCAATTGCTGCATACTCAGACAGACAAGGATACAAAGTTCCAAGACTGGCCACTTTGTTCATTGTCTGCCTAAATGTCATGTCTTTACATTCTTTCACTAACAGTGTCCTCAGTTTGCTGATACAATGGTTTCAGCATCAACAGTAAGTTGTTAAATAAAACTTTGAATGTCATCATTGCTTCACAGAGATTTTACAGGAAACAATAAAAAAAAATTATTTGCATTAATTACAGAAGTCAATGAAGAATACCTGACATACGGATGACATATTTGGCAATTACCTGTTTGGAAGCTATATAAGCTGACATTTTATTTCATGACAATTAACTATTTTTCTTAAATACATCCCTGTCCGATTTATTTATAACTCTTCATAATTGTAAAAATCCTATCTTGCCGAAGTGAAAGAAATTTAGCCGCACATGTGTAAAAAACGGCAAATGAATCCGCTACACTTAAGCTGCAGGTGTCCGATTGAAATTAAATAGAACAACACAAGTTTATTAAAAACAATATTTCCGAATTTAACTTCGTATATTTTGAAAGTTTTTCTATCAAATCTTTTAAATATTTCATAAGACACGACTTTTCTCGGCCCAGTGGTGGTGATGTGTATTCTTTGATGTAATCAATCAACCGCGACTAATCTAAAAATAACTGATTGTTGTGACCAATCAAAAAATGATTCATCGATGTAAATATAGCTGATGAAAAAACTGCGAAACTTTATTAAAAAAAGTTTTTGTCTATTCTCGGTGAAATTACGTTAGTTTTATATTATAATACCAGAGACTACACCAAATTTAAATTTCTACTTTCAAAGATCACAGTAAAATAACGATGTCAAACAACAGGGGCCGTTTTAAGGTGAAATTTATACAGGAAAAGGTTAAACTTTTTATTTAGCACAGAAAGATATGCATTGGAGATTTATCAGACTATTTATTTATCAGCTAACTGACAACTTCTATTATGTAACCGAAGTCTCGATGTATAACCAACTAATCAAGAAGGTTATAAAATCCAGGCACGCGTGACGTGATGCATCCAATTATCAGTCGGATGAGTTTAAAACACCTGTGGAGTGTTGTCACTTGTCACTTCACTTTCAAAATATCGATAATAAATATTTTACACAGTTATAATTTTCACACATAGCGGTATGCATTGCGGCAATGATGAAAGCATGGTGGTCGAAATCTATGCGTAGCGGTACCGCAATGCTTGAATAGCCTAGGGAAAACACTGCCAAATACTTTAACAGGTATAAAATGTAAACATGGTAAATATTCAATCTTATTTCTTATCAGGGATTGAAGTTAAAATTTTGGCATGGTAGCCCACAGTTTTAATTTTGTAGCCCACATATATATAGTCCTATACAAGAAAAGCAGAAATTTAGGTAGCCCATACCAAATTTTAGGGGCCATTGGCGAGTGGGCCCCTGCTAATTTCAAACCCTGCTTATGAAGCAAGAATCTTGCAATCTGATTGGTTAATTACCCAGGTGTAAATACCAACCCATCGAAGTTCACCCATGGAAAAAATTTTGCCAAAAATTGAAGAATTAAGATTTGGTTTCAGGTGAAGAAAATTGATTGTACACATATTCACCCAGCTGGTTATTGAAAAAGGTTTGAGGCTATGAATTTGCATGCATTTTGTTTTTGTCTTATATTTTATCATGTTAATTATGGTTTTGAAATGATTTGACTGTTTAGAATTATGGGAATACAATTAAAAAAAAAATGGAATTCCACCAAAAGTGTTTATATGCATTGAATGTAAGAAAAACATTTTAAATTATAAATGTAGCTAAAGTTTAATGTTAAAAGAACATTTAAACAAGACAGCAACAATAAATTTTCCAAAGACATATATACATGAAACTGGCTTTGAAGACCCACTTATAATGACATGATTTTACACAGTGTTCCAGGCATCTTTTATCCACCCAAAAACTGTTTTGATAAAGTTCTTCTCACGATGGCACATACATCCAGTGCTCCTTTAATCTGCACATCTCTGCTTTGAAACACTTTGGCTACATTTAATCTTCAATATGAGAAAATTATATGTACATCATGTACATTGTACATGTACCCTATTTCAAGCTTTAAGTCATTCCAAAACTGATTACTGAACATTGTGCATTTTACCAAAACTACTCATTAAAGATCTGCCATGAACGTCTAATTCTTTAAAGCTCAGTAATCAATAAGATATAAACAATTACAACCTCTGACATCACATGGTTTCTAAGTTAAGCTCTTCCTTCTCTAAATCAAGTTTAAAACTTATCAAGAATTTGTGTCACATAAATGCATAAAATCAAAAACATATATTACAATAAAGAGGAGAAAAGATTTTAATTTTGAAATTTAAAAACCTACATGTACATACACATGTATGTTAACTCTGTGGATCATTTGTTTTTGAAAGCAAGCTTGAATATTGTTCTGTTTGCAAATGTTAAGTTTTCTAAAACCAAGGATATCATAGTGTTAAAACATAACATCCCAGCACCAGTAGAATATGAAATAATTCTATTTTAAAAGCAGTTTTTTTTAATAACCCATTCGCCAAAAATTGTTAAAATTTTAGGATTTATTGCTGATTATAATATACTTGCAACAATTTGAACTACATTTAGGGAGCTACCATTTGATTTTTATGGGGGCTAGGATGAAATTTGAAAAAAAAGGCAGGACAGGAGTTTTGAGTTAAAAAAAAAAGGCAGGATGAGCAACTTTGCCAAAAAAAAAAGGCAGAATGTGACAATTATGTACAAAAAACAGGATAAACTAATAAAAAAAAGACAGGACCGAATAGAGTGAAAAATAAAAAAACAGGACAGAGATTACAACTAAAAAAAAATGCAGGACAAAATTCTTCATCCTAGCCCCCCCCCCCCCCCCCCCCCACCAACCATAAAAATAAAATGGTAGCTCCTTTAAAGAAGCATGCAACATCTGTTTAATGATTTTCTCTTCCAGAAAGGTTTTAAACTGAAAACAGTACACCACATTTAAAAATACCATCAAAAGTTCATTATTATCATTTTCAGGAGGGGTATTTTTAGAAAAATATCAGGTCAGAGAAGGCAAAGTTTTCCAAGCTAATAAACCAATTTGTTCTCAAGACTGATCAGATAAAAAAAAATCAATGGTATTTTTTAATGTGGTGTATAAAAATATAAACATGTAATACTCCTTCAAACAAATGTACTTATATAATCAATTAGTATGTATGCATGTATTTCCTTTATAATAGCCAATACACAAGTATTAATATTAATGGTTCATGTTACAACTTATGACGCTACTTCAATTTGAAGTACAACATACAAAATACTGATCAGGTCCCAAAAAATATGTGCCTCGTTAAGATGAAAGGGTCGGTAAATTGGCAATTCTTTAAAATTCCTTTTATCATGTTTATAGATATAAATTTTATGTAATCATATTGTGTGATTCATGGAAACAAGTCTAATTTTGATTTGGTCTTAAAGATTAAAACCAGGTTGAATTCATTATTGAAAAAAGGTATCTGGAAACAAAGCTAATTTGATTCAGTCTTAAAGATTATAACTAGGACAATTTCAGTACTCAAAACAGATGCATGTTAATGGAAACCATCCAATTTTTTATTAGGCCTGATAGAACAAAAACAGTCTTTAGTACTCAAAACTTAAAGTTTAGGATAGGGTAAAGTACATGTTACTGTTAATTTTATTCATGACAATTTAGTGAATTTGTTATACATTTGTAGTAACAGTAAGCACATATTTAAAATCAAGTTTCCAAAAGTACTAAGTAGTGTCTTATAATGATCATGTTAACTTTGAAATGCTCTATGTTTATTTACCTTTCCAAAACAAGATACACGTAATTACCAGTTCCACAACTGTGTTGACATACAAAATCAATTGTAGTTTTAGCAAACCTAATCTAGAAATAGTAAGCTTTGTTTTGTTTTGTTTGTTTGTTTGTTTGTATTTTTGTTTGTTTGTTTGCCTATTAGTTTTATGCTTAAACTTGTATGTAATGGTGTATATCTACATGTTATAAGTTTAGACAGTAACATGTAGTTAATAATCAATTTAATATATTTACATGTAACATGATATTTTGCAATTAAGCACTTATTTTAAAATTGTAGGGCACAGTTTCAGCAGGTCTTCTTCCAGTGGCTGCCTTTTCAGCTGTACCAAGGACCCCACCACCAGAAACTCCTGTAGGCATTACTCCAGGACTAGCCATGACTACTGGAGTACTAAAAGCCTCGATGCTTGGCAGATTGAGAATGCCACCAACTGGCCATGATGAAGATGTTCTTAGTGACCCAGAGAGTAGTTTATATGATTACCAACAGATGGAGGAACCTGGGTATGCAACAACAAGTTAAAATAAATTAGGACCTAAAGGGTTGAATAAGGCAGAGGGGTTAGAACTACTTAAAATACATGTATTGATATAGTTGTCACTGAGGTTAAGCAATTAACAACCCTGTATGGGATTTTAAAGAAGAAGAAAAAAGAAAATAGCCCTTTATGGAGTTTACATACATTGCCTATATTTTTGAAATATTAAGTTCAAATGTATCTAATATATTTTCTTCGTTTAATTGGGATTTTTAAGATATTAATGAAATTTCAATTGACATGATTGATAACTGGAGTTTTAAGAAAACTATTTGACTACATATATATGACTATATAACAGCTAAATATAGCCAAATAACGGGGAAACTTTCATTTTGTAGAAGTTTCATCATACACTTCTTTCAAGTTCTTTGTCACATTAAGTACCGGTAGTAAACCTGACATTCAATTTGTTTTTCTTAACATTTGATGCAGTGTGATGAATCTTTGAAAGCTACTTATGTTGATACATTTCCTGTTGTATAGTTTGCAAATGAAATATAAATTTAGATGCAATTAAAAAACCCACTTCAAATGTTATGAAGAACTAGAGTATACTTGCTACTTAGATAATTTTTGTTCTTGTACTTTACAAAATCTAAATGGATTTTAGGAAATATTTCCTTGTGGGTAGAGATTTCAATTGGCTTCTTTTTCTCAGAATTTCCATACCAAATGAAGCTCATTCTATTTTACGTCATGCTTTCAGAATGAAAAATTATTCAGTTTAAAAAGCAAAATTCTGACAATAGAAATTTAAAATGTATTCTGCATTTTTTTCATATACGAGTCAGACATCCATAGTTTACAACAATGAGAAAATTAATTTCAAAGTTGTCAAAGGGAGATAATTCACATCTTTTGTAAACTTTTTACATGAATTTAAAAGTTTCAAGAATTTGAATAGTCATCATTGTCATGGCATATTTTGATATTCAAATCTGTTCTTCACCATAAAAACATTTTTACTTAATGACAAATATCTTTTTAAGGCCCTTTGTTTTAGAAAGGCATTTTGAAAAAGATTCATTTAGCAAAACATTCATTTTATAATTACATCTATTTCGTAGCCTTCATCATGCAGGGTAGGTCATTGTAATGTACATGTTCATATGTCATGTCAATTTCCACCATTTGGCACACATGATTTCACTCACATACACATTACACAAATTCTGTAACTGGTTACACTTTTTCTAACATTTGTGTTAGTAGCTTTCCTGATTGTAATAATGATATTAACTTCTTTTTTATGACCTACAAAATGTACAAATACTAAAAATATAGATTTACTCATGTCCTTTTGTTTTTCTATCTGTTTGGATATGGTTTTTAATTACCTCTCTGTTGTATAAAACCTTGTTCACACGACACAACAAAATCGGATTTGAAATCAGATTTGACAAACCAAGCTGATTTGTGTTCACTCGTATGCAAAATTGAATTTGTTCACTAATTACATATTACAGAACCAGTAGTGAACGCAAACGGATTCATAACTGAATCTGATATGATACATCCAGATCTACGTCAGATTTCCTCATATCCAATTTGAATCTAGCATTTGTGTGAACAAGGTATACATGTAATAGTATACAACATTTATCAGTAAATTAGAATCATCTTGACCAATATTTCATGGTTGATAAAAAAAAATTTTCCTTTCTAAAGGCTGTTGGATCTCTATATTAAAGTGATGTATCAGTGATTTTTCAATATTTTCATATCATAATTTTTTTTATAATAATGACTACATATGACCTAAATTACACAATGGAATGACTTAAGTCAAGTTTGCATTTACATCAAACTTTATCTACTGACTACTGTCACATCTCAGAAATGCATGATGGTGAATGAATAATATTTCACTGCTGCAATCATTTCATATAATACAAACTATATTTCACAGCAATTGGGACACTATGACCTACATTTTATGTTTGAACAGTTATAATCATAATCCACTTGTTGATTCATGTTATAGACACTAAAAGTTGTATGCTATAATTGGTTTTTGGTTTTTGGCCATGGTACAGTCGTATTACATTGTAAAACTTATTTTTGAACTATTTTGAACATCGGGTTAATTATGTTCTTGTTTCTGTCTAGGTGACCTCGTTATGTCTTAAATTTAGCAAATAGGTCCAAGTCGAGTGGAAGCTTTTTCACAATGTACTTTTAAAAAGGGTCATTATTTACATTCAGATTCAAATGGTATTCATCCACTGTCTCTCAACATTATCTATTTTTATTTGTTGACTACATGTATTAGCTAAAAATATGCTAAAATTTCACCTCACTTGGACTGTCACCTTACATTATCTACATTATTTTACATGGAGCATGTATCGTTAATAACCTTTGTTTTTAAGGATGTACTTAGGTGAAATTAATAAAATCTAGAATTTAAATTTGATACTAAAAGTCAGAAGAGCATTAGTTAAGGAATAAAATAAGCTTAAAATATTGATAGGTTAATACCGTTATGGAGCTCCTTTTCGGGATATTTAATTTAAAAAGAATGCAGGTTAAAAGGCTGACTCAGACTTTTACCTTATATTTGCATTGGTATAATTTGGGTCTCAAATTGAAAGAAAATAAATCTAGAATCTGCTTGAATTTTGGTAAATGACCTTTATGAGCTATTGAAGCCTTATATGAAAAGAAAAATGGGTGTAAATATTTAACCCTGTATCTGTGTATCATAGGAAAAAACCAAGGAGTCCGAACATCTGACAAAAAGTTCTAAACCTGACATAAGTACATCCTTAAATCACATGACTTAATTGATTGTAAATTAAACTAAATTGTTCATAACAAACATTATACAACCCCTTTTTCTCATAAGATATCTTTGTGAAATAAGGCAATAAACTATGTCTTCTTTATTTTGCCTGCTGTGTAAGCATTGCTTTTGTTTTTTGAATATCAAACTTAGATCTTCTTATATGGTTTAATTGAGAAGGAATGTTTTGAAAATTTGTCCTACAATTTCATTGCTTGATTTTTGGTGTTTAATGCCACTTTGAGCACTATTGACTATTTCGTGGCATCCAGAATTTATGAGTGCAGGAAGCCGGAGTCTTACAATTTGAAGGAACTTCTATATTTTGTATTTTCTTTTAAAGAGAATTGATTATTTTATCATGCTCTCAGCTAGCTCTATCACAAAAAAAGCTATTTAGAATTTAATAAACGAAGTGTTTAAGTATCAATTTTAACTTGCATGATATATTGTGGGGAAAAAAATGTGTACTCGTATTGCTTCCTGTATATAAAGATTGTAGAAAATAATTTTGTATTTTGTGCAACTATAAACATATATATATATGTATCCAACAATCTTCAAAAAGTTTTTTACCTTTCAACAAAACAATCAATAGTAGTACAACTATTAAAGCAAACTGACACAAGAATTCATGACAATCTTGTGTAAAATCCTCAAATCTTCAGTGTACCGTATATCCGTTTTTTTCGTGTGTGTTTAATTTTTGCCTTGTTCTTTGTGGCAGCTAAAGAAACGCGAAAATTTAACCCCACGTAAATTTCCCTGCATATTCCAAGATTTATCGTTGTTTGAAAGTTTTACACAATATACTGTTATTTATCGAGTCTTTTGTGTTGTTCGACAGATCACAAGAATATGCATACTTAATTAATCATGTTAATATCTCTGTTTTCATAATAATTAAACTGGCTAATCCTACATGTCTCACCTTTGACAACACAGCAATCAGTGACATGTTAAAAAATGTTAATTAGCGATGTTCTATTGATTGGTGTCATAACCCGAAAATTGCATATATGTAAAAATAAAATAAATCATATTTACACGGATATTTGTATACCTCTAATGAGCAAAACCTTCAACTTTTAGTAAACCCCAATGTACATAATATTTTACGTTCCTTGAAAGTGTATTTTCGTTTGTAGTACTCTTATATATTTGATATTGATTAACTGTTAGTTAATTAAGTTTTTGTTGTTTACAACTTTAACAATAAGATACAATTATTTGTTCGCGTGTATTTTCCAATTCAGCAAAAATCTACACACTGAAAATTTAACATGCCCATTTTGTCATCAAATCGTGAAAAAAAGCCGACGTGAAACCCGATATACGGTATTACAAATGTGCAGTATCTGGATATCATTGATATTAACTTAACCTTAAGTAAACCGTTAAGCAATAGCAGAACATTTATGACTCATTAAGGTCATTACTTTTTTCTTTAAGGATTTCATAGAAAGCTAGTTGCATTAAAGACTAGACTTTTATAGAAAAACAGGTGTTTTTTTCCTGAATAGTACTATGGCTTATGTGTTTATGCTTCATAAATGTTAAACTAATATAAGTACTTAAAAACTAAACCTCGTTCAGAAGACAATCAAAAAATGTTCTACAGATTATTTCTGTATCATTTTTGTCGAGCCTGCGACTTTTGTCGCAGAAAGCTCGACATAGGGATAGTGATCCGGCGGCGGCGGCTACGGCGGCGGCTGCGTTAGCTAACTTCTTAAAAGCTTTATATTTTAGAAGGTGGAAGGTCTGGATGCTTCATACTTTGTATATGGATGCCTCATGTTACGAAGTTTCCGTCAGTCACATGTCCAATGTCCTTGACCTCATTTTCATGGTTCAGTGACTACTTGAAAAAAAAGTTCAGATTTTTTGTAATGTTAGATTCTCTCTTATTATAAGTAATAGGATAACTATATTTGGTATGTGCGTACCTTGCAAGGTCCTCATGCCCGTCAGACAGTTTTCACTTGACCTCAACCTCATTTCATGGATCAGTGAACAAGGTTAAGTTTTGGTGGTCAAGTCCATATCTCAGATACTATAAGCAATAGGTCTTGTATATTCGGTGTATGGAAGGACTGTAAGGTGTACATGTCCAACTGGCAGGTGTCATCTGACCTTGACCTCATTTTCATGGTTCAGTGGTTATAGTTAAGTTTTTGTGTTTTGGTCTGTTTTTCTTATACTGTATGCCATAGGTCTACTTTATTTGGTGTATGGAATGATTGTAAGGTGTACATGTCTAGCGGGCAGGTGTCATCTGACCTTGACCTCATTTTCATGGTTCAGTGGTCAAAGTTAGGTTTTTGAGTTTTGGTCTTTTTTTCTAATACTATATGCAATAGTTCAACTATATTTGGTATGTGCGTACCTTGCAAGGTCCTCATGCCCGTCAGACAGTTTTCACTTGACCTCGACCTCATTTTATGGATCAGTGAACAAGGTTAAGTTTTGGTGGTCAAGTCCATATCTCAGATACTATAAGCAATAGGTCTTGTATATTCGGTGTATGGAAGGACTGTAAGGTGTACATGTCCAACTGGCAGGTGTCATCTGACCTTGACCTCATTTTCATGGTTCAGTGGTTATAGTTAAGTTTTTGTGTTTTGGTCTGTTTTTCTTATACTGTATGCCATAGGTCTACTTTATTTGGTGTATGGAATGATTGTAAGGTGTACATGTCTAGCGGGCAGGTGTCATCTGACCTTGACCTCATTTTCATGGTTCAGTGGTCAAAGTTAGGTTTTTGAGTTTTGGTCTTTTTTTCTAATACTATATGCAATAGTTCAACTATATTTGGTATGTGCGTACCTTGCAAGGTCCTCATGCCCGTCAGACAGTTTTCACTTGACCTCGACCTCATTTTATGGATCAGTGAACAAGGTTAAGTTTTGGTGGTCAAGTCCATATCTCAGATACTATAAGCAATAGGTCTTGTATATTCGGTGTATGGAAGGACTGTAAGGTGTACATGTCCAACTGGCAGGTGTCATCTGACCTTGACCTCATTTTCATGGTTCAGTGGTTATAGTTAAGTTTTTGTGTTTTGGTCTGTTTTTCTTATACTGTATGCCATAGGTCTACTATATTTGGTGTATGGATGATTGTAAGGTGTACATGTCTAGCGGGCAGGTGTCATCTGACCATGACCTCATTTTCATGGTTCAGTGGTCAAAGTTAAGTTTTTTGAGTTTTGGTCTTTTTTTCTAATACTATATGCAATAGTTCAACTATATTTGGTGTATGGAAATATTTTATGATCTATTTGGCAGTCACGCAGGTTTTATTTGACCTTGACCTCATTTTCAAGGTTCATTGCTCAGTGTTAAGTTTTTGTGTTTTGGTCTGTTTTTCTTAAACTATAAGCAATAGGTCAACTATATTTGTTGTATGGAAGAATTGTTAGCTGTACATGCCTGCCTAGCATGGTTCATCTGACCTTGACCTCATTTTCATGGTTCATTGGTCAATGTTTAGTTTACTTGGTTAATGTTAAGTTTATGTGACAGTTGTAATAAAGCTTTATATTTAGGACTATCAACATAATATCAATGATTAGTAAAGAAGGCGAGACATTTCAGCGTGTGCACTCTTGTGTAAAATAAGCATAATTACTGGTTTGCATCATTCTCTATTGAAAAAAATGTAATCTGTGGCTTCATTATTATTGATAGGATACCAATCTTAGGTGAAAGTAAACAATTAATTTAAATGTTCAACGAAGTACAAATTTTTTTCATATGGTTGTCTGCAAACTTTTGCAAAACCACAAAATCAAACATCCTTGGTAATACAATCTAAGATTATGTATTATGGTATACCGTTGTCCGACCGTCCAAATGTCATCAACACTGCCAACAATAACTCAAAAACACTTTCACCAATTGTGATGAAACTTTGGTGAATTGTTTATATCTTTTGACATAAGTTCCCTTTTAATTTTTATAAATTTTTGATTTTACTTTTCCGAGTTAGGAAATTTTATTCATAGAAAGGGGCGATTTTCAGTTTTCAGAAAATAATATAAACACTTTGAGCAGTTTTCATGAAACTATTGTGACCTGTTTATAAGCTCCTTTTTGTTTTTTTTATAAATTTCTGATATGACATTGCAAAGTTATGGAACTTTTTTATTTAAAAATCAAAACTAAAATGGTGACATGCGTATCATGCGCTCATGGCGCAGCTCTATATTTGTAAATTCAAGAAAATTGGTACCCAGGAAATAAATATGAATCCAACAGTACATGCATTTGCCACTATATTTCCATTGCCTTTTTATGTTTGCATGTACACGTAAAGTACTAGTAACTAACTCTTCATGATTTTCCAGGTTTAAAAATTATAGTTGTTTTATTTCTTACTATACACAGGTATTCATCTGTAGAGTTTGGAAGAACTGGTGGATCTAGGAAGAGGATCAGTTACTCTGATAGAGATAAGGCTCCTACCCCTCCACCTGGTACTTCTCAACAACAGTTTGGTAGGTACTGTGTGTTACACCATCTCTCCACAATTCTGATAGAGATAAGACTCCTACCCCTCCACCTGGTACTTCTCAACAACAGTTTGGTAGGTACTGTGTGTTACACCATCTCTCCACAACTCTGATAGAGATAAGACTCTTACCCCTCCACCTGGTACTTCTCAACAACAGTTTGGTAGGTACTGTGTGTTACACCATCTCTCCACAACTCTGATAGAGATAAGACTCCTACCCCTCCACCTGGTACTTCTCAACAACAGTTTGGTAGGTACTGTGTGTTACACCATCTCTCCACAATTCTGATAGAGATAAGACTCCTACCCCTCCACCTGGTACTTCTCAACAACAGTTTGGTAGGTACTGTGTGTTACACCATCTCTCCACCACTCTGATAGAGATAAGACTCTTACCCCTCCACCTGGTACTTCTCAACAACAGTTTGGTAGGTACTGTGTGTTACACCATCTCTCCACAATTCTGATAGAGATAAGACTCCTACCCCTCCACCTGGTACTTCTCAACAACAGTTTGGTAGGTACTGTGTGTTACACCATCTCTCCACCACTCTGATAGAGATAAGACTCTTACCCCTCCACCTGGTACTTCTCAACAACAGTTTGGTAGGTACTGTGTGTTACACCATCTCTCCACAATTCTGATAGAGATAAGACTCCTACCCCTCCACCTGGTACTTCTCAACAACAGTTTGGTAGGTACTGTGTGTTACACCATCTCTCCACCACTCTGATAGAGATAAGACTCTTACCCCTCCACCTGGTACTTCTCAACAACAGTTTGGTAGGTACTGTGTGTTACACCATCTCTCCACAATTCTGATAGAGATAAGACTCCTACCCCTCCACCTGGTACTTCTCAACAACAGTTTGGTGGGTACTGTGTGTTACACCATCTCTCCACCACTCTGATAGAGATAAGACTCTTACCCCTCCACCTGGTACTTCTCAACAACAGTTTGGTAGGTACTGTGTGTTACACCATCTCTCCACCACTCTGATAGAGATAAGACTCTTACCCCTCCACCTGGTACTTCTCAACAACAGTTTGGTAGGTACTGTGTGTTACACAATCTCTCCACCACTCTGATAGAGATAAGACTCCTACCCCTCCACCTGGTACTTCTCAACAACAGTTTGGTTGGTACTGTGTGTTACACAATCTCTCCACCACTCTGATAGAAATAAGGCTCCTACCCCTCCACCTGGTACTTCTCAACAACAGTTTGGTAGGTACTGTGTGTTACACAATCTCTCCACAACTCTGATAGAAATCAGACTCTTACCCCTCCACCTGGTACTTCTCAACAACAGTTTGGTAGGTACTGTGTGTTACACCATCTCTCCACAATTCTGATAGAGATAAGACTCCTACCCCTCCACCTGGTACTTCTCAACAACAGTTTGGTAGGTACTGTATGTACACAATCTCTCCACCACTCTGATAGAGATAAGACTCCTTCCCCTCCACCTGGTACTTCTCAACAACAGTTTGGTAGGTACTGTGTGTTACACAATCTCTCCACCACTCTGATAGAGATAAGATTCCTTCCCCTCCACCTGATACTTCTCAACAACAGTTTGGTGGGTACTGTGTGTTACACCATCTCTCCACCACTCTGATAGAGATAAGACTCCTACCCCTCCACCTGGTACTTCTCAACAACAGTTTGGTTGGTACTGTGTGTTACACAATCTCTCCACCACTCTGATAGAAATAAGGCTCCTACCCCTCCACCTGGTACTTCTCAACAACAGTTTGGTAGGTACTGTGTGTTACACAATCTCTCCACAACTCTGATAGAAATCAGACTCTTACCCCTCCACCTGGTACTTCTCAACAACAGTTTGGTAGGTACTGTGTGTTACACCATCTCTCCACAATTCTGATAGAGATAAGACTCCTACCCCTCCACCTGGTTGCATCAGTTTTCCTATCGAAGGTCGGTGGTTTTCCCCCGGCACTCCTGCTTCCTCCACAAATAAAAACTGGCCGCCACGAAATATCTCAAAAGCGGTGCTTAAAAGTGGCGTTAAAACACCAAAAATCAAATCAAATCTACTGAAGAGTTTAAGATTTCATACTCTTGCACTTAACAACCCTTGTAAGAGACTGGAAATCCTCTACTGGAGAGTATTATATGTCCTTCTCTTGCACTTGATAACCCATAGAAGAGACTGGAAATCTTTTACTTTTGAATCTTAGATTTCCTACTCTTGCACTTGACAACCCTTGTAAGAGACAGGAAAACTTTTACTTGAGAGTTTTAGATTTCCTACTTTTGCACTTGACAATCCCTAGAAGAGACTGGAAATCTTTTACTTTAGAGTTTTAGATTTCTTACTCTAGCACTTGACAACCCCTGTAAGAGACGGGAAATCCTCTACTTGAGAGTTTTAGATTTCCTTCTCTTCCACTTGACAACCCCTAGAAGGGACTGGAAATCTTCTACTTGAGAGTTTTAGATTTCCTACTCTTGCACTTGACAACCCTTGTAAGAAACAGGAAATCTTTTACTTGAGAGCTTTAGATTTTCTACACTTACACTTGACAACCCCTGTAAGAGACAGGAAATAATCTACTTGAGAGTCTTAGATTTCCCACTCTTGCACTTGACAGCCCTTGTAAGAGACATGAAATCCTCTACTGGAGAGTTTTAGATTTTCTACTCTTCAACTTGACAGCTCCTAGAAGAGAATGGAAATCTTCTACTTTTGAGTCTTATATTTCCTACTCTTGCACTTGACAACCCTTGTAAGAGACTGGGGATCCTCTTTTTGAGAGTTTTAGATTTCCTGCTCTTGCATTTGACAACTCTTGTAAGAGACTGGAAATCCTCTACTGGAGAGCATTGCATTTCTTACTCTTGCATTTGACAACCCCTGTGAGAGACTGGAAAACTTCTACTTAAGGGTATTAGATTTCCTAATCTTGCACTTGACAACCCCTGTACTAGACTTGAAATCCTCTTCTTGAGAGTTTTAGATTTTCTACTCTTGCACTTGACAACCCTTGTAAGAGACTGGAAATCTTCCACTTTTGAGTCTTAGATTTCCTACTCTTGCACTTGACAACCCTTGTAAGAGACTGGAGATCCTCTTTTTGAGAGTTTTAGATTTTCTACTCTTGCACTTGACATCTCTTGTAAGAGACTGGAAATCCTCTACTGGAGAGCATTACATTTCTAACTCTTGCATTTGAGAACCCCTAGAAGAGACTGGAAATCTTTTACTTTTGAGTCTTATATTTCCTACTCTTGCACTTGACAACCCTTGTAAGAGACTGGGGATCCTCTTTTTGAGAGTTTTAGATTTCCTGCTCTTGCATTTGACAACTCTTGTAAGAGACTGGAAATCCTCTACTGGAGAGCATTGCATTTCTTACTCTTGCATTTGACAACCCCTGTGAGAGACTGGAAAACTTCTACTTAAGGGTATTAGATTTCCTAATCTTGCGCTTGGCAACCACTGTAGGAGACAGGAAATCCTCTACTTGAGAGTTTTATATTTCCTGGTCTTGCATTTGACAACTCTTGTAAGAGACTGGAAATCCTCTACTGGAGAATATTAGATTTCCTACTCTTGCACTTGACGACCCCTAGAAGATACTAGAAATCTTCTACTTTTGAATCTTAGATTTCCTACTCTTGCACTTGACAACCCCTGTACTAGACTGGAAATCCTCTTCTTGAGAGTTTTAGATTTTCTAAGCTTGCACTTGACAACCCTTGTAAGAGACTGGAGATCCTCTTTTTGAGAGTTTTAGATTTCCTACTCGTGCACTTGACAACCCTTGTAAGAGACTGGAGAACTTCTACTTGAGAGTTTAAGATTTCCTACTCCTGCACTTAATAACCCTTGTAAGAGACAAGAAATCTTTTACCTGAGAGTTTTAGATTTCCTTCTCTTCCACTTGACAACCCCTGGAAGAGACTGGAAATCTTCTACTTGAGAGTTTTAGATTTCCTACTCTTTGCACTTGACAACCCTTGTAAGAGACAGGAAATCCTTTACTTGAGAGTTTAAGATTTCCTACCTTTAAACTTGACAACCCTTGTAAGAGACAGGCACTCCTCTACTTGAAAGTTTTAGATTTCCTACACTTACACTTGACAACCCCTGTAAGAGACAGGAATTCCTCTACTTAAAGAGTTTGAGATTTCCTACTCTTGCCCTTGACAACTCCTAGAACAGACTGGAAATCTTCTACTTGAGAGTTTAAGATTTTCTACTCATGCTTTTGACAACTCTTGAAAGACTGGAAATTCTCTACTGGAGAATTTTTCGATATACTCTTCTTGCACTTGACAACCCCTGTACTAGACTGGAAATCCTCTTCTTGAGAGTTTGAGATTTTCTACTCTTCCACTTGACAACCCTTGAAAAAGACTGGAAATCTTCTACTTTGAGTCTTAGATTGCCTACTCTTGCATTTGACAACCCATGTAAGAGACTGGAAATCTTATTCTTTAGGGTATTAGCTTTCCTAATCTTGCACTTGACAAGCTCTGTATGAGACAGGTAATCCTCTACTTGAGAGTTTTAGATTTCCTACTCTTGCACATAACAAACCCTTGTAAGAGACAGGAATCCTCTACTTTGCAGTTTTAGATTTCCTACTCTTTGCACTTGACAGCCCCTAGAAGAGACTGGAAATCTTCTACTTTTGAGTTTTAGATTTTCTACTCTTGCACTTGACAACCCTTGTAAGAGACTGGAGATCCTCTTTTTGAGAGTTTTAGATTTCCTACTCTAGCACTTGAAAACCCTTGCAAGAGACTGGAGATCTTCTACTTTTGAGTCTTATATTTTCTACTCTTGCACTTGACATCCCCTAGAAGAGACTGGAAATCTTCTACTTGAGAGTTTAAGATTTTCTACTCATGCTTTTGACAACTCTTGAAAGACTGGAAATTCTCTACTGGAGAATTTTTCGATATACTCTTCTTGCACTTGACAACCCCTGTAATAGACTGGAAATCC